ATTTAATCAGTATGATGGACTTACTTGCAAAATATAGCCTTCCTGACATTAATATAACCCTCGGCTTTCCTGACATAAATATAACCCTTGACTTTCCTGACATAAATATAACCGGCAGGTGATATTTATCTCATTCAGGTTGTATTGTTCGGTATATTGAGTCAGCAACTCGTATAACTCGAAATATATTCTTTGAGGTATATGGATTCATTTGATATAATTATTTACAATATAAATTTTACAGTGGGTACACAGCTGTGTGAGCCATGTGATACGGATGATTCAACATGTGAGGACCCTCTTCAATGTAGCTCTGACACGTACAGATGTGAATGCCCGCCAGGTTATGTACAGTATGACGACGAATGCTGTAAATATTCTCCTTTTTTTCCTTTCTTTATACTGTAAACATTATACTGATGAAATGAAAAAACCTATGCCACCATTAAAGAAATTAGCCAATTGGAATCTTTAATGTAAAAATAGAAAAACCAAGCTGTGCATTGGGTGCATAATTATATTTGTCCCTTTTGTAACTATTGACAAGTTACTGTTCATTTAACTGCTGGAAAAATCATTTTAAAAAACAAGTTGTCTCTCTTACCTTGTTTCCTGTTGGCAACAAAAAAAAAAGTTTGATATAAAAGTTATCTCCCTTGTTTACATTTGGCAGCTGGAAATCAGTATGATATAGAAGTTGTCTCCCTTAACATTATTACATTTGACAGCTGGTAATCAGAAATAGATGTTATATTCCTTGCCATTTTCATTACAGATGGGAGATTTGTATCAGAGCCTTGCACAACAACACTCAACACCTGTATTGATGATAACGCCGTATGTAATGGTACTGTATGTACATGTCGTGACGGCTGGATACACAATGGCACCATTTGTGGTAAGCTAGGGTTCAAGATTTACCAAAAGAGTAAAAGAGATTTATGTAAATTTAACAAGTAATATGCAATATCTGTGGGTGGCTAATGCTTACTACAAAGGTAAAATTGCTTGCTTTACACTGAACAATTTTTAAGCATGTGGCTTAAAAGGAACTCCAGTGAAATCAAAAAAACATAAAGCATAAAATTTGAATTTCTTACATAGATCAGCTGGGAAACTTATAAAAGAAAGGAATGCTAAAGTTATTTAAAAAAAGAGACCAAGATATAAATTAAACATCATATTTTTGTGCTGTCTGAGCCTGATTTGAGTGAAAAACATTGCAACACTTTTCTTTTTTTATCACAGTTAGAATAGTTATTCCCAAATATCGGAGTTTGCAAATGATTTGATATTTTGCACACCAGTTACTGGTCCAAAATTACATAAAATGGAAAATAAGTTGCAAAAAATTATTTCCAGTCTTGTGATGTGAAAATTAATCAGTGGAGTCACTTTAAAAGCACATTATATAAATTTATTCAGCTTTAGAAAGAACAAACATGAACTAAATAATGTAAACATAATGGTTTTAGAGCATACAAGTAACTTTTTACTTGAAGAATGTAGCACTGAAAGTGAATTTATTTGTCATAATAGAAGCAAAATCTAAACAAAGTAGTATTTTGACTTCCATACAAATTACTAAATTACTATAATTGTACTATTGCCATAAAACAAAAGAAGCAAAAGAACATTCAGGAAATTGGCTAATGAGTAATTTTTTGGTAAAAATAACAGAACACCAGTACTAAAACAGTAAAAGTCATTTGAAAAATAAAAATAAAACCATTTCTGAGGCAAATTGGGCCTTTAGATGAGACCATGCCATGTTATAATTTTTACAATGATTGAAATTAAAAGTAATCCCCTTAAATCATAGGCTATTTCCTTTTACTTGATATTTTTGGTTAAGAAAATATAATTCTTTTATACAGTCGGACCTGGTCTATGTGACCCGTGTGATCCATTGACAGTATCGTGTGACTCCAGTCTGCAATGTAATCCAAATACATACAAATGTGAGTGTCCGGCAGGTCAAGTTCAAGTTGGCGATACATGTGGTAAGTATTTATACTATTCTTTTTGTGTGTTTGTCGCGCCCATGACTGACTGTATAACTTTATTGACTTAAAACCAATTGCCTCTTACCACTGTGGTTGTGTGTGTGTTCTAAGCTTAATAAGTGTTCAGCATCCTTTCAGGTTCCAAGAGACCACTGGATTTGAATCCTCTTTAATTTGAGGAAGATATCTAGTGAGGTTAGGGAACTTTGCTTTTACTTGTGTGCCTTTTGGTGCCTGAAATAAGGTATAGAGGAGCACCTGAGGTCTTCCGGCACCATCTAAGCTGGAAACTATAACAGTGCAAAAAAATATATATATATCTTAGTTAAAATGAAATTTATTTTAGTTCGTTTGTGTAGTAAGCTCATAGACACACTCTTAAATCCGTTCCTTGAACCTACCAGTACTAAGCAAGGAACATAGTTTTTAACTCAAGGAAATAACGGTTTGTGTCTGACAGGGTTTAAACCCACAAGGTTGGCAAACCTTAGATAACTGGTCTGACATGTTTACCACTTGGCCGCTCCGCCATGGTAATAGCTTTAGCATTTCTTTGATGATGAATAAAAAACATCATACATGTAATTTCACAAGATTAACAAAACATGACAACAAAACATGGCTTATTGTTTATTTCTAGTTGGCATGCGTGTAACTGAACCGTGTACTACTGTGATTAACACGTGTATAGATGACTATGCGGAGTGTAATGGAACAGTTTGTAATTGTGTGGAAGGTTTTGTACATAATGGATCAAGATGTTGTAAGTATGATAAGTTAACTCCTAAAAACTTGAGCAATCATGACGGAAATGCTTGGCATAAGCAACTGTGGGGAAAAAAATCTGTCAGAAATATTTCAGCAACTTTTGCACTTTTTCAGAAAATAAAGTGACAAACAAAAATTTGAATTCAAATGAGATGTACATTGGCTTAGTTTTGAGTTATCAATTCTTGAAAATCACCCAAAAAGGGCAAAACATAACCTTTCAGCTAAGGGTATTTTTTGCCCTTTTCGGCGATTTCCAATAAGTTCCTTTACATGAAAATACATGAAAATTACCTCATAACTTGGCAGAGTATTTTGATGACATAAATGTCATGATTATCCAATGAAAAGTGATGATAAAAACATTCAGTATTAGCAATCATGTAGATTGTGTACATTTCTAAGAACTCAAGTCTGGGAGAAACGTAAAGATATATATTTTTCGTTTTAGTGGGCATGGAGTTGTGTGAACCGTGTGACCCAGACACGGAGACGTGTGCCTCAAATCTTGTCTGTAGTAGTGACACCTACAGATGTGAATGTCCCTCCAATCTGGTGCAAGTCGGTGACCAATGTGGTAGGTGTTACAAGTACTCTATCATTCGTTGAGTCTATCATTTGAATTTAGTGTGATCACCCGTTCTTAATAAAATACATGAATTTACTGAACGTCATTCTGATGAGAATTTCAGAACCAACATCCCATGTTATGATGATTTTTAACACATTAAATGTTAAAACAGCTCAGCTGTTGTCATGCCCCAACTTAGTTGTAAGGTTGAGACATATAGATTTGGGTTTTTTTTCCATCCCTTCACACGGTCACCCTGTCCTGACTGAAAAAAAAAATGTGGAAATGTGGTGGCATCCATCTACTATAGACACATTTTCTAGTTTCTAAATGGAAATAATTTGTTTCTTAATATATGAGCCGCGTCACAACAAAACCAACATAATGGGTTTGCAACCAGCATGGATCCAGACCAGCCTGCGCATCCGCTCAGTCTGATCAGGATCCATGCTGTTCCCTATTAGTTTCTCTACTTGTAATAGGGTTTGTAAGCGAACAATATTGATCCTGATCAGACTGCACGGATGCGCAGGCTGGTCTGGATCCATGCTAATCGCAACCGCATTATGTTGGTTTTGTTGTGACGCGGCTCATATGCACTTATTATCCTTCATGAAATAATATGACTTACCATTCTTCTAGACATAGTGACCCAAAACAGTGTTGTGTTTTTTGTTTATTGTTACCCTTGCCACACCAAAAGCTTCAAAGTCATTTAGTCATTTTAGCTGAATTTTTGTCATGGTCTTGCCATGTTAATGCTGAATTTTTGTTTTTTTGCCACTTCAAATTTGAAAATTAAGGGATTTCAATATCAATATACAAATATCGAGCTACCAACAGTATAGAGCATAGTCAGTTTGCTGTATAGATATGGCCTGACTCTAAACTGGTGGCAAAGGCTAAGCACAACCAGGTCCATCATCAGATACCCTCGGCTTAACCATTCACATTTATCAGCCGTGGGATTTTTGGCCAATATCCAGTTGATAAAAGATGTGTCAAAGACAGCTATATCATTGGTTGCCTTACAATTTAATGGGATGATTAAAACCAGTAAGAAAGCTTGTCCTATAGGACTTCCTGTAATGAAGACAAAATTGGGACAACCAAATTTAAAAGTTTTAATATGAAAAATGTGAAGATGATTTCCAGGCAAAAAGAGCTTTAAAACTTTAGTTACTGAAAGTTTTTTTAACCTTCATTGTGAAACAGTATTAATTTTTGTGTTAAAGTGGATTTCATTTTACGCACTTGTTGATTATATTGACGCAAATGAATTTATTTTACCACCCGCTTGATCAAGCGGGTTAAGTGTTAAAAGGTTTCTGCTGATTAAAAAACAATATTATAGACAATCCTTATGTATTTTAGTTGGAACACGTGTTGGAGAAGAGTGTGTTACGGAAACTGACACATGTATTGATGATAATGCAAAGTGTAATGACACAATATGTGACTGTGTGGATGGTTTCACCTGGACAGGACTACTTTGTGGTAAATATTTGTTTGTCAACCATCTCAGACACAGGTTCAGGATTTTTTCACCAGAGGGTGTTGTGGTTGCAAAATTTTGACTACGGACAATGTATATTACTAAGAGGAGTTGGCATTTTACTTTTTTTTTTTTATAAAGGAGGAGTAAAAAATATTTCTGATTTTCACTAGTTTTTGCGTACATTATGCCAAGAAAAACATAAGTTAAATCTAAATCACAAAGGGATTCCATATACTAGCCAAATTATAAATGAAGACATGATCCCCTTACACTTTCCCCCCTCTTGATCCACGCTCGCTGCTTTAATTGTCCTGTGTTATTATATTTAAAAAAGAGACTGTGTATGTTTGTTCTCAAAAATATTGTACCTATTTCTATGGAATATGTGATTAGCTCCTTACTCACGTTTGAGAAATTTTAAACATTTTCAAGAGTGAAGTGAAGATATGAAACATTTTTTACTGGAGTGGAATATTTTCAATATTTATTAAGAGAAAACTTTTTTCTTTCTATTATCATACACTGTATTCCATTGTTTTTCAATTTTAACTTTTCACACATAATTTAACAAAAATGGTAGAACAAGATACTTATGTACATGTATTTTTATCTTATCTTCCAGCTGGTTCTATTATCAATGACCCATGCAGTCCTGAAAATCCGTGCTCAGGAGTGCTTGTTTGTAACGTAAACACGTCCAAATGTGCATGCCCATCTAATTTAGTGCAAATTGGAGACCAGTGCTGTAAGTTTCAAATTTGTAATGTTTTTGTTGTAAATTATTGTTATAAAAATTATCTTATGCAAAGAAAAGATGTTTGTTTACTGGTTTGGAAGTATCATTTTGATATGAAACGTCATGTCATATTTTTGATAAATTTATCATTGAATGCATAATGTAAGATATCTATGTCTTAAAAAATTTGAGATACTCAAGAATATAGCGCTAGAATAAAGTCGGAAATATTATCATCGTAAAAAGATGATTTTTATCACTTTAAACAAAACACAATCTTGGCTTTAAAGATGGGACACTGATTGGTGAAACATGCACTACCAGTCTGGACACGTGTATTGACGACTATGCTGAATGTAACGGGACCATTTGTGACTGTCAAGATGGATATGAACATAACGGAACATTTTGTCGTAAGTAATAATGTAATGTTGAATCTTATGAATGTTAACGGAAACAATGACTTTGCCATTAATATAGTGCATGGCCAGTCTAAATGTGATTGTTCATAAATACACTTATTACTAAACATATAGTAACAAATTACCTATGATTTTAATGGATTATGAGTGTCACATGAAAGATTATAAGCTTGTGATGCCGAAAATTCGTAATCATAATTGTTTCGCTGTACTTGAACACCTGCAAAAATACAAATATGATATCACATTTTACATCTAGCTGTAAAGTGAAAGTAGGTTTTTAGCATGGATCTGATCTCTGTAAAAATTTTATTGCACAGCTGTGCATATATTTTGATGTGATGTCATTTGCATTATACACATGGCTGTAAAGCAAGATAAATGTTAGCGATATTATCAGAAATGAAAAATACATTAATCATAGGCATCTGTGAGAATTGAAAGAAAGAAATTCCTTAGTCCTTATACATGTATCCATTGTAACTTTGTAAGTATTGTGTAGCAGTTTCAGTTTGCAATTTATTTGATATCTTAGATTGACCTTTGTGGCCCTTGTGGAACTTGTCAAGAAAAAAATTAAATTATTTCTTATATATATAACATGTACACTGTGTATATATTTTTTTAGTTGGAACTAACCTTTGTGACCCTTGTGATCCTTTGGCATCTACGTGTAGGTCCGATCTTGTATGTAGCTCTGACACCTACAGATGTGAATGTCCGGACGATGAAGTTCAAGTCGGAGACAACTGCTGTAAATCTTACTTCTATTATAATTATGTTACCTCTCCATTAATAAATACAGTCCGACCCCGGTTATTCGACAACCCTTTATTCAAATACCCGGTATTTTTTAATATTCTTGATTGATTACTGGAAACAATTGTGTTGTCAACGGCAGTTTTGCTATGATTGGCATAGAGTCAAAGTTGATTTCGATTATTCGAACTCATCAATTATTGGAAGTGAATTTTTAGTCCCCAGTACTTCGAATAATCAGGGTTAGACTGTATGAAAATTTCATTTGTGTTTTTTTAAGAAATTATTGATCTATGATGTGTGGTATATATAGTTATGATAAAAGTTTTTCCATACTTCTTCTTAAATTTGCATACAAACTTAATCATGTTTATTTATATATAAATATTTAAAACATAAGTTATATAAGAATAGTGAACAGTCTTTGCAAATTCATAAAACAAATGTACATGTACCAGTGTATATGTTTTGTTGCCTACAGTGCAACCTCTATACAGGGACCCTCTCTGTAGAGCAATCACCTCTTTACAACAACCAGTACCATGTATTCCAAAAGTAATAATAGTAAATAGTAAGTTTTGCCTCTCTACAGTAACTCTTCTCAAAGATTTTACCTGTTTCTTAAGTAATAGTTTGTAAATTTATCATTACAAGATATGGTCAATATTTCAGATGGAACACACGTAGGTGACGACTGCACAACTTCTCCGGACACATGTATTGATGATCATGCCGAGTGTAATGGCACAGTGTGCGTTTGTATCAGTGGTTACTCATGGAATGGCACCAATTGCCGTAATATTTTTTATGTTTTAAAATAACATATTTCTGACATGATTAATATTGTATATTACAACGTATTAACGTTTTTTCTGACCAAAAAAGGAAGGACAACATGTAATTGCATTCTATTATTCAAGTTTCATATATGTGGCTAGCTTATCAGCTTAACAGTTTTACATCAAGTCACTTGGTCACTGGAATGCATGCATCTGTCAATCTGAGGTTGTTGGGAATCTTCCCTATGCTTATGCCAGCCCACAAAATTATTCCTTCTTTTGAATAAACCATTTAAAAATTGGTGATTTCTGAAGCAATGTAGATTAGTCTTTTGCTTAAAGAAATTAGAAGTGTCCTTATTAGGACTAAAAATGAAAAAAAAAAAAATCCTAATTTCGCTGACCCTCTCCAGCTGACCGCACAAGATTGAAAAAAATACTGCAGCCACATAACGTACAAAAGTTATGATTGATGTTTTAATCATTGTATCATTCAGGCTTATATTTTTAGCTTATTCACAATCAAATTTTTCAGATGGCCAGTGGCTATGTGACTCCTGTGATCCATCGTCCTCTACATGTGATTCGAGTCTCGTCTGCAATGCAAACACTTACAGATGTGAATGTCCGCCTGATGAAGTGCAGATTGGTGATGATTGTTGTAAGTGTAGTATTTTGTCATGAAAAAGAAAATCATTGAAAACAAGAAATCATTGATAACAAGAAAATCTTTGATAACAAGAAAATTATTGATCACAAAATCATTGATAACACGTAAATCTGGATAACAAGAAAATCATTGATAACAAGAAAAACATTGAATACAAAATCATTGATAACAAGAAAATCTTGATAACAAGAAAATCATTGATAACAAGAAAATCAGTAGTAACAAAATCATTGATTTCAAGAAAATCATTGATAACAAGAAAATCATTGATAACAGGGAATCATTGATAACAATTAACCATTGATAACAAGAAAACCATTGATATCAAGAAATCTTTGATAACAAGAAACATCATTGATAACAAGAAATCATTGATAAACAAGAAACCATTGTAAACAAGAAAAGCATTTATAACAAGAAAATCATTGATAACAAGAAATCATTGATGACAATAAATCATTAATAACAAGAAAATTATTGATAAAAGAAATCATTGATAACAAGAAAATCATTGATAACAAGAAATCATTGTCACCAAAAATCATTGAATGAAAACTCCCTACCCAGCATTGGTTTTTTCAGCAGTCACAATTAGAAACTGCAAGGCTGTTTTATTTGTTAAGTTGTGAATGCAGTCACCTATGATTGGCTGTTTGAAAGATCATGAGAAGGTGACCTCCAATTGGTGTCATTAGTTCTCAATATGTATTGTATTTCATGCCATATGTTCCGTCATGTTTATGTTGAAAATGTTTACTTTCTAATAGTTTTACCATATTTATGTAGAGAATTTGATGTATTTTATTTTATGTGCATAAAGATGGGACACATGTGGGGGACAGGTGTACTAATGTTGTCAACACGTGTATTGATGATCATGCGCTGTGTAATGGTACAGTATGTGACTGTATGGCAGGAACTACCTGGAATGGTTCAATATGTGGTAAGATATAGATAAACGATATTTGTTTGAATATTTTGCATGTATTTGTTTGTTTAAGTGAAATATCTTCAATTTATGAAGACAAAATTGAAAATCTGGAAAAGTTTTTATTGTCACCTTAGTGCAATAACTGGTTAACTCCTATTGAATTTAGAAGGACTTAACCTATTACTGCTCTAAGATGATGTTTTATCAACTACATAGCCCCTTTTGTGGACCCCACAGAGATCGCATAGCTTGACCAGCAAACCTACACATCAGTGCAAGGCTTATCAGCAAACTGAAATCAGCGTTATGTTTCATTTACAATATGTCTGTGTTATAAGCCTAATAACACTCATAGCAATACTATGCAACCTGTGTCGAACAGCAATTCTTCTCTAAGTGAGAATAAACTATATAAATTTAATTGCTGTAGAACAACCAGTCTTAGCAACAAAGGGTTTGGCTCTGGAAGGCTTGTGCATGTATTGACCAATGCATATTTATTACAAATTTAATTTAATGTGAACATATTTATAAAAAATATTGCTATGCATCTTTTTAATATTTTAAGTTGGAAGTGACCTTTGTGACCCCTGTGATAGTTCAGATTCTACATGTGCACCAAATTTTGTTTGTGGTTCCTTGTCAAGATGTGAATGTCCCGACGATGAAGTGCAGATAGGGGACAACTGCTGTACGTGTTGTTTTTTCCTAAATTTTTTTAGCTTAGTTAATGAAATATGGTCTTGCCCTTTGGTACCATGGCTCTTAATATTTTCGTAAATTTATAACAATGAAATCCCCTAACTTTCATTGACTTATTAAACTGGTATTAACTGTTGAATCTTTACTTAAAAAAAAACCATATCAATCAAAGTTAAAGTCAATGATCAAAGACAATTAGATTTAGTTCAATCTGTCACATTAATAGGTGGCACTAGATATGCAAATTAGCACATATTCAGATTACCGTCATATCAGCCAGGATGCAGTACCCATAGGGTGTAGTGTTTCTAAAACAATGAAATAGAAATAGTCAATTGATATAAAGAAGGGGAGATGACTTACTGGTGTAGTTGTCTGCCTCTGGTTTGAGCCAAGTGCATGGGTCATGTGACAAGTGTTGATTAATTTCAGGAGGTGGATTTGAGGGTGGTTTGAATGACAAACTTTTCATAGGTCATAAAAGACCTAAAATAGATTTTAACTATGTTATTGACAAAGTAGCATTTTGAGATTTCTTTCTAAAATTATTATTTAATTGATGTATAGGGACATACAAATTATAATGGTTTATTCAATAAATACAAGTTTGTGAAATCATGGCATTTTATTGCCATTTATTTGTCCTCTACAGAGTTTGAGCATGACTAGAAAAATAGGGAAACCTATACATGTTATACAGCAAGCATCTTCAAATACAAAAGATATGCACTCAAACTGTAACATGAGACACAATTGGCTGTAATCATGGCTGGATTGAATACATTGTTGTGTCGCCTTGAAAAGGTGACATATAGGGATTACTTTTGTCGGCGGCGTCAGCGGCGTTGTCGGCGTCGGTGTTGGCGTCCCCTAAAGCTTGTCCAGAGCATAACTGAGTCACTTTAAGTCTGATTGACTTCAAACTTGGTATGCAAGCTTCTTTCAATAACCCGAAGTGCAGTGCACAAGGACCGGTACTCTGCACTTCTTAATTTTTGAGTTATTGCCCTTTGTTAATTTTCATACTTTAATTTTGTCTGGGCCATTTCTCTTCAACTATAAAAGCTATGGACTTGAAACTTCATAAGATGATAGATCTCATTAAGAAAAAGTGCAGTGCAAAAGAACCGGTACTCTGCATTTCTTATTTTTTGAGTTATTGCCCTTTGTTAATTTTCATACTTTATTTTTGTCTGGGCCATTTCTCCTAAAGTATAAAAGCTATTGACTTGAAACTTCATAGGATGATAGATCTTATTCAGAAGAAGTGCAGTGCACAAAAACTGTTACTCTGCATTTCTTAATTTTTGAGTTATTGCCCTTTGTTAATTTTCATACTTTATTTTTGTCCGGGCCATTTCTCCGAAAGTATAAAAGCTATGGATTTGAAACTTTATAGGATAATAGATCTCATTAAGAAGAAGTGCAGTGCACAAGAACCAGTACTCTGCATCTCTTATTTTTTGAGTTATTGCCCTTTTTTATTTTCATACTTTGTCCCTGTCATTTCTCCTCAAGTATGAAAGCTATGGACTTGAAACTTCATAGGATGATAGATCTCATTAAGAAAAAGTGCAGTGTTTAAGAAACAGTACTCTGCACTTCTTATTTGTGAGTTATTACCCTTTATTAATTTTCATACTTTATTTTTGTCCAGGCTATTTCTCATAACTTATGAAAGATATGGACTTGAAACTTCATAGAATGATAGATCTTATTGATAAGAAATGCAATACATAGAAACTGTTGCTCTGCACTTATTATATTTTGAGTTATTGACCTTTGTTAGTTTTCATATTTCATTTTTTTCCTGGCCATTTCTCCTAAACTATATTGTTCACAAGGTGACACATCTGACTCGCGGAGTTCTAGTTTTATAAAAGTGTTTGCCGCATTTACGCTGTAAAGGTCATGCCATGGTTTTCCAGAGAGACACAGAGGCTACAAGTGATGATAATCAAGTTTCTTTTCCTATTTTCAGATGGTACACGTGTTACTGAGGCATGCACCACCACTCTAAACACTTGTGTTGACTGTTTTGCTGAGTGTAATGGTACTGTCTGTGATTGCAAAGACGGCTATCATTGGAACGGAACTCGCTGCAGTAGGTGTAGAGTTCAATCTGAAATGTAGTAGTGTTTATATAATATGATGGAGTAATTAGTCAATTTTGACTTCCTTAGACATTATTTAGATTGTTTGTTTTGACAATGGTGCAATTTCATCAAAACATTTATGTCTAAGTGGAGCAATTCCATTTAACCCTTATATACATAGGGTCAGGGTTATAATAATAGAAGTTATTTTTTAACAATAATGTAATATATATCTGCACAACATTGAAGATGACTTATCATTTTTCAGATGGGGAGAATCTCTGTGACCCCTGTGACCCTTCAGCTCCAACGTGCAGATCAGATTTAAGATGTAGCCCAACCACATACCGATGTGAATGTTTAACAAATGAAGTTCAAATCTCGGACATGTGTTGTAAGCTCTTATATACTGTGATTATCAATGACTTTTTATACAAGACTTTGTTTAAATTTCATATTTTGTTTGTTTTTGACAAATCATTCTCATATTAATTACCCTTAAACTGCTGGCAGTCTCAGGATCTGACTTTTATCAGCACTGTTCCCTATTCAGACTGTACTTATTTGGAAATTTTTCCCAAAGAACTGATGAAGGTTTTTACGTTAGATTGAATGATGGATAAGCCTAATGGTAGTGGTTAAATGATAAAATAATGATTTTTGATCAATTTCCAAACTAATTCTATTGAAGCAGACGCAGTTAGAAAAATTGAATTTGCATGTAAAAAAAAAACTAGAAATCAATGCGTACATTATTTTACTACACTGCTGTTTGCATTATTACAAGATGTTGTTTGATTATTTTCTATATACATGTATATTCTTTGACCAGACGGAACCCGTGTCACAGAATCATGCACAACAACAACAGACACATGCATAGACAATTATGCTGTCTGTAACGGAACTATTTGTAATTGTAAAGAAGGTTTCTATTGGAATGGTTCATTATGCGGTAAGTTATTGTGGTCATAGAAAATTATTTTGTTTCTACATATTCCATTACTTGATTTTTATTTGTTTGGGTCGTCAGACCAAACAAATAATGGTAGCGAAATTTCAGACTCTAATGCTGTTAATTGCAAGTGCCGAAAGTAGTCCGCTTTTTTGAAGCGGTTACTTCCCTTTATATGTAAACTAAAGCCAAAAAATTCAGGGGAGATCACTGCGTAAAGATGGTCAAATGACAGGCGCATTAATTTTCAAGCAAAATAATTCCCGAATGGTCGAAGATTTCTAATATTGTTTTATTCTTTATAGACATACATGCTTATAGTAAGCTCAATGATTATTTACATCTGTGTTAAACAACAGTTAGCGTCGTTACAAACCCTAATATAGAATAATATAGTTTTCTTCAGGCTGTTAACAAATAACTTCACCGTGGCCGAGAGGTTTGTGCGCTCGCTTATGAAGCGAGAGGTCTGGAGTTCAAATCCCAGTTAAGGCCACTCATTTTTTTTTCTAATTGTTTAAGTCAAATAAACATTGGATTGAATATCAGTGTTTAAATTAGTCTTATAGCCAATTTACTACAATTAAAACGCTGGAAAGCATTGGTGGCACTTTACAAAAACAAATTGGTTTATAATCTCACAACCTTCACCTTTCTGACATTCTGAGACCCAAACAAATTCAGCGCTTTCTGTGCTTTGATTTATATCATTTTAGTAATGCAGTAAAAATAATCACTAACAGCCACCGGAAAATCTTTGCACCACCAGGATTGTGGCAAACTTCACTACCATTTATAAATAAGTTAAACACTTAAAATTCATTTCATTTGTTAGTTTAGTAGTAAATAATGAATAATTGAATTAAATTTACGCTATTTCAACTTTTTTTCGTATCGAAAATATCATTTTAAAAAATTTGTCCGGCCGGAATTTAGCCTTTTCCGGCCGGATAAATGCCGTCCGATCGGAAAAATGAAAATTCCGGCCGGACTTTTTTCCAGCAAAATATTTTTTTCCAATTGGATTTCTTATTTTTTCTGACTAATTAAATATGATATTTTATTGAATATTTTTATTTCTGTTTACTATCTGTCTATTTTTTACGAAAATATTCATACAAATAAAAAAATCCCATTTTGAAAGCTGGAAAAAAATCCGATCGGATTTTTTTGTGAAAATTCCGAAATTACATAAAAGCCACTTGAATTAATACCAAATGCTAGTTTTCTAAAAATGTTAACATTTAAGACACTTAAATTAAAAGATTAAGTTTTTTTCAAATTTGTAGAATCCAATTGGAATAATTTCCAATATTTTATACTGGAAAAAAATCCTATTGGAATTTTTTCCCGTATTATCTTGCTGGGAAAAAGTCCAATTGGAAATTTTCGGTAAAATATTCGAAATTTATTCGAGTGTAATATTTTTTTGAGTATAAATATATATTAACAAATTATAATTCGAAGATTCATTGTTAAAAATAACTACTGCAATGCAATGAAAGAAGAAAAAATATGACTCAAAGTAAATTTAGTGAATTCAGTAAAAAGAAAATACGTTTTATTGTAGTTAGTCATACATTAAGTGTGCGGTAGATTGAAATTTGTGGTTCAAAACTTACATGGTAAAATGTCGTTAAATGTAAGGTACCCATAAAAGGAAATATACGGACTGTCTGCATACTGTCATAAATGCACGTATTTTTTTTATTATAAAACCGAGTTAAATAAAAAAAATTGAGAAGTTTAGGAGATGATAGCGATGGTATCGGTTGCACAGTAATAAATTAGACCGTTCACAGAGCGTATTCGATGCTAACATGCATATTTAAAGTTAATGATGAAATAAATTTTTAAAAAACTATTTATAAGTAACTGGCAGCAATATGAATCGATTGTATAATTGCATATGGTAATTCTGTTTAATAACAATATATTATATTATAATCATAAAACATAGTTTGATCAACGCAAACAGGACGTTTCGGCCCCAAACCAAATCGGCCCCTGTGCAAAAATCGGCCCCTTGACGTTTCGGCCCTTTTTATAACAGTTTTATTAAAGTATTAAAGGAATTTTTATACTTAAAAAATTGAGTATATTGATTGATTGATGGCACACAAACAATTAAGACACTTTAAATAATCCTTAATTAATAATGCATAAAATAAATCCTTGATACAATTTAATATTTCGTTATCATCAATAATTATAATAAAAACATGAAAGGTAGGTTAAATTAGTGGTCAGCACACGTTTGTTATACGTAAGTAAATAAGAGTTTTCTTTGAAATGTTTCCTTTCATTACAGTAACTGTCAAAATGTATAAATAAATTCAATTCAATTTCATAATTATATCCAGAATTGATTGCGATAAGACTAAGTGAAAACATAGTTTCTTTTTTGGTATGAAAGGTTTGATCCTTTAAGACCACCCCAATTTTCGTTAAAAAATGATAATTTCCCTTATTAAGTAAGAGCACACATAAATCAGCCGCGTCACGACAAAAAACAACATAATGGGGTTGCGACCTGCATGGATCAAGACAAGCCTGCGCATCTGCAAAAAAATTAGATCTACCATAGCTTAATATTTATTTCATTATACATTGTAATATTATTATACAAAAACAATAATTCTTCTTACTTTAACATGTTTTGAAATATCTTAAGGGAAAATACTTAAAGTGTTTAAGATCTATTTCAAATAATTATGTAATAACACCATTTTCATAGTGAAACAGCAAAGTATTTATACTTATGTCATTTCGAAGACTGGCATAGAGCGGTCTAGTTAATTTGATACTTTTCTCAGGTCTCTAGTATTTGCCGGTCAAAAGAAACCGGGAGAGACCGGGGACAAGAAGCGACCACACCAGCCAATAATATATCCCTGTTTTTCAACTATTAAAGTGACATGCCTCCAGAAGGTAGTCATACTAATAACTCTTGAAAAGCAGTAAAGTTAAAAGAAATCAAAATAACTCTTTAAAATGTTTCCTTTCATTACAGTAACTGTCAAAATGTATATATAAATTCAATTCAATTTTATAATTATATCCAGAATTGATTTGTTAAGACTAAGTGAAAACATAGTTTCTTTTTTGGTATGAAAGGTTTGATCCTTTAAGACCACCCCAATTTTCGTTAAAAAATGATAATTTCCCTTATTTAGTAAGAGCACACATAAATGAGCCGCGCCACGACAAAAAACAACATAATGGGGTTGCGATCAGCATGGATCAAGACCAGCCTGCGCATCTGCAAAAAAATTAGATCTACCATAGCTTAATATTTATTTCATTATACATTGTAATATTATTATACAAAAACAATAATTCTTCTTACTTTAACATGTTTTGAAATATCTTAAGGGAAATACTTAGTGTTTAAGATCTATTTCAAATAATTATGTAATAACACCATTTTCGTAGTGAAACAGCAAAGTTTTTATACTTATGTCATTTCGAAGACTGGCATAGAGCGGTCTAGTTAATTTGATACTTTTCTCAGGTCTCTAGTATTTGCCGGTCAAAAGAAACCAGGAGAGACCGGGGACAAGGAGCGACCACACCAGCCAATAATATATCCCTGTTTTTCAACTATTAAAGTGACATGCCTCCAGAAGGTAGTCATACTAATAACTCTTGAAAAGCAGTATAAAGTTAAAAGAAATCAAAATAACTCTTTAAAATGTTCATATTTTATCTTTTTAGCATGAAAAACAGTATGCCTTCCTGTCAACGGGATAAACCTTTTATTATACTCTGAATTCTTTAGTGTTCTTTCTTCTAGCTGGATGTTACCGGACAATATGGACTCTAGACCTGTGATCCGAATGCACCGAAACATCAAAGGAAACGAAAAAAAAGAGCTTAATTTCGGTATTTGTGTCACTAAAAATAATAACTGATTAACTATATTATATATAAGATCCAGTATATTGAGTTAAATTACACTTGATATGCAAACCATGTAAATGTGTTAGGACATTTTAATTGCAGAAAGGTATCCATTTACTTGTAGCTTACTGAACATCAGTGTTTCTATTCTGTTCCCCATATGTGTCTGAAATAATGAAGCGAAAAGCACCCTGGTCTTTCTTCACCTGTTAAGCTGGAAAGTAGCTATGATCATTGTACCTTGGTACAACACCAACCTTTTTATAAAACATAAAAATTCTCAAAAAGCTTTTTTGTAGCCTTTTGCTCAGCACCATTCTTGTTACTAAATATCTTTGTGCTCGACAATTCTCAGATAGTAAAGCAAGATCCAGGATACTGTTGGATTCAAATTTCAAAGAGGGCAAAATTATATAAAAATACAGGAGTTATAGGTCTTGGTCAGTGATCTATTATGCTCTCCTGGGGATAGCAACTGTAATGCATAACTTGAGCCAAGTGTGATGATGGTGCCTTTGGGAAATACAGCATCTCTTCATAGCTTAAATAACATTGTTTCAGAAGTACAAAGAAAAAGAGATACAAAACAGTTTTATGAATGTCTTTATTCAGGTAACAACAAAAACTACTAAGTAAATGTAAACATATTATTAACAGGTCACCTGAGAAAAATTTCAAGACACAAATTTCATTTAAATAGTCAACATAGAACTTAAAGCTGCATACCTCCAGATGAGCTAAAATATTTGAAGAAAAATCTATTTTTTGTAGATCTAATGTACAAATTACTTTCTTTGTTTCCTTGACGGTATTTTATCATCTAACTTATTCTAAAAATAATCACTAAAATTAGCTTAATCTGGAGACATGCTGCTATAAATATAGAATAAAAATGCAATAAATACAGTTCCCTGACAATGATCAGTTTCTCTTTTGACAATTTCAATTTTTTGGTTATATCTCACTGGTTGATCCTCCTAACCACTTTCCTGGATACTAATCAGTAATAACATTTTCTCTGCCAGTGAACAACAATTGTCACTTTTTCTGATCAGAGGAAACAAATATATTTACACACTAGGTATGCGATAAACTGTGACAAAGAATTTCTACCTGACTAGAGGATTAAACTATTGATAGCAAATCAAAAAGTTTCACAACTTCCTTTACCTAAACTGGAATTGAAAAATATATACAAACTTTTATACATTAAGAGATATCAGTATTGAAAATGAAAAATTTAATATACCTTGTAAATTTGTTACTATACCAAAGAAGAAAACAACCAATGTTAAACTGCTAACAAACTCTTACATGTATATACTGCTGTTTTTTTTCCTCTTTATACATATTCTTATGTTGGAAAAACCAAAGGCAAAATAATATATCATTTTCATTAATTGATAATATACCACTTAAGGCTTCCGCCTTCATGGTCAATTCTTACACTTATAAACTCCAAGCTAGACCTGCATGTATATAGCTAATTAACATCACTAAGACTGATTCCGTAATAAAATTATATAATGTTCATGTAATCCAACATAGTGATAATTTTCAAATTTATAGAAATCAATACTTTGAATGTCAAATTTTTAACAATTATACTTACACAAACATAACAAAAACAAAAATGTGGTGATGTATCACATTTGTCAACAAACATCAGTCAATAAGGTAAGTTATCGTACTCAACCCTAAGTCCAAAGACCACCTAAGGTATTTACTTCCAAAATATTAGACATCCGCAGACCTGGGGATGATTAAATTGATCAGTAATTGATTAAATAACAATTACTTTCTGATTTTATTGTAATTAATTAAGATTGATAACTCAAACGTGTCTCGTCATCAATTAAATAAAAAGTTCCTTTAAGAGAGTAATTGATTGATAATTGATTATATTCAATGTACAGTAGAATTCCTACTTAAGACCAACCTGGAATAAAGGCCATCTCACTATTAAGATCATTTTTAAAAGGTTCATTATGTCAATAGTTAGATGATCCAGAGGAAGGATCACCTGCTTATTCACATTTAAGACTACAATATTCAGTGTAAATTCTTTGTTTATTTTTATTTGACCTAGCCAATAACACCACTGATAGTAAAGATATCTTAAATTGGTTTTAATTGTCTGCTTGAATTACATGTATTATTATTACCATCATTACTATCATTATCTTATTTCATCCATTACTAAAGAGCTTTTACATAATATTGAATGTAATAATTAAATGCATATTAAAATTTGTACAGAGGATCATATATACAGTCAATATAAATACAAGATCTATATGTATAATTAATATAAATGATTAAAAGAAAAGGCATATTTATAATATGTACAAACATTCATATATCTATTCATACTGAAAGATATCTAATGCAATTAATCTGTGATATCTAGCAACAACCATCAATTGATAAGAAAAAAATGAATTAATGAAAATTTGAGCTACTTATATGCATAGATATCACGTTCATAGCCAACTCTAAATTAATATATATATATATATCAATAGCATCAGAACTGAGCTTGTTTAGTGTAACAAAATCACTTAGGTGAAAGTGGAAGTAAAATCCAAGTCATTTAAGTTTAATGTTACAATAATTTCAATGTTGATAAAAGACCATGAATAAGTAGGGAAATATAACTTTAATAATACATAAATGACTGCCAAAAACACATTAAGTAATTAACCTTAACCAAAACGAAATTTTTAAGGCGATTAAGATGTGTTATAGCCAGGTCAGTTGTTTTTTACACAAACTATCAATTATTGACTATCTATAATCTACATTGTTTATGATTTAAAATTGGGGGGGGGGGGGAAGAATTCTTAATTGTCTGCTTGTGATGCAATCAACACTTTTAACAATTATGATAACCTTAAACCGAAAACGAAACATTAAGGTGTTTAAGTTGTATTATGAACAAGGAGTAATGATATCATAAAAATGTACATTTATAATGGGAAAATTTATAAAACAAAAATAAATAATAGAAAATATGTAATATTTAATATGCTTGAATGCTCTTTGGCACGACACATGATTTCACAAGGTGTGGAAAACAGTTATTATTAGGTTATTGTATGAAATAATGTGAGGAAGTAAACTTTAGAGTGGTTTTATGTTGCTTTCAGCACATTTATTTGGTGAAGAATTAATTTTTCATTTGTTAAATGATTTATGTACATCATATAATAATTAATATTGAAATCAGACCCAAAAAATTAAATATCAAATTTTCTTCAGAAATGTGGTTTCCTTTCATCAAATCAAAAATAATAGCACACTTTTATATTTTCTTATATTGTATTGTAGGTTAAGAAACTTACTGTTTGTTCATACACAATGACTTAAATAGAACATGGTCATAAGGAATGAAGCAATGATAAGAATATTCACAATTAAAACCACCCTGCAATTGAGACCATGATGGTGGTCCTGATTGAGTGTTCTTTCTGTGAAACTGTATCTTATAGTCAACATTTAAACTGTATCATGTAAAATAAAGGCATCCTTTGAATTAAAAAAAAAGTTTCCTGTCAAATCTGAAAGTAATCAATGTCAATGTAATTGATTAATAACAATTAATTAAACCAATTTTGTGCAAGGTAATCAATTTCGTGATGATAACAGTGTAATCATGCAATCAATTAAAAAATCAATAACTGCTATTTACGATTACCCCAGGTCTGGACATCCTCAACAAAATATGTATAAATAATATCAGCAACAGTGATCACTGCCTGATAATGTAAATAGATCAGTTGTATAGAGTGGTGAATGACTAGTTTTTTCTTATATGTCACATATACTTTATAACATGTTGCAACTATCAAGTAGCAATAGACACAATAATCACAAACAGGACACAGGCCAAAACAGACCTATTTTATTCACGAGCTATAACTCATCAAAAAACATTCTACTGTTTAACCAATTATCTATGTGCAATTTATAAACTTGGGTATAAATAAAATCCGGAAAGTGTCACTTAAATTGCATTACTGGTTCAGATAAGTAGTCCGGACAAACTTTAAAAATAGACATCAATTAAGGGCCATTACTCTGACAAAAATCAGTAAACTGGGTAATGCTGACAAAATGCACAACAAGACTTGTCACTTGTGTAAAGTTTGGATGAAGTTGCACCAGCAGGAGTAGTCAAGACATGTTTTGGATGGATGGACAGATGACACAAAAGCAACACAAAAATGTTCTGTATTCACCAGTGATCTTCATTTTGGCGAAGTAACCCCTTACTCTAATCTTTGTTATGTTGCCTCCCCTTAACGTCTTTTTTTCTTTTTTACCTTCAATGTTGTTCTGAGAGTTTCCTTTTCAGCATTTCTCAATATTGCCTGCTGGAGATGGGAGGAGTCCTCAGCACAATTTTCTACTTCTCTAAATGTTGGCAAGGCTGTGGCCGCTGGTACATTAATATGTACTGAAGATTGCCTACTGAGGTACTCTCTCCACCAGGACAAATGGTCGCTTGACAACCTACCGCCTTTGTTCCATTTAGTAAGATCTGTTTGCATTTTTTGTGATTCTACATCCATTTTTGTGTTGAGGGCAGCACTATGAAGGTTTTGCATGTCTGGTATGTGCTCAGTGAGGTCTAATGATCTGCATTCCTCCGTTTGGATTGGCCAATTCTTGTAGATCATTACAATTTTCCCGTCCACTTCCTTGAAAACAAATTGATGAGGAGCTGAAATCCCCTCAATCAAACCTCTACAATGCTCCAGCTTTTCTTTGTAGTCATATATTCCAGTTAAGCTGGATACTACTGGAGCAGGAGTGGTGCTGTCTCTGATGGCCTTGTGCAAATCTGGCAATGTCGGGGCATCAACATGAGATTGGTGGGTGCTGATCCTACTAAAAACTTGATCGATATCTTCATGGGTATGACCCACCATCAGGAATCCTAATTTCACCTGTAAATAGAAATTTGATAACTTGAAAATCGTTTAATGTAAAATACAAATAAAAACAATTACTCAGAACAAGCACATTTATTAATCATTATGCCAATTTATGGTCTGCTGTACAATACAAATTATTAGCTTAAACCCCTATTATTATGTTGAAAATAATAATCATCATGATATTATTAAATCAAATAGAGAAAGAAGAAATTGCTAAAGAATGTCCAAAATTGCAACACTGAAAATCTTGCAGGCTCGGGTTGATTAAGCCTGTTTTTGGGAAGATACCGGAAAGTACATGCTACCATACAAGTGAACGCCCCCTAGCAACTCTGTATTTTGGCAAAATTGAGTTATGGTTCTTGTGCACAGCACATATTTTTAATGTCCTTGACAACTTTATGAAATTGTATTGAATTCCAACCAGTAGTTTTCACCAGACAAGGAAAAGGAACAAAGGGCATTAACTCTGTAATAAGTCAAGATGGAGTTATGGTTCTTGTGCACTGCACTTCCTCTCAATGTGCTTAACCATTGTATGAAGTTATATTGAATTCCAACCATTAGTCTTCAAGTTATGGTCCGGACCAAAAAAAACAATGGAAAAGTATCAAAGGGCAATAACTCTGTAATTACTTTAGATAGAGTTATGGTTCTTGTGCACTGAACTTCCCCTTTTTGTGTTTGACAATTGTATTTAGTTGTTTTGAATTCCAACCAGTAGTTTTCAAGTTATGCTCTGGACAAGGAAAAGTATCAAAGGACAATAACTCTGTAATTAGTCAAGATAGAGTTATGGTTCTTGTGCACTACACTTCCTGGAACTCAATGTGCTTGACCATTGTATGTAGTTATATTGAATTCCAACCATTAGTCTTCAAGTTATGCTCCGGACAAGGAAAATGCAACAGACGGCTGGACCGACCGACTACCGGGTGACTCCTATATACCCCCTAAACTTCGTTTCGGGGGTATAAAAATCATTGATTGACTGTCAAGGTCATGTACAGGTCAATTTCATAACTATATAATTCCACTTATCTGTTTCAGTTTGGTCATAAGTGCTGTTTTGTCCACATATGATCAAATCCATACATAAATAACAAAATTATGACTACTTCAAAATTAAATACTTTGATCTTGACATTTCTCAAAGTCAAATTCAATTCAATCTTTAAGAATGTCTTCTAAAAAAGATTATTTCATCCAAGAATGAAAAAAAATCCATTCATCAAATACAAAGTTACAGTCAGTTATAGCAATAATCAGTGAAAACAAGAAATTATCATAGTATTGCAAGCAATCCATAAGACCCCTACAGGTTAGAACCCAAGCAACATTCTGATGGGCCATTGGCCATTCAATTTTACAAGTGAATGAATGACATGAATGGACTTAAATCTTTTGATTCCTGGCTAGTAAGGAAATAATGTTTATACAACCTTGTCATATTATTACAATGTGGGATTTTAAAGTAAATCCTATAAGGAATAAAGAAGTTGGAGTGTAAAATACCAATTTCTCGAAAAAAAAATAAGTTCAAGGGGGACATAATCCTGGAAATAGTCTTGCTAGAGTATTTAACCTTCTGTAAAATGTTGAGTGATAATAAGAAACATATATACGAAGTTTGAAGTAGATACATTAGGAAATAATGAAGTTATTTAAAAAAGACATTTTTTTTCAAAAAAATCCTAAGTTCAAGGGAGGTAATACTGATAAGTTTTGTTCTAGAGTTGTACACCTTGTCACATATGATGTGGTTGATGACCAAAAACTTATATTTAAAGTTTGAAGTAAACACCTTAAGAAATAAAGAACTTATAGTGAAAAAGCTGAAACATTTAAATCAGAAATCTTGAAATTCAGGCTATTTGTTGCCATAGCAACCAGAATTTTCAACATAGGAAGAAAAGAAAAAGATGTGCATAATCTCCAGACTGCCATCTACCCATATTTCAAGTTTCATAAAAATATTTTCAGTACTTTTTTAGTTATCACTGGATCCAGTTTATGTGTTAAATTAGTTGCCATGTTTTCAGACTATTTGTTGCCATAGCAACCAGAACTTTCAACATAGAAAGAAAAAAAAAAGTGGCATAATCTCCATACTGCCATCTATTCATATATCAAGTTTCATAAAAATATTTTCAGTACTTTTTGCGTTATCGCGGGATCCAGTTTTGTGGACGGACGGACTGACAGACGGACAGACAGACAGATGGAGGGTAAACCTAAAGTCCCCTCCGGTTAAACCAGTAGGGGACTAATAAAATAATTTCACCTTCCAGGTCAAAGTCATATATATATCAAGGTCAGTTTGAGTTTGATACACTGTAACATATGAAGGTCCTGACCTAAGAGATGTTGTGCCTTAATATGAAGTTAATTTATTTACAAATAACAAAGTAATCGCAACATATAGAAACAAGAGGGCCCAGAAGGCCCTCAATCGCTCATCTGAGAAATAGGTCAAAAGGTCATTTCCCCCCAGAAGCACAATTTGAAAACAAGGCACAGCTTAATCTGAACATTATTTTTTTTACACTGTCGCCAAGGAAATTTTTTGTGTAAAATTATTTCAATATTGAACCAGTGGTAAACGTGTTGTTTGATGTTGTTTTCTAATTTTAGCTCTGGTAGCCATTAAATTTATCAGTACAGCCTGTCACTAAGTAAGTTTTAGCTAATAAAAAGATGATAGAAAAAGAGAGAGAAATCAAACATTTGACCTGACTGGGGATTGAATTGTCAACTTCAATCCACTGGGGTGGGGCCAATTATGACCGCTTTCATTTGAACAAACTTGGTAGACATCCACTTGAAGATGTTTTATGCCAAATATCTAAGCTCCAGCTCTTTTGGATTTTCACAAAAACATATTTTAAAGTTTTTACTACAGATAAGTTTTTACTATATATATGTATATATTTAAGGAAAATCATTACCCCCCCCCCCCCAGGCGGGGCGAATTTTGACCCCAAGGCTTTTATTTGATTAAAGTTGGTCAACTCTTACTAGATGATATATCATGCTTAATATCTAAGCTTTAGCTATTTGTTTTTTTTAAAGAAGGTATTTTTAAGCTAGATGCTTAATATCTAAGGTTTTGCTATTTGGGTTTTTAAAAGAAGATTTTTTAAAGTTTTTACTAAATACCTATAAGGAATATCAATGACCCTCGAGGCGGGGCCAATTTTGAATTTGAACAAACTTGGTAGACACCCATTAGAAGATGTTTCATGCTTAAAATCTTTGCTCTAGCTCTTTGGGTTTTTTAATGAAGATTTTTTTAAATTTCATTTTACTATGTATTTATAGATAAGAAATATCAATGACCCCCCGGCCGGGGTCAATTTTGATCCCCAGAATTTATTTGAACAAACTTGTTAGGCACTGACTAGAAAATGTTTCATTGAAATATTAAAGCTTTAGCTCTTTGGGACTTTTAAAAGAGGATTTTTTACAATATAAACAAAATAGAAAAATAAAAAAGAAATATCAATCACCCCAAGGGCAAGGCTAATTTTGACCCCAGGAATTTTTTTTTTGAACTTATTTGGTAGACACAGACAAGACAATGTTTCATGCCAAATATTAAAGCTCTAGCTCTTTTGGGTTGTTTTAAAAGAAGATTATTTTTTAAGGTTTTCGCTTTCGGTTGCCATGGCAATCAGAGTTCTGCATGGAATTTATTTAATTCTTTGAACAATTTTTTAACTTTACTACCAAGGAACATTCCTGTGCAGTTTGGATGAAATTGGCTTAGCCGTTTATGAGGAGATGTCATTTTAAGTTAAAGTTTTTGGACAGACTGAGGGACACCAGACAAAAAGCGATCACAATGTAAGCTTACCATGTCACTTTGTGACTTGTGAGCTAACATTTTTTTGCAAAATTAAATATTTTACATTAAAGGTCAAGGTAATTTTTGAGATATGTAGTTCATTTTAATGAACTTGGAGGTCTTATGAAGTTTTCCATATAGTTGTTCTGTCCAATAGGAAGGCAATCCATTGAGAGAAAAAAAATTACGACCAATGTTAAAAGTTCAGATGGTAAAGACAACATGACTAACCTAGGCAATAGCTTTCATGTCTTTGAAAAAGGTGAGCTAAAAATGACTCTTAAGGTTTATAAGCCATATTAAAACAAATATAATATTAGCTGTCCTCCAATTTGAGCTCTTTGTTTATATTGAGAGTTCACATACCTTCTTGAAAATTTTGACTTTTATTAACCAGGCCAAAAACACCATCACAAAAGAATTCTTGTTATCTTTTCCCGAATTGTCAGCCTGTAGGTACAGGGTAGGTGGCATCCTTCCATCATTTTCCTGAATAGATAAGATTTCTATATTCATTATCTGCTGCTTTTTCCAAGCTTTCAATTTTATTTACAATATCATCCTTATTTCATGGCCTAATGATAAGTATTTTTTCTATCAAATTATATTCAAAGTTTAACTATGACTACTTTTAACCAGTTGCAGTTTAAAAAAAGGTAGTAATAAAATTCTTTGATTTTCAACATTATTAACTTTGTTTTTTCAAGACAAAATATGAATTGTATTCGAATTTTGCTTTACTTAAGAATGATTACAATAGAAGCCTGATTATAAAGTTATATTTTCTGTTAGGACTGTTCCATACATAGTCAGATAGCATGAAATAGGAGAAACAAGTGAAGGTGATATATATATTTATATAACGTGATAACTTGTTATTAAAAAGTAAATTTATGTAGAATATATTTTTTAACAAGAGCCATGGGTTGGCAGGGACAACGTGACTTTTGTACTTTTCTTTGGGGAAAAAATCCGTTTAAACAAATATTTCAAAAAGAAAATTAAAGAAAAGAATTAAGTTTTCCTGTTTTAATTTTTATAGGTCTGTTTAGCCACACTTGTTGTGAATCAGTTCCATAAATAAATAACAAAGGTAAGAAATTAAATATAAGCAATTGACTGTCAAGAAGAATGGAATTAAGTCATTATATTCAATCAAACTAGTCTATTACTAACATATTAACTTTTCACCTAAAAGAATTAAGACTGTTAATTTTGCTTAACATTTGATCACTCATTTACAAATATAAATTTGCTTAATTTAAGGCACATTTTTGTCTATGATACCTTTTTGCAAATTTGCTACCTGACATTAAGAGAAGCAATGATATAAATGCAATGTAATTCAGGAGATACCGAGGAAAGTAAAAATAAATGGTTTGGCAAGAAGTGATGTAGCAACACCAGTGTTTTTTCCCTGATTGGGAATGGTGCCTGTACCAGATAGATTGGGAAAATGCATTGGTTTGACTCATTTTGGAAATTATACATAAGATGCAAAATATTATTTGTGAATTTCTTTTATCCAGGGAGACATGAAAATTATGCATATGGTACCAGTAATTAACACTTTAAAACCATGTATTATTAACTTTATTGATTTTTTTTCTGCTACTTGAGGTTGAAAGAAAAATTGATAAAAATTGTACGTTCATGTGGACATACTTGGTTTTTATCGTACATCACTTATCATGATATGGATGCATCCATTACCGTTGTTGTTTATCTTTAAATTTGCCGATTTTTGTTTAAATTTTCATAGTACTTTTTGGAAATTATCAGTCATGAATTGGGAAATTTTCTGTCCATTTACTTCTGGGTACAGTGCTGTTTTCTGATATCAGTTATGTAAGGAAAAGAAACGCTGAACACATAAAATCAATATTTCAGTAGGTTGTCTGTTTTCTTTCTCAACACTGTTCAAATTACAGAAAAGGGATTGATAAAGAACTGATTGAAGTGACTCCAGTATTCACTCTTATAACTTTGCTTGCAGCTGTTAAATATTCAAACAGCAATAAACTTACCAAACTCACTGCATGTAGTACGTATACCAAAGTATTTAATGTGACATTGCAATCTGGATGAAACATATCTGTCCATGTCAAAATAAATGTTTTTTCTATGCTGTGAACCTTGACTCCAGTAACATGATGTTGCATCTTGTTAAGTTGGGCATCAACCTTGAAAATAAATATTATCATGTTAAAACATTTAACCTTGAAGGTCAAGGTTATTTATGAATGATAGTCAAGATTTGTCTTGTCTACTTGAAGGTCTTGTCCCGAAGGTTGTTGTGGTCAAGTATGAAGTCAAAACACCAAGAACTTGTTTGTTTGTTTGTTACATTTTACGCCCTTTTCAACAGTATTTCAGTCAAATAGGCGGGTAGTTTCCTAACCATCGTTCATGGAGAGTTACACCAGTACTAGACTACCTTCCTCCGCGCTAAACTACCAAAGCATCTCCCGGGGATCGAACCCACGCCAGAGAGGTAACTGGATTAGAAGTCATCGACTCTAACCCCTCGACCACGGAGGCGGTACATCAAGAACTTGAAAAGTAATGATGATGGTTAAAGTTTGCAGACAGCAACGTCCACATGACTAACATTTACCTGTTAATGGCTGTTATTATCTTTTTTTTTTTTTTTTTTCCAAAAAATAAAAGTGGAGCTAAAAATCATTGATTACCCATCCTTTTTTAAAATGACTGAATAATTTTTAATTGCGAGTACTCATGTAAAGAAATGTAAAAAAATCCCAAGATACCTTAGAATATACTGCAAAGTTGGGCAATCTTGTTTTTGCTTGATCCATATTATCAATGATAACTGATACATATGTCTGAGGATTTTCCCTTGCCTTTTTGATGTGCTTGTAGTATTTAGCCCTGCATATTCTGAAGATAACGTAAACATATATGGATACAGAGTCATAACTTATTAATACTATGGTAATTTATTAAATTTCTATTATTAATTAACTCTCACAGAAATAGTTGCCAGTTACAATTTAAAGCACTTAAACAGTATTTTCTAGAGGCATGTTGCAAGTTAAATTTACTGGGCAATTGGCTCAGCCTGGAATATTGACTGTGTATAGGGAAGGGGAGAAGTAAAAAATTCTGATTCAAGGAAAATAACTCAAAAGTGAGACTGGCGACACAAACTTGTTGCTAAAAATATTTCTGTCATCATATTAAAGAAACTCTATAATGATTTTATGTCTATTTAATGATATTAATCATAAATTCTGATCATACGCTAAAAATATTATAAGGTAAGGGAATATGTAAAATTGAGAACAAATATTCATTTTCTTTTTCTTTACTACAAGTCTGTTTCCCTCAATAGTTATATGTTGATAACTGTTCAATTGAAAACAAACATTCTTTTTTTCTGCATAATAACAAGTGTGCTTCGGCTTCGGTAAGGTACATTTATCATTAATTTCAACTCCACTTATAATGATAATGTTAATAACGATTATGTTGCTGCAGTCTCAACATATTTTTTTCATGTGTTTACTTTAAGATACTTTGAAATTATAGATAAAGAGGTCATTGCTGCATGTCAAAATTCTAAGCTATGGGCATTATAGTTTTAGACCATTATAGTTTTAGTCTTCAAAAACTAATTGATCCATGGTAAAGGCATCTCAATTGGTACAAAACCAATTTTAACACCATGAGCATGATTCTTATATGCCATTTACAATATCCCACTTTAAATCAATTTGCTGACGAAAAGTTAGAGTATATCATTAATGTAAAACATACCCTTGAAGATTAAAATGTAACTTTCTTTTTGTCTCAACCATTTCCCTTTCTTCTTTAGTCAGTGACATATTCAAAGCTGCTGCAATATTTGTACAAGGTGTACATTTTGGTTGTCCATTCTTTCCCTGAAAATTTTATTTATATATATGCTTGTATATCAATTATACATGTATTATATTGAATTTTTTTAATTATGATTATCAATAAAATGTATACTTCTATGAGACTAAGTGCATCTGAATATTTTACTTTTTACATTACTGACAGTGACAGTAAGTAAGAAGACCTGCTATCAATAGATTATATATATACATGTATATTCTATATTGTTTATTGTTAAAAAGTTTTTGCCTTTTTCTTTTGTTAAGCCTTTTGTAATCCACTTATTCAAGTCCCTTAAACTTAGAACTTCAAAATTCTGTAAATTTAAGTGGCTTTTTCTTGAATTACAAAAAGCACTTGATGCCTAAGCTCTTATCTGAACAAAGTTATGGGTCGGACACGAATTTGGGACGAACGTACGGACGGACTGACGGATGGACGGACAACCAGACCACTATATGCTCCCCCGAAATTTTACGGGGAGCATAAAAATACAAGAATCAAAAATCCTTGTCAGATTTAAACCCATTGCACTGCAGTGTTTTTTCTCTTTATATAACTTCTACCCTAAAACGGTACTGTTCCCAATTGAAAATAGACATTAAAATTTCCAATTTCCAATGCAGTGCTACAGATAAGCAGCGTATCTGCGTAATTACCCAATAATTTTGACCAATTTACCCAAATAAAATAAAATTTTTGCGTAATAAAAACGCAAATCAAAATATCAGTACCCAATTTGTTTTGATACTCTAGCGTATTTTCAATATCTTGGACCACAATTCACATAGCAAAAACTGCCAAACAAATCCGAAAATAGCCTGTTTCCCTTTCTGTACTTTCGTTTTCCATTTGTTAACCGGGAACAATTGAGTAGACTGGTTTTATTAAAGATATTTTTTAGCAGAAAAGCTTTATATACTTATGAGAGATAACTAAATAGCAGTCCAGACTGAGGTTTATTTACTTTCTACTTCAACAAAATGGCGAAACGGGGCTGATAAAAATTAATTATTTCAATGCAGTCTAACAAAATATTTGGTTATATAATTTTACCGAGCCAGATGTTGTAAAAAATTTGTTAAATGAACTTTTTAGACAATGTTTGTTAACAGTCTTTGTGTATATTGTTTCCGAGATCCTGGACAATATTTTGACCGAATCCAATTCTATGCAAACCAATAAATTTTTCAATGATACCCAATTTTGTTTCTGTGTTACCCAATTGCTTGTCAAGTCCAGGGGTAAATACCCAATTAACTCAAAAGCTTATCTGTAGCTCTGCCAATGTTAAAATTCTCAAAATGGCTGTTCAAAATTTCCATAAGGTCAAGTGATTTCTCTGAAATCATCTAAATCCAACATATTCATATAAATCATCACTGGATAGTTCTGCTTGGACAGTGGAAGCTGTTAGGCTAGCTATCTAAATTCATGATGACTAATCTTATTTGTAGCTGAAAAAATGCATAAAAGAAGACCCCAATTTAAAACAAAATAACACATTTTTCCCAATCAGTCTGGTACCGGCACCATTCCTAAAGTAGAGAAAAAAAACGCTACTGTGATAGGGAATCTCTTTATGCACAAGTTTCCAAAGATAGTTCAGTTCATACCTATCATTTTTTACTGAAACTCACCTTTGAAATCTTTACATTTGGAAAACCTTTCAACCACATGTCATTGAATGAGGACACACTGAGATGCTTTTCAGATGCTTCTATCATGGCAGAGCGGTATTGTTGAAAGATGGCGTCTTTAGACACACAATGAGGAAGATGTAATTCTTCTCTGTCTGGCATTCTTTCAGCATGTAACTGAATATAATTCTGTAACCATGTTCTAGCTTGAAGTTTAACTCTTGAAGGTGTTTTCAGTTTTGTAATTGACGGCAATGGCTCCTCCTTGATTACTAATCTTCTTTTCAATTCATAATATCTAGAGAAAAATGGAGAAAACACATTAATATATACATATATCAGGAGCATCAGGAGTTTGGGAACATGATCCATGCCTATGGAATTGGGTATTTTAGGGATCTTTTGTTAAAAAGTGGGATAAAATTCATTACTAATGTTTTGCAGTGACTAAATAAATACAAGCAATCCCCGTCTGAGATGGCATCTTCAAACATTTAAACACTATCAGTGAAAAAAAACTTTCTTTTTTTCAAATATCTTAGAATTTATTATCCATTTTATTTTAATATTTATTTTTTTTTCAATAAGGATTGTTTTCTGTGGATCTGATTGAGAAAAAAATACAACTTTATATTAGGAATATGACCCAATATTAGCTTTAAAAAAAGCAAAAACAAGATTGCATTTGTGAAAAATGCTATGCAGGACCAAAATTGACACCAGGGGAAAAATTTGAACAACTTTGTTAGAGGACCTATAGATAATATTATATAGCATACATGCCTTGTACCTTCAGACAAGAAGATTTTTTAATTTTTTACTAAATGTACATAGTGAAAATCAATGACCCCCTGGGGCGGGGCCAATTTTGACCCCAGGGCTATAATTTTTAACAATCTTGGTAGTTTCACTACGCAAAGTCCCATGCCAAATATTTAACCTCTAGCCTTTGTTAATTCAGAGTAGAAAATTTTTTTCAAGTTTTAACTTAAAACTATCACCTCTGGGGCAGGTCAATTTTAACACAAGGGGTATAATTTAAACAACTTTGGTAGGGGACCCATGGATGATATAGTACACCAAATATCAAAGCTCTAAGCCTTGTACCTTCAGACAAGAAGATTTTTTAATTACATATTGAAAATCAATGACCCCAGGGTGTGGCCATTTTGATCCCAGGGCTATAATATGTACAATTTTGCTTGAGGTTCAATACACAATTTTTCATGCAAATATCTAACCTCCTGCATTTGTCAATTTATAGAAGACAATTTTCTAAGTTTTTACTATATACATATATAAAGGAAAAAAATAACCATATCAAATTGTTTAAGAATAATGATAATAGTGATAACAATGCTTTGGTTCGTTACATATTGAAACGAGATTGCATTTGTAAACAAGAACTGTCAGAGGACAGCAATGCTAGACTTTTCGTAAAAGTTGTCACAAGTGTATTTCAGAGTATAATAATGCTTACCTATATGAATACATAAAATTGTCCGAAAATGTACAAAGGCTTGTTACTAAGATGTTTTATCGAGTAAATCACTGCTAGATTATTATGAATGCATAAAATTGTCATCAAAAAGGCACAAACCCTTTAGTAGTTATGGAGTACCATCATACAAGCAAAAACTAAAGTTAAAACCATGTATAAATTCGAAAAAAGGACATAAATATGCAAAACAGCAAATCGGAGATATGGGACTTTTGCTAATCATCTAATTCTTCTTAGATAATCACAGTGAACAAGTGCATGAAGCTTCAATCCATTCCGTTCTGTAGTTATAGAGATAATAGCTTACACGCAAACTCTTAACCACATGGACGCCAACAAATGGGTGACTGCATTAGCTCAATTATTCTGTCAATAGTCGAGCTAATAATGCTATGCCACCACATTAATACAACACTAAATAGTGGTCAAGGTCAAATTTCACATAGCCTAAATTTCATGACTGGCACTGCACATCATTACCACAATATTTGTTCTTAAATTATAAATCAATACCTTCTTCTTTTTATTCCATATAACTGTCTCCATCCAACTTCACACATGTTCTTTCCACAAACAGCAAACTGGTAAGAAACACTGTTTCTCAGCTGAGCAAATATGAATGATCTCTGCTTTTCTACACTCAATGACCAGTAAAATTCCCTCTCCTTTAAAATCTCATCTACTGAGTAGTTACTACAACAGTCATTTTCACAACAGGCCTTCATATAAACCTCATTTATTGATTCAAGTCTTGTATGCTCATATTGCCTCTTTTTACCTAAATAAAAAAAAAGTTATCCATTTATAGGAATGAAACATGTTAAACACTTGTTACCTCCAGGTTCATTTTTCATGTGTATTACATTTTAGGGGTCACATGAAATTTAAGTGACATGTCTAACCCTTTATCTTAACTAAGAATTAATCACACCTCTGAGTGTGGGCAACGCTCATCATTTTTACTTTTTCTACAGCAAACAATAGGTTAAAAAATAAAAGAATGTGATTTGTCACAATCTTTCTTTCCTATATTGTTGGACAATAATAATTGAAAGGGTTGTGCAAACTAGTTTGTTTAGAAAATGGAATTGATTGATAGTAAAGTTAACATAGCAACATCAATTTTACAGTATATTGTCTATGCTAAACATCTAAGGTCTAGCTTGTTGGGTTTTTTAAAAGAAGATTTTTTAAGTTTTTTCTTTACACATTTATTTAAAAATAATGACACTCCTGGAGCAGGACCAGTTTTGACACCAGGGCTTTTATTTGAACAATCTTTGTACACACTTACTAGAAGAAGTTTCATGCTTAATATCTAAATAAAACTCTAGCTATTCAGGTTTCTTCCAAGAAGATTCTTAAGTTTTTGCTATACACATATAAGGAAAATCAATGTCCCCAGGGGCGGGGCAAATTTTGACCCCAGGACTTTTATTTGAACAAACTTGGTAGACATCCATTAGAACATGTTTCATGCTAAATATCTTAGCTCTAGCTCTTTGGGTTCTTTAGAAGAAGATTTTTAAGTTTTTACGATATGCATATAGGGAAAATCAATGACCCTCTGGGGCGGGGCCAATTTTGACCCCAGGGCTCTTAGTTGAACAAACTTGGTAGACATCCATTAGAACATGTTTCATGCTAAATATCTTAGCTCTAGCTCTTTGGGTTCTTTAAAAGAAGATTTTTAAGTTTTTACTTTATGCATATAGGAAAAATAAATGACCCCCTGGGGCAGGGCCAATTTTGACCCCAGAGTTTTTATTTGAACAAACTCGGTAGACACCCATTAGAACATGTTTCATGCTAAATATCTAAGCTCTAGCTCTTTGAGTTCTTTAGAAGAAGATATTTCAAGTTTTTTCTTTTGGTTGCCATGGCAACCAGAGTTCTGCATGGAATTGAATTCTTTGAACAATTTTCAAAGGTAACCACCTAAGGAACTTTGTATATTGTTAAAATCTGGATAATTATTATTAATTAAAGAACTTTTCTTCTTAATTAATTGCATTTAAAAGTTAGAGTCAGAAACTCTTGAACCTAAAAAAAATAAAAATGTGTTGATGTAATGTTGTGTTGATGTGAATCGAATGCTTAACTAAACTTTATTGAGCAACTAGTACTTCATTAAATATCACGGCAATTTTCAAATACACATTTGTTTATTTTCTGTGCCATATACATGTATATTTTATAAAGGTGTACATGTATATTTTGTGAAATAAAATTAGGAAAAAAAATTCAATGATATAACTTGATTTGATGATCACTGCTCCCTAAATTTCAAAACTTCTCCCTATTTTTTCTGAAGGAAGTGACTTCTCCCTAAATTTTTAGTCCAAGATAGTCCCTGTATTGAAAGAAGCATGCATACCAAGTTTGGAGCCAATCCGACTTATAATGACTGATTTATGCTCCGGACAAGCCTTCAGGGATGCCGCTTTTACAGACGCCAACACTGCCAGCAAAAGTAATCCCTATATGTCACCTTTTCAAGGCCACACAACTAGAACTGTCAGCAATAGAGACAATATCGATATATCATTGATATTTTTCTGTATCGTCAATATACAAGAATAAAGAAAATTACCAAGAAAATTACCTTTTAATACTGGTCTTTGTTGATCATCAAGACTATTTAAAGGTGGCCTACTGGAATCCATCCCTGCTAAAAAAAAAGAGAAAATTTATTTAATTTTACCCATGAAATGTGATGCTTTAACAGTCAAATAAATGTCACATTTTTAAAATCTCCCAAATTTGTCATTTGGCGTTTTCCCAAAATAGAAAAAAGGCCTGAATACAAAACAACTTTTTGTTGAATTTTGTTCTGAAAACTATCTAGAATGAAAGAAAATGGTCTAAGAAAATAAATCAGAACACCAATATCTTTAATCAATCATTAATGCTGTACAGACAGTTAAAGAGTTGTTCACGTGACGTCACAATGTAGCGCTAAATATTGCATGTAAAACAAGACAATAATTATATTACTGCGAGCTGTACAAATGCAGTTGCTTAACAAGCAAGGGGGTTGGTAACCATTTTTCTTTGATGATGAAATTAAATAAATAAAAAAATTTCGGCTTGTGAAAATGTGGCATTTTTATTTATCATGTTTCGCCTTAGTTTCGTGAAAATCATATTCAATATTTCACTCAAACAAAAAATATCCTCTTAATATTTGAATAACGAGAGCTGTCGGTAGAACAGCACGCTCGCTATTCTAAATGCATTTGTTAAATAAATTCATTATCTAAAAGTTCAAAAACTTTAAATTACTTCTAAAAACAATCGCTCAAAGATTAGAACAACAGAACATGTCAACCATGACTGTCTTGCTCAGCTGGACGCTTACCCATCGATTCGTGAAATCCGATTCACCCTGTGACGTCATCAATATATAGGTGCTCACACCACTAAATGTTTGCTAGGGTTTCTTAATCGGACAAAAATCATAATCGATCATCGAAAATAATCGAACAACCCTTTTCGATCAATCATCGATTATATAATCGAAACATTTATGATAACAAAGTAAAAAAGTATAATGTACATATCATGCTTTAATATTTATAAGAATTCCATTTCCATGTGACCACCACTTTATCAACTGAAATAAATTAGTTTTAAGATATACTATGCTCATCCTTGAGTAAAATATTTTAATAAAATAAATTCATTAAAATCTATGAAATTATTATATCTCACTTTCTATTAAGGAATGAATAAACTATGTATGGGAACATTAGTTAAGTTGGTCGATCTGTTCTTAACAAACTGCCAGTTTTTTAAATGACACTATATATTGATATTGCAACCACCTATAATGTGTAGAATAATTTTATACATAACATATTTTCTTTGTGCATGCGAAGTCAAAACAAGTTTATTTTATATCTACAAGTAGACGGTATAGCAATTTTAAATATTTTCTAATGTCAAATTTGAGCATAGTATACCTTTAAACTAGCATGCCTGATTGTCAACTATTAACTAAATGGTCACCTGTATACTTTCATATTCAATTAAATGAAAATTAATGTTTCAAACAAAACTGAGTGTTGTTATAATACAGTTAGTCACTAAAGTAACGGCAAGAAAATAAATTACCGATGATCGATTATTAAACTTTGTAATCGATCATCGCCGATCAGTTCTATAACCGATCAATTTTCGATTATACTCGATCATCGTTTAATCCCTAATGTTTGCATGGTTATTTTCAGCCCATTCTGATCAATTTATGTTTCAAAGTCTTAAGTAAATTCTTACAGCATAATGAATATTTTATTGGCTTAAATGTAAGTGTGTTTGATAAATTAAAACATCAATATTGAAAATTTCAAAGTAATTAGGTCACCAGCTGATTGTAGGGTAAGGTCATTTACACCTGTTCAATTACGCATTTTGATTGGATAAAATTGTCAAATCTAGTGTCTAATAAAACTTTTGTAGTTTTCGGATGGTGTATGTCCTTGCAGAAGTATTTATACAAACAATTATTTAGGTCACGAACACAGGCGGCAGTATCAGTGTTTGGACACCCCACCCCTATCTGCCCCTGGACCCCTACTACAACCCTGAAAAAAAAAAATTCATCACTCTAAGGCTTACTATAAGGTACCAAATACAAAACCACCGATGAAATTATATATAAAAAAAAAAATTTCCACTTTCAAATTTATAGTTATAGAAAGGTGAAAAGCCTACTATATGATCATTTTCCAAACAATGTGGAACACGGGAAATCGTCGTTTCGGTGACAAAGTCGCATTCAGCCAGGATTTCGCTGCATCATTCAGTAACGTTAATAAAAAGAACTAGAATTCCACAGCTTATCTAATTCAAGTCTAACGAATATCACTATCATTCTGATTTATTTCTGTTTCACGGTATTTTTTTAATTGTCGTAGCCATTTTGCAGTCTGATACCTGGGTTGAAATATGCGATCTGATTGCCATTGGACGAGCCAAATTTGACGTCGAATCAGATCACGTATAACACACAGGTATCAGAATCCAAAATGGCAACGACAAGTCAAAAATTACTGTGAAATAGAAAAAATCGATAGAATAATCGATATTCGTTAAACTTCAATTAAGTAAGCTGTGGAATTCAAGTTCTTTTTATTGATGTAAATGAATAATGTAGTAATGAACGGAAAAATATATTCGAACACACTGACGGTGCATGGGCAATTATTTTGTTAAAAAAATATTCCGTTAGATTGTTCTGCTTCAGTTAAACGCTTGCATTTGAATTAGCCAATCAGATTTCGCACACTTTACGGCCGCCATTTGTTTATCAGCTGTAAAAGGAATTGAAATACATAAGAGGATTTAATCATGATTTTTCGGATGTGACAGTTTAATTATTTTGACAAAAGGTATTTATTTTTTAGTTTTGTTCATAAATAGGTAAAAAAATATGTAAATACACGCTGTCCTCATTGTTTTTCGTTCCGCCCGATTTTCAGGCGGAACATGCTATGGGTTTTTGAGCAATTTCGATATGACGTTGCTTTGCCCAGAAGCAAAAATATCTCAAAGCGACGTCATATTTATAGGACTATGCAGCAAAATGACTTTGGAATGCGCCTCAGTCGCCGAAACGACAATTTCCCATGTTCCACATTGTTTGGCAAATGAACATATAGTAGGCTTTTCACCTTTCTATAACTATTATTTTGATAGTGGAAATTTTTTTTTCTATATAATTCCATCGGTTGTTTTGCATTTGGTACCTTATAGTAAGCCTAGGCCATCCTTAAAAAAATGTTTGTTTGCAGTAACCCGACCCAGAATTTTCAAGGTGGGTAGGTAGGTCGATTTTTTTTTTTTTTATTGAACTGTACTCCCAAATAAACATGGAATTTCAAAATGCTGGACAATATATGCTTTGATAATCTGGTAACAATTAATAAATTGATAACTGAATTCTAATTTAATAAGACCTACATTTTATTTCTTCTATTAACCTTTAAAAGAACGAAAACAAAGCACAAGGCATAATTTTCTGATTCAAAAAAAAAATTTTTTTATCCAGACCATGAAAAAAAATTTTGAGTAGGGGCAAATTTTGTGAGTCGGTCGCGTTACTGCAAACAAACATTTTTTTAAGGATGGCCCTATGAGTGTTGAATTTTTTTTCTTTTCAGGGTTGTAATAGGGGTCCAGGGGCAGATAGGGGTGGGTGTCCAAACACTGATACTGCCGCCTGTGGTCACGAATCGATGAGAAGGCACGAATCGATGAGAATAAGGCATATAGTAGTCCCCGCAGGTACCGCGTCCTTTCCAATTCCGATGTAATCAGAAAATTTGTTTCTTTACACATTGAATGCCACCAAATACTGTTTCCACCATTAATGTGAAAGTGGAAGTGCTGCTTTTTGTGAATTTGGATAGAAATTATTAGAAATTTTTTCATTTCAAATAAATTCTGTCATTCATAGGAAAATCCAAAGCTGCCTGCGTGTGCTGAAAAAAACTTCTTTACTTTACCCCATATATATCGGTTAAACTTAAAATTTCATGTTCCGACAAGTGCAGGTCGTCTTCTGAAACTGTAGTGACAACAATTTATGTTACAAAAAATTATACTGAAGCCAAAAAGGGCCATCAATTAACATACCACGGTACCATAGTGCTCTCCCTATAATCACCCATTCTAAACATGGCTGACCGACCATATATGTTTCTAATTAAAATCATTGAGTTATTCTATGAATGACATGTGTATTTTAAAGTCAAAATGCGACAGGTAAACACAATTCAATAAAATAGTAAATATAAGTTCTTTTTATTTGTACAATTTGCTGGAAATAATAAGAACAGTGGAACCATAGGGGACCATCCTACCACATTTTTTCATATATGTAAAAAATTCTTTGAAAATCAGTTTTATCGTTGTACTAGATGTCCAATTCGTGTTTAAATATCAAAAGAGTTTTGTTTACAGGACACTTATTGCCAAGCGTCTGTGTATACGTCCTCGAATTTCATACAGTTCCAATATGGCGGCCTTCAACATGTTCAAGACACTGACTGGCACTGACAATTTTTTGTCTATTTAAAAAAAATATTTAAAAGGCAAATAAACGTCACTTACCTTTTAACAAAAGTTCTGATCACTAGTCAGAGTCCGTGGAATTGTTCTAGCAAGTTCACATTTGATTATCTACATGGTATCGTATCCCTACTATACAATTACAATATTTATGGAATGGCTGCAGCAGCTGCCTTCCTCGCGCGCTTTCAGAATGAAATTCGGATTATTTCGGTAAGTACCCAAAATCCTTATCCCTGCGCATAGACTGGTCCCCTGCGCACTTCCGAAGAGTACATAGCGATCTTGGATGGGAACCATAATTGTTAAACTTGCTGTTCCCGGAATGGGTCCAAAGAAAAAACGAACTCATCTGACTTGTTCATTTGGGGTTGGGATAAAGATGAGCTAATTTCCTTATTTTTATATAGACGATTTTCATTCAGTTATGTTTTACATATAATAATGTTACCTTGGAAGGTGAAGCATTGTTCTGCATTTCTATATACAAATTTTTTTTCTTTATATAATTATCTACTGTACTGTATATAATACTGTAGAACTATTCACAGATATGATTTTATATAATCAATTATAGATAACTATATAAATTGTTCGAGCATGGCTTCCATAACTTGCACGAGCAGGTATAGCCGAGAATACTATTGAACCTGTTGTACAGTACCATATAGATTTTCTCTAATTTATATTGCTTCAAGGTTTATAAAAAAAAAAATTGTGAGTGATCACAAAGCCACACCTTTAAAAAAACTCCTTGCTTTTTTTCCCGCTCATTGCTGTAGATCTAATGAAAATACTTTCGTCCATCCATTCACATAAATGTCTCATTCGTCAACCAAAGACCAATGACTGAACCCATTTCAAAGGGTGATAAATACAATGTTTATCAATAATTCATACATGCATTTATATATTCACGGATTTACATTACATGTAATATAAATCCGTGATATATTAATCAGTAATTAATGCGTTTGAATAAAAAATGACACGTTTGTTCATTTATGGTTTTTATTAACATAAGCAAAATGACAACAGAAAAGTGCAAATAATTTTACAGAAATATTTTAATCAAAGTGCTCATCAAGCTATAATATAATTAGATTTAATTGTTAATATTTCAATTGGTACGTGTTGATACTAACTGACGGTGTATATCTTTCCCCCAAAAATATACACCGCCTCGGGGTAAAAGAGATCAATAGACAATTCAGTACAATTAGTACTGTTGGTTTGTGTGCTGATCAGGAAACAATAAGACACAGCGGAAATATTACGTAATATATGCATGATTACGGAGTACTGAAAGATCTCTGCGGGTAGTAATGAAATTGGACCAGGTTCCTGAAGAGTCAAATAAAAGTTAAAAAAAATGGTATAGGCCCGGGGCTACTGAACTTAATCTTCTCATGCGTTAAAAATGTACATTATCTCAATTTTAAATGATTATGGAATTTCATATTATTATAGATAGATAGATAGTTTATTCATATAAGACGTTTACAAAATGCACATGGTCACAAAATACATACATTCAAATATAATTTTACATCACGTTATCATTAAAGTTAACATTATTAAGTTGCAAAGTGTCATGCAATGATACAACTACATCTTTAGACTGTATTAACGAAACATGGAGAATGAAAAGAAATAAAATAATATTACTACATGTAACAAGATAACATTTTTATAATTATGTCTGAAGATTTGGTTGGTTTCAATTCCCTGCGTTTAAATGCTTGTGCTATAAAATTTCCCAAATTTAACAAGACTTTTTTCTTTTTAGAACTTAATAAATCAATAAATTTGTACATGCTCGGATTTAACACATAATATTTTTGTATGCATTTGTTTCTCAGGTCAGAATATTTTTTGCATGTGATTATAAAATGAAATTCATCTTCTATGAATAACATAATCTTTAATTTCTGGGTTTTCGATTACGCCTATGTCTAAGATATGTCTATTATATTATATATATTTATATAGACAAGCTTCTGTTTTGTCCAAATCTAGTTTAAAGGTTATATAGAAATGTTAAATCTTGTTTTGAATATGTCCTACAATCGTATTTAAATTCCCTACCAAATATTTGTAGATTTTTTTTACTATTTTAATATTCATGAATAGTCTTCCGGCAGAAAAATGAATAGTTTATTAAGTAAAAATTGAATTCTTCTTTATATATATTCAGCGTTGCAATAAATTATGGAATTATGCTTAAGACGACACCATTGTATTTTCCAAGTTTATTTGATTATCTCAGTATGCATAGAAATACATAAACACGAGAAAAAAGAATCCTAAATATATATATAAAACCATGTCTACATCTATTGTATCAGTTTATGTAAATGCTTTTGTGAGAAAGCTTATTGTTACATAATAACCCGCAAAACACGCTTATTAATTTAAATGTAAGTTTTACTGTAAAAAAAAGTTATCATTGGCAAATTATTCTTAAAACATTATTACCATTTCTGAATGGGGCATAATGTGCCTTTAACAACATAATTATATTTGTCAATAGATTACTGACACAGACAGACAGATACCTTTATTTACTCAAGCACATTTGTACTTACAATATGAGGGTTTTCTAATATAATGAATATAATACATTAGTTTTCCAGCAGTAATTTTACGCAATACTCACGGGAATCAGATATTGATTATTTATTCTGACGATAGTTTGCATGGTTTGTACGTGCTCATAAAAATTATAATATTTTTTTTCGTCAGACAAATAAAGGCTGTTTTTACTAAAACGCAAAATGTGAATCATACTGTGTAAAAGGAACTATTGTACATTAAATTGTTTTGCACAGAGCTATATTTGATAAATTATTTAATGAATTATTAAAAAATTTGATAGAACAGAACATAAGTTTATTAATAAATCGTATGCGAACAGCATGTTGATTAAACAATAATATTTTACATGCGTGCATAAAAGTATGTAATGAGAGCATATACAATAATGAATCAATGTATCGAAGATAAATATAAAGCCTACATATTTTCGATAGATTTGCGAGATTCGGCTTGGCTATTTCTAACTATTCATAACGAAAATGTCAAACTTGGTAATTGTTATTTCATATGACACAGTATTTCAGTTATGTATTTTAATGAACTATTTGTTTTTAAGAGAGTCTTTCTTTCTTCAAATGCTTTGATTAAATATTTTGCCAGTTTAATGATATAAAAGTCTCTGACAAGAAATCCTTTCAATTCTATATTTGTTAATTTCCTAAATTGTCATGTAATATACATGACCCCCTGTCGTCCGCCCCCGCCGTGCCTATTTGTTAAAACAATTTAGACACCCCGTGTAGTGTCACACGAGCGGCGTCATTGAGGCGCCCCTCTCCGCTCTAATGCACCCGCCAATCAGGAGTGTTTGACTAGAGTAACTAAGAAAACCCCAGTGTTAATGATCTTGATCACTTCAGTTTGAAAATAACGTTAATCGCTGATTAGCATTCTCGAACATAACTATCATAGAAAGAAAATAGCTATAAAATCTATCAATTTGAAATTTAATTATGTCGCAACTTCAATCACGGGAATCTCAGTGGTGGCTAACAAGTTGCAGCCCTACAGATGATGTACTGATATACAGGTAGGGGGCATTTAACTTATGCATAAAGAAAAAGGAATAACATTCAAAGAACATTTTCTTAAAAGTAGATTTAGATTCGGAGTACTGTGACTCAGCATGTTTGTTATTAACTACAATGCACTGTATACTTAAATCAGGAGATTTTTTACATTATTATATCAACATTTTCAATGCAATTTCAATACTCACGTTTTATATGACTTACTAGACACTGGGTCTTTCAAATAGATTAAATTGATAAAATATATAAACGACTAATGAAAGAGACACCAATTTTGTAAGAAAGCTATATACTGGTGTATACTTCCTGCTTTCGATAATTTACTTGGCGTTACATGTGATTTTTTAGTTTCAACCTTGGACAGAATATTATATATATTTTTTGTCACAGTTAGTACAATTTAAGCATTTTGTTTTTTCAAAACTATTTCATTCATGATATTCAGGTCTCAGGAAAGTCTTTTCCCCCTAAGAGTAATGTCAGTGGAGCCAAAGGAAATCAACACGGTTAGCATCGTTGGAGCAGATCAGGTATCATTTAAATATCTTGTTAGTTCCTATTTTTTGTGTGTGTTTTTTTTTACCAAACGTGTGATTAAAATAAGACGACTTCATTTCATTTCGAGAAAGTAAGGAATACAGATCTGTGTTAAACCATGCTTTACTGTACTAGAAAAATCGCCTTCAAATTTGACAATAATATACACAATAACACAATAATAGTTTATTCAGCATTAAACATTTTACAATGTTTTTAGCATACAGAGTATAATATACAAAGAGAACATGGTTTACAGAAGTGAACATGATTATCAATAATGACTAATACTTAATTGATAATATTTACTTTTGAAACAAGAAAAAAGACTGATTATTTGAATATAAACTACAAGAAAAAAAGACAGATCATTTAAATACAAATTGAACCAGCTACACAAGGTTTCTGTTTATACCTCCCGCGCGTAAAATGAGATTCTCGTGCGCGTGTAGCCTACTTCTAACTAGTAGTAACCAATTGAATACTGAAAAATAAGCGAGAGTCAAACTAATTATAGATCGAACATGCTGTATGAACTTTTATTAACAAGTTTTTCATATAAAAAATATCTATCTATTTAATCAAAGCATTGTTGGTAATTTATAAAGGCGCATAATTTTTTACATAATTTAGTACCTTAAGAATCCTAATAGAATGTACATAAATATACAATCATTTATTGATTTACCCTTTTGAAAATCAAATTGTTTTTTTTCAGAAATTTTCTCATATATATTTGTTTGACCAGGAAGTAATTGTGAATAGGTTTTTGCTAATGTATTAATAAGAGTAATGCCATGATAATTCTCAGCCTTATTTACATCTCCTTTTTTTAATATGGGGAAAATTATTCCTTCACCCCAACTTACTGGGTATTCCCCTGTATTTTGACAAATTATAATCCTTTTTTATAAATCAGTGGAAGTCAAGGAAGAAAGAAACCAAATCAAAAATAAATTAATTGAAAAAATAAAAAAGATAGATAAAAAATGCATCCTCTCAAATATCATCATCAAAAAGTTCAAAGTAAAATTTGACAATGGTTCCATGTAATTGTTTTAATAAAATTGCAATTGCGTGCCTTTGTATTATCATATAATTGCGCTTAAGCTACTTCAAAGATAACAAACAAAACAGGTTATTGTTCACTTATAACAGTTTTCAGTCAATTAATGATTTAATATTCACACATATATATGCAATAAATGCTGTTTGATTATCTGAATGTTTCTCCTTTTATTACTCGGAACGTTATAATTAGAGAATCTAACAATAAGACGGATAATTATATATGATTGGTCTGCGTTTAAAGAAATAAAAAAGAATCAAAGCAACAACAAAATACAGTTATCTAAGTCAAAGTCAAATTTCCTTTATTACACACATTTCATGTAATTAATAACATGAATAAATGCGGTTAGTAATAAATACCATGTTCATAGAGGCTCTTATAATCATATGTACAATGTATATATAATTTGAGTGGTAAAATAATTCGTAAAAAAAGAGTATTTGTTCATATCATTTGCTGAACTGCAGTTCATCAAACAATGTATCAAAACCACGAATTGTTAAATTTCTTAGTAAATATGTTACCACAAAAAAACTGCGGAGAGTCACGTAATTTAGACACTCTCAAAGGATATAATTTCGTTTGATATTACCTTTCTTTTTATTTATCATTTTGATACCAAATTTATATCAGTAACCGGAACAGAAAAGTAACCGGAGACAAGATGTTATGGTCACTCCCATTTTATAAGAACTTAAAATTATATTTGAATCATCAAATTATTGAAATAAAATGCAGGTTGTTTTCGCACAGTTAAAATAGAGAGACAAAGAAACATTGTTAAATCTGAAAGGAAATGTACATTTTGCAATGTAAACGATATATAGAAGATGAACAACATTTTGTTATACCTCGTCCTACTTTTTCTGACTATAAACCGCGTACGTTTAATATTACTATAGGAACAGAACAGAACATACGTTTTATTTAGACTTGTACATAGTACATCGTCATGCATATAGATATACATTGTATAAAACAATTATCACGTCACGTGATCATGGTAACACAAAGTACAATATGATACTTAGAATATATAATAGAATGTACATTGTTATGGTTAATAAGTAAATATTTTCTCAATCATAGCAGTAATAGAAATTCTACTGGCAACCTCACAGGATATTGTATACCATATTTTACCCAGTGAGTCTAACCATCCCACTGAAAGTAAAACTCCCTCCCGATAAAGGCGAAGGATAGATGTTAACCAGCAGCAAAACTAAATACTTATTGAGCAGTTTCTTTCTAGATAGAGAACAATATCATTAAAAGTTGTAAATGTTATCACACAAATATCATATGATAATGTATCAAATAAGAGAAAATACCTTTATTATTTAAGAACAATGCATGATAACACAAACAAACATGATGTTATAATATATGAGAATTGTAAAAAAAAAATATTTTCCAAGAGGATGTTAAAAAATTAAATATTTAAGAGAGTATTTCTGATTGCCAAACTTTCTTTAATGTATCTTGCTAAATTCATCAATAAAAGCTTGTTTGAAGTTTGCAATAACTGAATAAATTTGAACATCGATGGTCTAACATAAAAATATTTTTTTATATATGTCTTACGAATATTATTATAACAAGGACAAACTAGAACAAAATGATATTCATCTTCGATATCAAGGGTATTACAGCACTGACAATATCTCTCGTTTCGTGGTAATCTATGTCTACTATATCTACCAGTTTGTATTCTGAGAGAATGGGCTGATAATCTTATTTTGGAAATATACATTCTTAAACTACGTGGTAAAAGGTCGAGGTAAATTTCATACGATAAATTAGTTTTGCAATTTTTATATAGATCTAAAACATTATTATTTTCGATATTACCATGCCAATCTTGTACATAATTATCAATAAGTCTTTGTTTAAATATTCTAGGAAATAATTTACCATCAACATTATCACTATATATAAAACAATCAGCAAAACCATATGTATACAATAATCGTTTAACATTTGAGACCCAGTTATTATATCCATGTTCACAATCAATAACACTTTGTTCATAAACTTTTTTTATAATTATATTATCAGTTTGGATTGTTTTACACCAAAACTTGATTACTTTAACAAAACGAGCAATATATAATGGCCATCTTCCTAGTTCACCGTAAACCCCTGCATTACATGTACTTGTTCTGACATTTAGAACAGTTTTGCAAAATTTAAGGTGGATGCGTTCAATTTCTTTAGATTTAGAATGTCCCCATACTTCAGCAGAGTAATTTAAGATAGAACCAACAAATGAATCGAACAGTTGGCATTTGAGTTTAGGTTTTATATCATATTTTTTACAATTATATAGTAAAACATTTAATGCCTTAAGGCCTTTGCCAATTAAATGTTCCTGGTTTAAAGCAAAGTTGCCTGTATAATTGAAAATAGTACCCAGGTAGTTAAAATTATCAACTGTTTCTAATTGTTGCCCATTGTAGTACCATGTTTCATTTGCACGTACCCTACCTCTTTTCCTAAACACCATAACCTTAGTTTTTAACGTATTAACTTCTAGTCCCCAACAGTTGCAGTAATTATATAGATTATCTAAACTTGTCTGGAGATCTTCTGGTGTTTTACCTAGTATTGCCATATCGTCAGCAAATAACAACAACAATATAACTATATCATCAATTTGTAAACCTACATTGATATCATTTTGAAGGTATAATTCTAGGTCTTCAACAAATAATGAAAACATCAGAGGTGAAATTACCTATAGGCATCCTATATATGGTATACTTGAATTTATCGATCTGTTAAATGAATACACGCAGTACAAATATTATTACTTTGAATAAATTAGAAATATTTTGTTATAAATCATTTACTATCAAAATGTGTCTAATGATAATTATATTTAATACCAATTTTTGAATTTGTATGTTTATATATTTCACTTTGTATGCTGTATATTTGGGTAACATTTGACGAGGAACTGTTATGTTCGAATCGTTAAATAATCTAATAATAATAATTTTAGGTCAAATCAATGCCACTAGCACCTGTGGAGAAAATGACATTAATTTCACCGTGACTCGACATATTTATATTAGTTTCAAAGAAAGCAATATTTAAATAGAGCACTGTAATATGAAGTAATTAAAAAAATTCACCTTTCCCAATTTTAAAGGGTCAACATAGTGTGGAAACCGATAAGTACCAACTCATGACACAGTTACTCCCCTTTTATTTTTTGACATAATAAGCGAGATTATCCGAAATCAGCTGACTGTGTCGTCAGACGAGAAACTTATGATGTCAGGGACTATCAGAAAGCAAGTTATATCAAATTATTGAAATCTGTGAACAATTTTGTTTATATACGGCAAGCAAGTTAGCATGCGATATAAATAATTAAAATAAAAAAACAAGCATTGCCAATTCATTGGTCCCCTTTTCTAGATTAAGGTCTTCAGTTTTATTTATATCATATATTCATCAGTTAAGCAGTTGTTAGCCAATAATAAATGGAAGGGGAAATTGTACTTTAAATTTATTTTAGCTATTAATGCATCTATCAACACTAATTCATTTTAAGGTTGGTACATTTTCAACAAGTCTTGATCAGTTGATCTTAGAAATTTAATAATATTTTAACCTAAATTCAAACAGCAGGGTAATCACCATGGAAAATTTGTTCAAGATAAATCAACAGTTCAACTGTTTCCACCATTAAAAAGAAAGTTAAAGTGCTGCTCTTTTTAATTTTTATAGAAATTGTTAGAAATATGTTCATAAATTTAGTCTACTTATAAATTGGATAGGAAAATCCACATCTTCCCGTGTGACATAAAATAGATGTTCCTAATAATTTAAATATTCTACGAATGACATGTGTATTTTAAATGGCCCTTTTATGAACATGACAGAGAAAATTTTACATTATCAAGCTATTTTACTATCGATATTTAAAAAAAGTCGAGCATGTAACAAAAAAAATGTCCTACCGACAGCTGTTGTGATTTATGCTTCAGAGGGATAACTCTTTCTCCAGATTTTTTGGCCCCAAAATTTAATTCTTCTAACTTTTGTTGTCTTTGTTTAACAGTTGAGTAACACAGATAGTATGAGACAGCCCGAGCATATTTTGAAAATTTTATAAGCCATACCTCTGTGACATGTAAAACCCTCACTTGTAATACACTGTAATATAATGTTAAATGCTGCATCAGATGACAGAACAAATTCTTAAAATGGTGGCTTTGAAAGATAATGAACCCAAAATACCTTAAAATTGCTCTGTCTGCTTTAGAAGGAAAACATTTAACCCCTGCTTGCATATACAATCAACTCCACTTATAACGGACTCAATGGGACCTTTAAATATTGTTGGTTATATGCTAAAAGTGAAGTAGCAACAACTTGCTGATTTGTTTGGGTGAATAAATTTGCTGTGAAAAAGGCATACCTGTCACTGGTTACTGGTATAATTGGTATTATACGGAATCAGTAATCAAATGCTTGTCATTTTAATGAAGAAAATATTATGTATGTGGAACATTTATTTAGATATGCACTTACTTGTCTATAAAGTGCTTACCATTTGTATTCTTTTTTTGTTTTTTATTGTTTGGGTAATATTGCAAACAAAAAATTGGTTATTCGGTAATTATCTGGTATTTACAGCAATTTATCAACAAAAGGGTGCGGATTACAAATTTTCTGTATCAAGAAGGAAATGATGTCATTTATCAAAATCTTTATTCTTACATGTGCAATCACTCGATTGAATAATTGATTGAATAATTACCGGATAGGGGTATGCATGAACTGATCTTAGTCTTAGAGCATCCCTATATTTCTGTCATAACAGATTGTTTTAACATAGGAAATTTACATGTTTTCGCAGTTTGGGACTTGAAACAATGGTTTCTATAACTAGTACATATTAAGCAATGTGATTTAATATAAAATAAAGAAGGAATCGGCCAGGGATGTCCGATTAAGTTTGCTATTAACAAAAATCTATCATAAGCGATTTCGTTATAAATGTAGTTGACTGTAATAATTATGTAAAATGATTTTTAAAATTTTTCTTGCATATCAGATAGGATTATCTTACTGTTTACACTGGTTCTAGATAACTCTGTCTTACACCCCCATGTAAGACAATTCACATTTTTAAACGACGTCATTCCCACGTGTACGTCTTTTATGAATGAATTATGGTCTTTGGATGTTGTCATTGCACTGTTATGAATGAAGTTATAAATTTATACACTACTATAAGAAACTTACTCAATGAGATCTATCTACCTACAAAGTTTCAAGTTGATATTTAGAGTAATGTCCCGAACAAAATTCAAAGTATCAATATGAACAAAGGGCAATAACTCCAAAATAAGGCAAGAAAGAGTTAAAGTTCTTGTGCACTGCACACCTGCACAATGAGATCAATCTACCTACAAAGTTTTATGTTGATACCTCTTGTTGTTTCAAAGTTATGTCCCGGAGAAGAAAAGCGAACGGACGGACAAGACGCCTACTATATGCTCAACCTAAATTTTTCTGGGGGCATAAAAAGTGCTAAATGAAAATATTAGTTTTGTTAAGTCTATTAGTAGTATGATTAATTTGTAATATGCAAGAAATAGAATCAAACACCTGCTATATATATTTATAGTTCTCGGGTAACTATTAAGCGGAAACTCTGCAGAGCCTTGTTTCCGCCATAAACAGTTACCCTTGAGCTAGATATTCCAGTCTGTACCGGCAGCTGGGGTAAGATTCTTATCAGCCATACAATGTTACGTAAATGTTTCCACACTTTTGTTCAAGATATATTGTAATATAATTTTGTACATCCTTCTTTGTTTTAGAGTGCTGGGAAGACTGTTGTGCTGGAAGTGAAAATATGCTTATTCTTGAGCATGACAGCTCAATTTTTTGGACTGAACAATCATGACAATTCCTTGTCATTCTGTAGAGCTTTAGAAGCCCTAATGAGGGGACTGAATATTAAATTCTATATTGCTGGTATGTTGTATCCATTCTTTAATTTTTGTTTTTTGTCCATTGTATAATGAAATTTTTTTCTAAAAAAAAAATCATTGTGGGTGAAAGTATTTGCACTAGTGACTATGCATAGATAAACATGCGATTTATCACAAACTATTATAGCAATAGTTAGAAAAAGCCCTTTAAAGTATTTTCTTTAAACCAGAATCTGGACAAAAGTTAATGTGGTTTGGTAAATGTAAATGTTTCCTGAGTAGGATATTGATGTGAACCATGAATAATTAGAAAGTTTTGAATTTAAGCATTGATTTACTATAGCTTTATAGCATTTGGTTCATTAAACTTTCTTAAATGCATTTACTTTCATTTAAAATTTTGATAAATTCAAAGTAAAAAATTGATGTTCTTAATTGACAACATTGTCTTTAACTTTTTCTTTAGGAGAACCCTTTACAAGCACACCAGGAAGGCCAAGAAAAGAAAATGAAAAAGAAAAATACAAATGCCCTTACTCTTTTGAGGAGCAAGTTGAAGTAAGTTTAGTTTAAATATGTTTTTAAGATTTGCATCATTTACTTTAAGCCATATAACAATTGCTGATTAACCTTCATTTGCATGAAAACTTAACGCTAATGTGCATATAACATTATGTGAGCACATGCTATTACTCACATATTATAAAGCACAATTAACTTTATCCTTTTATTATTATTATTTATTTTTAATTCTCTTATTATCATCTGTCCAGACACTCCGGTAAAGAGATAGAGATTATAGACTTTGTACATATTGTCACAGCAGACTTGAATGAATTATTTTTTAGGGCCAATGTCCCAGCAGGGCGAGTGACCCTCCAAATTTAAACTCGCCCTTCCTTAAATGCACTGGCTGTGCATTTTGATGGACAAAATTGTAATAATCAAAAACAAAACTTATTTTTACTAATTATCTGTCTATAGCAGTATATCTGGCTTTATTCAATTACATATTGTTCAATAATGTTTATTATTATTTAACTTATATTTTTTTATTATGTAATCTTCAACATAGCATGAATACATAATAGCAGAATGGTTAGCTGCTATAGTAACTATTGACTTATTCATCCGTATAATGAGTGATAATGAAACTGGCAGCATTTTCTCATTAACAAGATTGTTAGTGAAAGCGTTTGAATTAAAGGAAGCATTTATTTAAAACTTATGATATAACTAAATTGATTTAGTAGTGGGGACCCTCAGGGATCACTTGTCGTCTTGTCTGTTCATCATAAAACTTACCTGTCTGGACTACTCCTCAGAAACTACTGATGCAATTTCTTCCAAACTTTACAGTTATGAGCAGAGTTATTGGCTTTGAATAAAAAAATTGTTTTGCCTTGTATTTTTGGGTCTCCTACATAGTAGCTGCATCATGCAGTTGACTATCATGAGGCAACACATGTCATAACTGATGTCTCTTGTTCATATGTAATGTTAAACCAAAAGTCATACAAGTCTTTAATTGTCGAATATCTTCCGAATTAAAGCAAATTGATACATGTAAATCCTTGTTCGTAAGATAAATACCTAAAACATTTTCTATATTTAATTAGAGTAAGAACAACAAGGCTACTCTATAGCTAAATTTGATGCCATTTTGAATGTTACTTGGGCCTGAGGCATTATAATGCAGTAAAACATTGTTGTTGTTCTCTTACAAAATCTTAATAATGCACGTATGTTTAGGAAGATATGTTAAAATCAGTTGGATCCACAATTATAAACACAATATAGGTTTCCAGTTCTTTTTGAGGAAACACCACTTCTGCTTTTGTTGAGAAAAATGCCTTGTCAATATTATTTAGCATTTTTTAGAAATTTTCTAATTTGTTTACGATAGATCATTAGAAGACTTCATCCAGATGTTGAGCTCTCTGGAGAACTTGAATTCCTTCGACCTGCAGTTAAATCCTGGAGAATATCAGCAATGAGAGCCATGAGTTTTACGGTAAGGCTTGAAAAGACAATTTTGTGGAGTATCAAATTCTAGATGTCACAACAATAATTTAAAAAGTCTCTCAGATTCTTTATGTGAGAAAGCTAATCAGCTAGCTTACTTAATGTCAGTGGTTCCAATAGCTGCCCCTTTATGTCAAAAATAATGTATAATATGGCACTTAACGTCTTCTTACTCTAGCTGGAAAGTCACCATTTGATCTATACTGTGTTGGTACAATGTAAAACCTAACAAAAAAATGAAATTAAACTGTTAATTCCTCATGCATATATGAGGTTGAAATTGCATAAGCAGGTACTTGACTAGAAAATGCAAGTCAAATAATTTGACTCAAATTTGAATGTGTTTAGGTCTGATGATTATTTACAGAGCTATCCTTCTTGAAATATAAGAAATTTTCAATTTCTGCTCATACTTGTGTAGGAATGTATTTCAAAGGTTGACATTGTATGTGCTGGTATTTTTCTAGAAAATAGAAGTAAAATTCTATTTTTGACTTGGTCAGATGTTTCATGAAAGTTATATCCCTTGAACTATTTGTAATCTTGGCTACAAATATGCAATATGCAAAAAGTTAACAGTGAATGTTTTCGGGGCTAAATTAAATTTAATGTTTCAACAATTATTTATCTAACAAACATACCCGTACTGGTTGTAAAGAATAAAGAACTATATAATTTGGATTTCAGGGGACATTAAGCCAGTTTGGAGGTTGGTTCAAAGAGGCATTAGCTGTGGCCTGTATTTCCAAAAGATGCTACAAACTTGTCAGATCGATAATCGTAAACCGTAAATCAACCCACCAGAAAGTGAACAGAACTTTATTTAGGAATCTCCCAGGTGTGAGGGATGAACTCTTTCTTTATTCCGTTTTGAAGCAGCTGGATGAGGAAACTATCAGTGCTGTACAGTTCAACAAGATAATGTATGATGAGAAGGTAAGAGTCATTAACACAAATAAGGATTGAGAAAACAGGAGCATATTATTAATTGTTTTGCAATATTTTCAAGATGTAAAAGTGCACAAATTACAACACTGTCCTTTAAAATGCAATGCATATTTATTTATTCTATTATATATATTCAATAAGAGTGTAACGGTTTACCCGTATACCAATATAGTGCAATATGAAACAAGAGCTGTCCGTAAGACAGCGCGCTCGACTTTTTTATTGCTTGCCAATAAAAAAAGTTTTTGCAGTAAAAGGCAATACAAGAATCTCTGTATTTTTAAAGTGAACTAGTTGTTTGATACCCTTGAATATTACAGCAATGTTTATATGACATAATTTATGGTAAAGTGAACAAGTGGATAGGAATGAATTTTTTTAGATTTTTTAAGTTTTTTAGTGCTTGCCTATAATACAAAACATTGACAGTTAAGGGCCATAATTCAAATAAAATCTTTGACAGAATTACCTTCTCCTGGACATGTTTGGGAATCATGATTGTAAACAAGTATTCCAACTTTCAAATTAATATCTCAAACAGTTCAGTCAAAAAGTCGACTGGTACTAAAAACTTAACCAAGATTCTAAGTCGATAAAAGGCCTTAATTTTTAAAACAAATCCTTGACAGAGTTACCTTCTCTTGCGTACAGATGGGGGTAATGATGTGAAATAGCATTAAAAGTTTCAAAGCAATATCTCAAAGGGTTAAGGCAATAAGTGGATTTTACCCATATTCAATGTATTTTCTAAGTCAAAAAGGGGCATAATTCTGTCAAAAACCTTGACAGAGTTATGTCCTCTTGTCTGTTGATGAAGGTCGTGATGGTAAACAAGTATGGTCAGTTTCAAAGCAATACCTCCAATGGTTTTGAAATAAAGTGAGGTGGTACAAAAAACTTAACCAAGCTCAATACACTTTCTAAGTCAAAAAAAGGGCCATAATTCTGTCAAAAACCTTGACAGAGTTATGTACTCTTGTCTGTAGATGGAGGTTATGATGGTGAACAAGTATGGTAAGTTTCAAAGCCATACTTGTAATACTTCTGAAATAAAGTGGGGTGGTACGAAAAACTTAACCAAGGTGTGACGCCAACGCCGACGCCGACGCCGGGGCGAGTAGGATAGCTCCCCTTTTCATAGAAAAGTCGAGCTAAAAATTAATTTCGTACTGCGGTATGATTTTTGGAAAACTGGTATTTTATAAAAATCATAATTTTCAATTAATTCCCTAATTTGTACAAATTTCGCATAAAATCTTTAATTGGTGAAATTAATTGGCGCCAACGTAAGATAAAAACACCTGACAACTAGTACACTTAAAAGTCAATAAGCGTAAATTACATAAGCGGCCCAGATGTGAAAGGTCATGCATGATTAGTTTTGGTTATCAAATTCTGTGACACTTTACTCTCTATACAGTCCTTACATTTTAATTAAGTTTCTACAAAGAATATATACATATAATTATAATATATAATGTTACTCCATCTTTACATCAGAACATATACGACAATACGTATTGCAATATATTGCAATACGCTTCGGCAAAATGGCAATATATTCAATATAATGAGCATTTATCATTAAAATATTGGATGTAAATTTGTATATTTCTATATTTGCATTAACCATCTTTATCATTTAATTGTAGGTATCTCTAAGGGAGAATGTGAGACCATCTGGAGGAGAAGATCTGGTAGATGAAAACAGACGGCTTAAAATCGAATTGGAAAAGATGAGGAAAAAGTGCCAAGAATTAGAAGTTAAAGTTCAGCAACTTGAACAGGAAAAGGTATTCTTAGTGATTTGTCATTGTTACACATAATATGCATGCATATATTTATCCATTTAACGCATGCCTCACAAAAAAAACATATTGCTACCGATAAAAAATCAACATCAAACTCGAGTGTTATACAGAATGACATGACAAGGCATAAAATCAAATTATCATTTTTCGAAGAATCTTTACATTTGGCTCTCATAGGTTTAAATTGAACCAATAACACTCTATGAAACCAAACTATGCCTTAAGATATGATTTATTATACTCTAATCCAAGTTCAAGTTTATACCAATCAAGATACTCAATAGCCCTATTGTAAATAAAACCCATCCTAAGAAGTAATTTCTCCATGACAAATGATCTCAAATAATGAGTTTAATGATTGTTTGTCTCTTATTGATGGTTAAGAAAATATATTTTAAAGATATTGAGTTGATATACTTTATATAATCACTGAAGTTTTTCGCTTTGTATTTTTGTCATTAGATATTCAATTACTCCTTTCCTTATACTGAAAAAAATGTTGAAAATATAGCATGTCAAATATTCTTTGAAATATGAACTTTTGCAACACATCAACAGAGCTATCAACAGAGTTGAAATCATACAAAGTATCTTTAAGACTTGAACAAATATTATGCCCATGTTAATCACATAAATCTATATTTTTCCACAACCAATCAGTTGCTTTTATTTAAAGTTGTTTGAGAATCCTACCTATGAACTTGGATCTGTCCTCTGTTTTGCATTCCTAACTACCAAACTGAGAATTGTCAAAAGGCCTGTGTACTTTTAAGCACCACTTTATATTCGTTCAAATAAAAGCCTGAGACATATATTTGTAACAATACAGCTCTTAAAGATCTTTTTAAAATGTGTTATAGAAAACTTACTTTCATCAGTAATTATTAACCAACATTTTGTTAAAAGAAAAAAAACTTCTTTATCAAAATCAAATTGCGGTATTATGATTATGATCCTCTTATCAGTTAAGAATTGATTGAAAAATAATCTTACTGCTTATTAAATCTTTTTCAACTTTACTATTTCAGAATGCTACCAATGTATATGCATTTGAAGACCTTGATGATGTGACAACATCCCCTAGACCACGACGTCAGGCAGTTTATCGGCACATATTTGAAGAAGTGAGACATTAAGAAAGTCATAATTTTGTCAAAAATATCAATAATTATAGTTGTTTTGGTTCACAAGCTACAGATTAGTAGCAAGGGATCACTGTGTAAACCCCTGTTCTACTGAAAATATAAACTTTGTACTGAACCAAAGAGAATAAGAGAGTTCATTCTGTAACAATAGAATACAGGGCTAATGACCATCTGTTAAACAAAAGAAAATAACAAAATTGAATGATCAATACAATGACCAGTATTGCATGTTGTCAGCATTTTCTAGTTCATTGATTTTGTAATGATATATATATTTACAAGTTTGTCCATACTACTTCTCTTTTAAATTTTTATACATGTAGAAAGACATGTGGCTATTCATCAAATGGAAATAATTGTATATATATATATTGATTATTGTATATTTTTATATGAGTATAAAAATTTAAGTATAAATATGATGAATATATCTGTTTGATGATTTAACAAGGAACTTATGGTTTTTACTGCTAATTGTAGAATGATGAGAGTGATGAAATCCATGACGATAGTTTGGAGGATCCTCACTACAACCCGGCTGACAATGTAAGTTAATAATGGATATTTCATCAGTATAAAATTGTTGGTCAGTTCATTCTGTATAATTGTGTACTGGATTTGGACCACTTGACTAGAACTAAGGGATATTTGAATCACCTTCATGTGAGGAAGCTATCCAGCTAGCTAACCGAACGTCGTGGTTCTTCTATGGTGCCCATTTGTGCCTGAAATAATGCACTGAAGGGCATCTGAGGTCTTCCTCCACCCGTAAAGCTGGAACTTCACCATATGACCTATAATGTGTCAGTGTGACGAAAAAACTAATTAATCTAAACTAAACTTGATTCACCTGACCCTTTTTAATATTTCATATTCAATATTACAGTTTGACAGTGTAATGAACAAAATATATAGTGTTAATTCATATACAAAAACCTGTGCATGGGAATCCTACATCTATTTTCTTAATTATTATGCTGAAATGTTCATTAAATGGAATAAAAAATGAAATGATTATCCCAAAATGGTGATTGGCAGAATAACCTGCCTTTGATAATATGTATTGATACATATCACAAGCGAATATCTTTGTTCCTTTTTGTGACAAAATCATTTAAAAAGAATGAAGACAACAAAAGACTTGGGGTATTTTTTCCTTGATAAACACATTCTATAAAGTTACTCAACTTTCTTGTTAAAAATGTACCTAAAGCTAAATGTTTACTAAGAAATGCATTCAAGTTATAGTAACATTATTGAACTTGTTTTCCAAAATTTGAATCAAAGCAGTTTTGAGAAATAGTAGACTTTTAAGTCTAACAAGTGTAGTGCCCTATAATGATTTGAGTCTAATTCTATTTTAAAATTAGGAAAGTCCATTTCAGACAGCGAATATGATACTACACGCAGTGGATATAATTTTTTATTATTTGTTCTGTTGACTACTGTTTGTACCAATGAGATTGTTGTTATTTTTAGATCATACAATAATACAAAATAACACTTTTGAAACATTGAAAAGAAATTATTTCAGTGTTGTGAATTGTACAATCTCATCCATTGGATATAATGTTCAAAAATCTCTTTAACTAATAAGGTGCATTAAAATACAGAGGAAATAATGAAAAACATTTGGCAAATGAAAATACTAAGGTATTTCCCCACAATAATGCAGCTTATGCAGCTATTGCTTGCTTACGTTCGTACTATTTTCATTTTAGGATGAGAGTGCAGAAATGTTGTCAGGAAGCCCACCAGATACTGTTTTTGATCGCAGTGGCAGGTCATTGATGAACAAAGTAATTATATTTGTTTATTTTGTTAAATACGTAAATAATACAGAAATAAAAGGTTAATACAATTCATATCAGACATATGAAATTGGAATATATTCTCCTAGAATTTCATTTTTTGAAATAAGTCTGAAATATAAATGCTTAAAAGGACTCAACTAATGTATTTTGACGTGTAGGAATGGAAGTATTTTATACCACAGGAACAAAAAAAGAAAAGCTAAGAACTGTAAAAAAATAGATTTTCAATTCAATTCTGAATATACTTCTTTGTTATCCTTTGCAGATTTGTCTATTTTAAGTGTTTAACGTGATTTTTAGGTATTTGTACCTCAGTGGAGTTCCTTTAACTTAATATAACTGAATGTTAATTCTCTACTTATCAGCATATTCAGAACTTATTTGACAGTATATGCTATATTAATTACAGGCTTTTATCATGGAGAAAATTGAATCATGGCAACCAATGCAGCCAACAGATGAAGCTGATGCGACAGTTTCATTACCTGTTGTAAGATATAATATTCATGTATACAAGTTAATTTTTTCATAGATGAAAATATAAGTCACTTTTTTACTGGCTTTGGTGTTGGAATTATTTGTTTCTCTTAATACTCTATCACATATTGCAAATTAATGAATATTAACTAATATTTATTCTGTTTTGAGAAATTATGCTAATTATGTATACATCTGAGAAGTGAGAAAAATTGTAGTATAGACAGACTGCTGAACAAAATGCACTTAACTTATATTAGACCTCCAACAGCTTCATGAAATTAGCAAAAATAAATGTTATTCAGGTTTATTCATTGATGATAATAACAATACAATGCAATTATTATTTTTTGAATATTAAACAAAATCAGGAACAGGGTTTAAATGGATAATTTGGATGTTTATAACAAAGGAATTAATCTTTCTTCTTTGTTGAGTTTGCACTTGGCTTCAGTTATCATGAAACAATGCTTTTCAGATAAATATATGTGAAGATTCACTGAAGACAGTAATGACAGGAAGACCAGAAAAGGTTACCCCAGAGAATGGTAAGGCAGGAAATGAAACAGGCATCACCGAAGTGGAAGTTACAACAGAGAGCAAAGAAAACAACATGGAAGAGGATAGTAAAAAAACCGTAAGAAATAACAGTTTTTCACTGATTTTCGGATTGCATCTGGCATTTCTCAACAACAGACATGTTTGGCTTTTTACATCATGTTGATGTATAAGAGAACTTTTAAGTGTATTTATGCTCATTTTAAGCATGTCTATTTTGAAGAAAAAGTCAAACTAACACGATCACTGTGTTGTTGTCTTTGTGCAAAAACTTTAGTGTAGCCAATTATTCAAACATTTGAAAATGTTATCAAGCAGGACTTGCTCTTTATGGCACGATGCAATTTTATAACAAGGAGCCTCATTCTCAAAGCTATATAAATGTCCCCTGTTTAATTTTTTTAATTAGTTATTGATAGTAAATGCCTTTAACAGTCGAGAGCATTTACACCGCATGCTATGCCCTTGTTTCATTGTCAAATTGAGATGATGTTACTATATTTGAGCCACGTCACTCACGACAAAACCAACATAATGGGTTTGCGACCAGCATGGATCCAGATCAGCCTGCGCATCCGCGCAGTCTGATCAGGATCCATGCTGTTCGCTTACAAACCCTATAACAAGTAGAGAAACTGATAGCGAACAGCAAGGATCCTTATCAGACTGTGCGGATGCGCAGGCTGGTCTGGATCCATGCTGGTTGCAAACCCACTATGTTGGTTTTGTCCTGACACGGCTCATTTCAAAAGAATGATTGCTAATATGGTGATCGACCAAACAGTTGATATTGGAAAATGTTTGGAATGAAATATAAAAAGGCAACCTCACTCATTTTATAAACTGAAAATTACAGATTAATTCCACTTATACAAGTTACCATGGGCCATACAAATTATTTATTGGAAGTAAATTGAAAAATTTAAAGGAATTATACCAGGATGTAAATTTATTTTTAATTTCACTTGTTCACACAATATATTAACTAGGATGGACATGTGAGTATAACAAAATGACTGTTTTAATGTATGTAGATTAGTATATGTAATTGTACTATTACTTTATTACAGGATGATAACAGAAATGAAAGGAGGATAAGAAGAAGGACAAAGGTATGAACTATTAATTTTATAGACTTTATGGAAGGAACATGCTGTTACAATATTACTTTATGATATTAATTAGCAATTTCAAAGCGAGAATTTTTTTTATGAAATCTTACTCAGTAACTGGCATGAAAATCATCTATTATGTATGGTAAATTATCAGCAAGCTTTGTTCTGTGTGTATATATATATGAAAGCCAGAGAACAAAGTCTTTGTCATCTTTTATACAGTCCAGCCCCGATGATTTGAATTGCCTAACCAATCTAGAAAAATGATTTTACAATAAGAAAAGTGAAAAAGTAAACAATATAGGTATTCAAGACATAATTACTTGCATTTTTCATTCCAAATTTTATAGCACATATACATTACAATTGTTGCTCTCATCTTCAAGCAATAACAGTAACATCAGATATATGTTATAGAATTTTAATCATAATTGTGGTTGATCACTTATACAATCAATATATGGATAGCTTGTGCTAGCATAAACATTATGCACTTATTGATTTCTATACATTGATTTCAAATACAAGGAATTGTTTGCTTGTTTGTTTCATTTACATTTTTTTTCAATTATTTGATAAAAATTATTAAATTGAACACTTTAAACACTACATCTATAAAAACTGAAATCACTTGCATACAATTAATATTTGGTAAATTAACTTAAATGAAGAGCGAGTAACAGGAGGACTGTCAGAAGATAGGACAGCATCAGTCTGGCTTCACATAATAGATGTGAAATATTTTAAAGTTGTGTTATTGGTATCAGAATTGTACTTTATGAGGTTTTCAGATTTTGCATTTCAAATGAACCTTTGTTTACAGATGTGACAGCCTATTTTCTTCGAACAATGCCCGGTATTGAAATAAAGGGTAGTTGAAAACACGGGGTCAGATTATAAGTTATTTGGGTTCCTGTTTGGTAAAATTGTCCATACAAGTGTTTACTGTTTATCATTTATACATTTTAATTTAGCACAGGCATTGATATTTAAAGGATCATTGCATTTAAATAATATATTTCTTGGTTGCAGTCTTCATCATTTGCTGTTGGAGAAAAGGTTTTGGCATTGTTTAAGTATGCAGGGAAAGATGGTCCAACAAAATGGTACAAAGCAACCATACAAAACTCCATACTAAACGGTACATTTCTCTTTTATAATGATATGTAGACATGTAAATTAAAATGTACACATGGATCAAAAATGACCCTTTTAAAATGGACAAATTACATGAAATTTGAATTAAAAAAAATAGATTGCATTATAAAGATTGTGCACGTAATGTTATTTTATTTATTGTTTAGACATATGAAAGATATGAAATAAATACGCTTAAATGGGCAAAAACTTAGATTACTCAAAAAAAGATAAAATTATTTTTATAAACCTTTAAACATGAATAGATGGCAATATGGCAATATGGAGATAATCACACTTTATCTTTATCTTATGTAGGGAACCGCTGCAAATTAACTAGAAATATGCCAAAATGGTTATGCAATTTTGAAGTCATGTAAGAGAAATGTGAAATCATGTTTTATTTCATTTTCAGGATTGCGATATAGTGTCAGATTTGATGACGGAATTGTAAGGATAGTAAAAGGGAGTGAAATACAGTCATCATAAAAGGGATCACCTCTCCGTCGTCTGTCTGTCTGTCCGTCACAAAACTTGTCCGGACTACTCCTAATAAACTACTGGTGCAATTTCATCCAAATTTTACAGTTTCAAGTCTAGTTGAGCATATTGTCAGCATTTTCCGGTTCAATGATTTTTGTAAGAGTAATGGCCCTTTAATAATTTTTAAAGTTTGTCCGACTACTTCTCTTATACCACTAATGCAATTTCAATGAAACTGAACAGGATTGATCTGTAGCTCAAGTCCTTGTGCATATTGCATGTTTTTTCCGGTTGAATGATTTTTGGCCGAGTTATGGCCCTTTGATAAAAAGGTGTTTTTTCCTGTGTGTTGCCAGATACACAAAAGCTTGTCCGGACTACTCCTCATAAACTACTGGTGCAATTTTATCCAAACATTACCAGTTCAGTACCAAGTCTAGTTGTGCACTGACTGTCAGTCTGTCACAAAACTTGTCCCCACTACTTCTCATAAACTACTGGGGCAATTTCATCCTAACTTTACAGGAATTTATGTCGCCTCTACTCCGATAACTTCTCCGTCTGTCACAAAACTTGCCCCAACATGAAATTGGCCATCATGAGGCGACACATGTGATCACTGATCGCTCTTATTTAGACATAAAATTTTGTACAACCCAGCTGATTTATAATATCTTTTATTTAATACTTTGAATATTAGGAAACAAAAAAAATATGACCAAATTACACCCCCCCCCCCAAGGTCAAAAGCTGTACTGTCCTTTGACATATACAACTAATTTATCTTGGCTTGACAGTAACAAGTGCCAAAAATATCACTTTAACATAATTTTTGATAGATTTTTTTATTACACTATATTAAACTGATTTCTTTATTACACTATATTAAACTGATTTTTTATTGTCGCCTTGAAAAGGTGACATATAGGGGTTACTTTTGTCGGGGTCATTGTTGGCGTCGCCTAAAGCTCGTCTGGAGCATAACTCAGTCACTATAAGTCTGATTGACTTCAAACTTGGTATGCATGCTTCTTTCAATAATCCAAAGTGCAGTGCACAAGGACCGGTACTCTGCAGTACTTATTTTTTTAGTTATTGCCCTTTGTTAATTTTCATACTTTAATTTTGTCAGGGCCATTTCTTTTCAACTAAAAAAGCTATGGACTTGAAACTTCATAGGATGATAGATCTCATTAAGAAGAAGTGCAGTGCACAGAAACTGCTGCTCTGCACTTATTATTTTTATAGTTATTGCCCTTTGTTATTTTTCATATTTCATTTTTGTCCTGGCCATTTCTCCTAAACTACATTCTTCACAAGGCGACACATAAAGCAGAGTTCTAGTTACACTATATCAAACTGATTTTTTACACTATATTGGGTATGTAATATATCTTGTTCTAACACAACCCCCATTTTTCTCTATGGAACATAGAAGGACGGAAAGTGTGTGTTACTATGCTATAAAATCACTGTTTGACGTAGTATATTTAGACATGTGACGTAAGCATTATACACGTGACGTATTCACTAAAAATGTGACGCGCTGACAGTAAGTCCGGAAGCAAATCAGGCGCAATTTAGCTTAATATCAGGTACGGCAGCATTTATTTGTTGATGTCGTGTTAGAATCGAAATAATATATCCAAATCAGTGATTTTATTGCTTGATAACATCACTGTTTGACGGTCTGATGCGCATCCTTATATCACTCAGGCTACCCCCTCGTGATATAATTCCATGCATCCGAACTCCAAACAGTGATTTTATTGAGCAATAAAATCACATTTTGAGATATATTATTTCTTAAATAACTTTCAAGTATATTAGGGTTTCAATTATTATTCAAAAGTTTTATTTATGTACATTGTAAGAATCAACAGAACAAAAAATGTTGGAGTTAGTTATTTTATTTTTCCCATTTTTTAATTTGTTAAAATGCTTGAATGGCCGAAATTTAAAGCAGCATGCCTCCAGATTCATGTTAATTTTCATGAAATTTTTAAATGTATGTTAATGTAAAGTATAGATATATAAAATGAACCCAGATAATATTTAACACATTTCATACTGCAATTCAATCAAGGTATATAACTTGATAAAAGCTCATACTATGTAAAAATAGTCCTTACTTTGTTAGATATGCATTTAGAAATATGGGGATAAAAAACTAGAAAATTGGTCATTAATTGAACATAACAAATTATTACTTAAACCTCTGATATTTTTATTATTATTAAATTCTAAGTACATTTTCACTAGTTCAAATTTCTTGAAATATTTTGGCTCATCTGGTGGCATGCAGCTTTTAAGGCACAATTTATTGACATTAAAGTTCTAATGTATAAGCTTTATTTGTTTTGCAAATGTACCATATACTTGCATGGATGTAAAATCAAGTACAAAATAAATATACAAAATATTATATGTTTTTGTTTTAGTATATTACTACATTAGCTGATTTTAATGACACTGTGACATACCTTGCCCAAAATGTGCATGTTTAATATCTTTGTGCATTGTACAGCACTTAGTGTTACCCCAAAACAAGTTAATTCAACTAGGCCTCAGCTTTTTAAGAGTGGAGTCAAAAGGATATTTGTTTATAAATGTAAGTACATGAAAATGCTGCTGTCCAAATTTTCCATTATGAATAAAACTATATTGAAATAAGTAGATCTATGTCTATTCCAAGATCAAAAAATGCATTTATAAACCAAGGGAAAAGTAAAGTTAATTTTTACAGTAAATATTTTCTACTTAAATATTACTACAGGGTTAAATTTAAAACAAATAATGAATGATAAATGAACTTTGGCTACTCAGAGATGCAAACTTGGTGATATGGTTGATGGTCTACAGATTACCTATTGATAAAACATCCTGTATTGAATTTAACATGATACATAAAAATCATATATGGGATAACTGATATCAGTTTATATAACATCTCTGGAAGTATCAAACCAAAATGTTGTTAGTACTAGAGTTCCAGTCTATCTGTTTTGTTCGCAAGGACAACATCAGATTATTAAACCAGGGGTTACTGGTTTGATCCTTAGACAATGGGTATTTTCAATGACATTCAGTCTAATAGTCGTTTTTCACCACTTAATCGAAAATCTTGTGATATTAGTGGTCAGTCAATAACAGAGACATTGGTAATTACTAGTAGCAAGTTACCTGGATCTACCACCAAGATAAGACCAAAACTTTTTAAAATTTGCGTTGAAACCAGTGAGATACTACAATCCCATAATAGGGATAAATAATAAATGGGCCACCACTGGCCTCAAGTCAAGATTCATTGAAATTCAGAAGGCCGCTAGGCCTTGTTTAATGCAAAGTACTGGGCTAATTGTTTGGGGGAACTAACCTTAAAAATTTTTTAAGGATTATTTGTTTCAATTGCCAGTGGGAGAATTGTATTTTGGACAATCCTCACTAAAGTGGGGGCAGGTCGTTATGTGGCAAATCGTCAATTGGGCAAATTGTCAGTGTGCGGAATCATTATCAATCCTATAAAATATGTTGATTAATAGTATTATAATAAAATAAAACTATATAGTAAACTAACAAATGCTTAGTTAAAAAAAATGGACAATGTTCAATCATTTTTTTACAGCACAGTACTATATTGTATAGAAGTTCATTCCTTTTACTGATCTAAGATTTAAAATGCTTCTGGCACTCACCAAACAATGGTTTAGGCTTACAAATCAATATTTTGCTCATCAAATAAATCGTGGAAATTCCATTATGTTAAAAATAGTGAAACTGTTAGTAATGAGGTCTTATATGCGGTACCAAGCTTACCAATTATTTTAAATGAAAGGAAGTATTTCCTGTATATAAAAATACCCATTATAATTATAATAATACAATGTTATCATATCTGTCCTGTTTTTCATTTTAATCGGTGAAGACACTGTATCCATTAAAGATAAAAAAATGTTATTCAGGAAATACACTAGTCCTATTGCCTGTTACCATTATCCCAATGCATTCACATGCAATGAAGAGCTTGTATGCACAACATTTTAAAGAAAATAATTAATTTGATATGGCAATATTGATATTAAAAATGTTTCATCTTATGTGCCACTTATCTATACCTAGGTGGTACTACTGGAACAACCTTTTACAGGCCTCAAATGGCAGTTTTTCTGAATAAGTACTGATTCTCCAATGTTTTCAACATTTAATTAAATTTTGTTTAACCCTTTACCACATATATACGCGAAACAACGCACTTTCGACCCCCCCCCCTTTTTAAGGCCTCAAATAGTGAAAAAATGTCCTATTTGGACCCCAAACATAAGTTTTCGTTTGAGAAATGTTGCTTAAAAAATTGAGCACTTTTTCGGCGCCGCCCCCCATCCAAAAGATACATCAGGGGGTTGCCAGAAGGGGGATGTGCCCCCTTCTGTTAGGGGGGTTTGAAGGGGGGCGGAGTCCCCCCTCATCGCCAAGAAAATTTTTGACTTGTGAGAGGGTAAAAATGACCCCAGGTCGATCATAATGTAACGTTTAACCAACGCTGAAAAGCCTTTGACTCTATCTCAATCCCTTGAACAGTTGCAGCACTTTGAAATAAATTTTGATGGAAAAAATCGAGGCAAAATAGTGATTTTTGGCAATTTTGAGATGTCCCCTCGTTGCCATGGTAACAGGAAATTAAAGACTGAGCATGTAGTTACAAAGGCAATGGTCCAGTCAACATTTGTGCCAAGTTTGATAAGTATTGAAGCATTTTTCATAGTTTCATAGCAGTTTGAACTTGTAACAGGAGGCTTTTCAGTGAAAACGGCCATTTTTCACAATATGCTTATGGGGGAAAGTGTTAATCTACTGCCAAATCGCAACTTAGTTATTGTATAGTTCATGCAATTGTCATGGTATTTAACTGTTCACTAATTAGGGTAGATAGTGTAAAAGCAGACACGGTACAGTATTCCTAGGGTCTCGAGTTCAACTCCCGGTCAGGCTGCACATTTTTCTCACCATGTCACATTTGGCACCATACAGGGGACTGTACATAATGGTATTCATAACTGCGCACCATACAGGGGAATGTACATAATGGTATTCATAACTGCCCACCATACAGGGGACTACATAATGGTATTCATATCTGCGCACCATACAGGGGACTACATAATGGTATTCATAACTGCGCACCATACAGGGGACTACATAATGGTATTCATAACTGCGCACCATACAAGGGACTACATAATGGTATTCATAACTGCGCACCATACAGGGGACTACATAATGGTATTCATAACTGCGCACCATACAGGGGACTACATAATGGTATTCATAACTGCGCACCATACAGGGGACTACATAATGGTATTCATAACTGCGCACCATACAGGGGACTACATAATGGTATTCATAACTGCGCACCATACAGGGGACTACATAATGGTATTCATAACTGCGCACCATACAGGGGACTACATAATGGTATTCATAACTGCTGCAAGTCAAATGATACATTGTTCTCTTAAACCATCAGAAATTCGAGAATGAATTTCAATTTAGTGGAAGGGTATGTCGCGGTATTTAACTGTTCACTTTTTAAGGTAGATAGTGTGTTAGTGGCCAGATAGCTTAATTGGTAGGGCTGTGGTACGGTCTTCCATGGATCCCTGGTTCCAGTCACAGTCAGGCTGCAAATTTTTCTCAACCGGTCACAAAATGACACTAACGTCTTAAGAATGCAAGTAATGTAAACCAAGCATTATCATATGGATACTGCTCATGTATGCGAACTACTCGCACTATCAAAGAAAAATAATTTTTTACTTGGCATTGAGTAAAATTAGAACCGAAATGAAATGATATTAATTAATTTAACTTATTTGCAAAGAATCAAACACAGATAGGAAATAAATCTACATGCTCGTTTGTGATTTTCTACAAAACTTTTGTTCAACAAAAGAAATATCTGTTCCATGATTATGATAAATTTTGCAAACATTTGCAAAAGAATAAGATTTCATACTTATTGCTTTGTAGATCTGCTGGTAGGTTTCATTGACAGATTTGAGAACGTGTCTATATTTGATTTAATGTTAGCTTCATACTGTACACAATCAAATTAATATAAGGTTTGTATAAACTAAACAAATGATCATGCATGTACACTGATTTATGAATCATGATTATCTGAATAAGACTAAGAGACGTCCGCTCTTTAAATAATGCTGGGTAATCAGTCTTGATATTGAAGCATTAAAATTTTGGGTGGTGTTTTTATATTTCACTATTATTATTTCTTCTTGTATTATACAATGATTAATCCCAATTTAGAAAGTATGTTAAATAGCTGTCACCATGCTAAAACTCCTGAAAAAAATGTCCAAATTTCTTCACTTTTATCATGAAAATACATGTTGAGTGAACAGTATACCGGAACTCGGATAATAATTTCTACACTTAATTATCGTTGTCATCTACATGCTCACTCCAATTAAAATGTACAGAATGATAATTAGTGATTTACTACTTTTACATAATTTTTTATCAAGAAAATACCTATCTGAAACAATATCGTTTTTTATTTCCAAGTGGAATTTGAAGATATGGTAATAAACTGTAAAACAGATATGGTAATAAAATGTTACGGGTCCCTCCTGTATAAATGCAGGGACATTATGCACAGTTACATTCCTGTAGCCTATATAAGGGCTATGCATTGCCATTTTTTCTGTCACGATACATATCACGATACTTGTATTTCCAAACGATGCGATTCACAATATGTATTTGCATACTTTGAAGAAATGCAATGCTTATTGCAATTCTTATGTTGCGATGCCATACATATCATGCGACTGACTTTCAGACTAAATATCCATATAAAAATTTGGTCATTTGTTCACAGCATAATTATGAATATGATATAAAACTATTACAATAACATTATAAACTCTTCAACTTGCTGTTATTACTTGGTTTCTGATTTCGATCTTTCAGCAATTTAATTTTCTGATAACTTAAGGATTACTGTAAAGGTATTTTTAATGGAAGTGGCTAGCCGTACGTGAGTCACGTACGACTAGCCAGGACGCACTGTATTGTCTAGCCGTACAGCACTTTTTAAAATTATATGTTATTTTGTGTCTTTAAACGAGGATTTTTATTAAGTCTCTGCATTTGTCCTCGTGTGTTCACTTTAATAAAGATGCTCCGTCATTTTGTAAAGAAATGAATACCAACAAGCGTTGTATAATATATCAATTAAAGTTGCATGTTATAAGTTATACCGTTGTTGATTTTCATGCTTATCATTTGTTGTTTTATTTGTATGAAAGATGAATTATTAAATCATTTTTGTTAATTAAGCACATGGATCGAATAAATATTGATCGGAGTGGAATAAATAAATAAATTAAAAGAACATTGAAAAAAGAAAACGGTGATAAGTAAAAATATTTCTATAATTTTCAAATACAGAAGATAAACGGAACGGAAAATGGAAACTTTCCTAAATGATGGACAAAATAACTTCTATACCGTCGGTAATTGACGCAATTATCAGAGCCCAACAACAATTAATTTCGTTTTTTTCCATTTTAAAGGTTTCGAAAATTAAACTAAATGGAACAAAAAAGGATTATTATCAAAACTTTGTAAACTATTTCAATTGTCTAAATGCAACCAGATGACAAAGATCGATAGCCAACAATGCGATTAATTTCTCAAGAGTAAACATTCGAAGACAATTGCTGTTTCTTGGTTAAAATCCTCGCTTAAAGTCATAAAATAACATATGCATTTTCGACTTCCATATAATTTTGAAAAGTGCCGTACGGCTAGCCAATACAGTGCGTCCTGGCTAGTCGTACGTGACTCACGTACGGCTAGACATTTTGGCTAGCCGTACGGGCCCGTACGGCTAGCCACTTCCATTTTTAATTATACCATAAGGCATAACAGTAAATCAATATCTACTATTTTAACACTATAGTCCACTACTGTAAATATGACACTTTAACAATTTCAGTCTTACAATACAACACTTAAGATATTTCTTGTGAAAAAAAATATAGTTACAAGTGATTTACAATTAGGTTAACAACCGTGAAAATAACAGTTATCAGTTTCACTCTCAGTTTTCTCGAAAGATACATCATACATGTCAACCTATTCTGAGTTTGCAAACTTTGCAAACACTCTACGTCCGACCTTCGACATTATACAACGCCGTTAATTGGTTCCTCAAAAACCACAGTGAACTATATCACGAGGGAGAATTAATAATTGTTACCCCTTCTAAATATTTTGAAGTCGACATTTTTGTTTGTTTATTTCTACGGGAAAGTGATGTCAGCGGAAATGAAAGTATAAACACGTGACGAATATCACATGGGCATATTGTCATCGTCACTATCGTAATATGGTTGTTAGCAAATTATTCTTTATCGGGAGGTGAAATATGTATTGCATCGCGATATATTGGAAACCATTATTTCATCAAGATGCATCACAGATACGACGCATATCTATATCTATCTTCCATTTAATATGTCAAACCCCTCGCAGGGACATTGACATGAGTCTGGACGACATCTATGAGATACAAGGGTCCCTAGCTCTTATTGAAAAGACCCCTTGGTTCTTTTACATGCCCAGTGTATAGCACTGATACATGCAAAAGCAATAATGCGAAGACACAACAACATTAATTAAGAACAAAAACGTTTGACTTGGTCGGTACTTTCTGTTGTTGCCGGAAATTAGGAAATGTATCACTTTTCAGTTTTTAAGAAGAGTTCACTTTTTTTTCAAATTATACCGAAAAATGTAACATAAGATATGAAATTGTGTTTTAATATAATAATATTGTCAGTATTTAAAAGAAACTCCAAAATCTGAAATTGTCACAAAAATCATGTTATTTCGATGTATTATATGTTGATTTGATATAAATGCCTACCTAATATCAATTATGCGTTTAAAAAGTTCCAATTGGATTAATTTCCACTTATTTTATAATTGGAAAAAATTCCGATAGGATTTATTTCCAATAAAATATATTGGAAAAAATTCCAGTAGGAATAATTTCCGATTGGAAATAAGTCCAATTGGAATTTTTTCCAATAAAAAAAACTGGAAAAAAATCCGATTGGATTTTTCAAAAAATGGTTAATTCAACTTTATTTCAACAGGAAAATACTAAACTATACATATTTAGCAAATACTGACGCATTTCTTCCATTTCGAAATTTCAAAAAATCCAATTGGAAAAAAATATTTTGCTGGAAAAAAGTCCGGCCGGAATTTTCATTTTTCCGATCGGACGGCATTTATCCGGCCGGAAAAGGCTAAATTCCGGCCGGACAAATTTTTTAAAATGATATTTTCGATACGAAAAAAAGTTGAAATAGCGTAAATTAAATTCAATTATTCATTATTTACTACTAAACTAACAAATGAAATGAATTTTAAGTGTTTAACTTATTTATAAATGGTAGTGAAGTTTGCCACAATCCTGGTGGTGCAAAGATTTTCCGGTGGCTGTTCACTATTAAACACAAACTTAACAGCATTATGTTTATTTTGTACAAAATGTTAGAATTATTTTGCCCACATAACTAGACAAAACAGAAATACATGATTGTTATTAGTTTTACAGGTGGTATTGAGCCTAGATGTTAGAGTTAAGATCATTATATCCATGTATATTTTGATGACCTTGACCCTTTTCATACCTATTATTGGGGTGAATAAATGGGGTTACCCAGTTACAATTGGGCCTCAAAAAAATGTATATTTTTACAGTTGGAGAACAGTTGTGTGAGCCATGTGACCCATCTGATTCAACATGTGTCAGCCCATTGGTTTGTAGCTCAACTAATGATAGATGTGAATGTCCACCAGGTTTTGTACAGTACCAATCAGCGTGCTGTAAGTATTCAACTACATTTAAAAACCTTTAGCCATAGGAATTTGTTGTTCTTTACTTACCACTGGAAAATGATGTTAGTTCAGTGTAGAACGAAGTCTGGTAGAAATCGGAAATATATATTTCCATAAATGGAATATGTGTTTTTTTGTTGTCCTTCCTTAGATTTTAATTTTATTAATACAAATACACATGTAATAAAGTATAACATTATACACTGTTCATGATTAAATAAATTAATTTTATTGTCGATGGGGGTGGAAGGAGAATGCATTCTTGACTATAATTCTATAGAATAACTAACATCTGCTCTTTAGCAATGTTGTTGCTTTAGTTTTATAACATTTAGTATAATAACATTCATTTTAGAGATATAAATACATATAAATACATTAATAAATATACAAATGTAGCTGTTAGTCTTTTGATGAAATATGGTCAGTTGTATTTGAAAAGCAAATACATCCAATATGGTGTTGTGAATGCAGGAAATGATTTAGTGGTCCTAGACCTACCGGACTGCATGCGCATGCGCGATGGTTTTCGCGGGACTGAAAAAGTACCCGGATAGTTCTAGGATTGAGTAAATTGAGTTCTGCGTTGGCTGGCGAAGTGGCAACATCGAGATCAAGCTTTGGTAAGCTCCCGGCCTGTTTTCCCTTCTTTAGGCTATGATTTAAGGAAATACAACATTGGCGACGAGGATTAAAACTGGATAGCAGGGCAGTGACTTTTGCATGTCATAAACGTCGTTCATTTGTAGTCAATTTTCGCGACATTCTGGACCGTTGCATAAATTGGAAAATTGACTTTGACATTCAGTTGGCATTGTGAAATAACCACTCGACGATAGCCTAAAGGGTTGATGTACTGGTATTTTTTGATTTTGTGGCTTCTAGCTTTTATTTAAAAAATACTTGGTCAACATAAAGTTTGGGAAACTGCAGAATGGTATGCTTTTCATAAATAAATAATTCCACTCTAAATTCATAGTAAAGCTAGCCCAGTATTGTCTTTTTATTTACTTTAGCCCTTTTCAGAAACGACTTTGAAGATATTAGAGACAGTAACAGCATACAGACAGTGTGAAAGGTATACAAGTTATCTACCTTGAATATCTTATTTCAGTTGTTTACAAGTGTAACAGGATCACCAAATAAATTATTTCCGTATATTCTATATCAGAAATAACTGCGGATAATTAATTTATTGTACATTTTTTCAGAAATATTTTACAGAATTTCACATAAATTTTTGATCTAATTCTTGAATGTGAAGTAAAATAAATTAAAGCAGCTGTGACAAAGTAAAGTCTGTATTATTTAAAGGAGCTGTCTCAAGTATTCAGTAAATACATTTGATTTAAAGAACCTGTCTCATATAAGTCGATTAAATTTTTTAAAGTAACTTTTTAATTAATATTCGGTGTATTCTATACTCGAATAAGTAATTAAGTGGAATTTATTTTTTAAAGCTACTTTCACATATATATTCGGTGTATTCTATACTCGAATAAATAAACTTGTATCAATTTTCAATTGTATTCTATACATTGAAAATTTGTGATTACATTGTGTCCGCAATACATTGACTGACTTAAGTTACCATCATGTCAACATTTAATGTAAACACAATGACTAAAGAGGAGTTGATGAAATTGCCAGCTATTGGTGCGAAAAGGGCAACAAGTATAGTCCAGTTTCGACAAATGTATGGCAAGTTGACGAAAGATGATTTCATCACCATAATGGCAGGTCATCTTAACCCAGATATGTTGAAATACATTGATTTTTCAACACCGGTATCAACTCCGAGTACAATATCTTCAAGTGGGGGGGGGAAGTGGAAGTGTTGCTGTGACATTTACCACAAGTACCACGCCTGTTGCAGTAGTTTGCAAGCCAATTCATGTTGGTAGCAGTGCTACAACAACAATTACAGTAAGTAGTACAAGTACGCCTACTGTAACTAAAGGATCTAGACTTGCAGCTGGATTTACCTTGCGAACGCCAGTTACTAAAGCAGTTTCGAAGGTAATGACTACATCAACTACAACCAGCAGCGTGAAAACCAAGGTAATTACAGTTCCGGTTACCAAAATAACAACTGCTGTGACGGTTGCAGCTAGTAGCACATACACTACAGTGAGTGCAACCGGTGCAACACCAATTATGTCAGCCCCTACATCTTTAACAATACCAGAGATGGAGGCACCACAAGATACGCCACACATTGAAGATGTTTTGACTCAACTTCTTTCCTTAAGTCAGGGTATGACTAGAAGAGATTTAATAGACTTGATATCTGCATTACCAGAAGCAAATGCAAGTGATACGGATGAAGATTCTATTGCAATAGATACACCTTGTACTTATAGTACAGGTTATATGCACTATCAAATGGATCCTTGCAATACAGGTATACTTGGTTCTTCTAGAACAAGGTTTACAAGTACGGTAGATGATGTCAAGCCTAAATATTTCAGTAACAGTGCATCCAGGTCATACAACACTAAATTGGACACAAGGTATGGCAACCCTAAATGTATATCTCCTAAGAAAGAATATACATCTGCTACTTATGTATATGGAGATACACAACAACAGTCGAGGTCAACTAAAGGGTCTTCTAGACATTTAGATAGATATGAATGCCAGAAGAAAGGTTCAAGAAGAGACCATCGAAGTTACCATACCAGATCAGAAATGTCAAGTGAAAGTAGCGATAATAGTAGAAGCAGATCAATCGGTAGAAGAGATGTTCAGTCCAGATACAGTAGTGATGGTAGAAAGAATCGGGACAAGATTGGTTACAACAATCGGTCTTCTTCTAGAAACCGTTTGTCGAGAGATGACAAGTACAGTCGTAGATCACGGTCGTCTTCTAGACACCAAAGATCAAAATCCAGAAGTCCGAGCTTTTCAAGGTCAAGATCATACAGATATAGGAATAAATCTTCAAGCAGCAGCAGTAGCTCGAGATCTCGATCAAGAGGCTATGGTCATTCAGGGTCAAGACGTCATAAGTACGGGTCCCATGATAAGTATTGCAAGCCATCTAGACGACATGACAGAAGTCGCTCTTCGAGTTATTCTGATCGAAGCAAGTTAGAAAAGAGGGGTAACCCGAAGGAACTTCCAAGTATTTTGCGGTATGATGGGAAGACAAGCTGGTTATCTTTTAAAGAACAATTTGAAAGTTATCGAGCTGTTTCGAACTGGACTGACAGTGAAAGTAAAATTACCTTACTTGGAGTCTTCAAGGTAAAGCGTTAGATTTCTTCACGATAACAAATAAAGCGGGGCATTGCTATTCATATAAGCAAATGATGAAGAAATTAGAGACCAGATTCGGCAACCAGGAACTTACCGAGACGTCACGTGTTAAGTTCCAGCAGGCTAGACAAGCATCAGATGAATCTTTAGATGATTGGGCAGATCGAGTGCTGACACTTTCGACATATGCATTTAAGGATCTACCCGAAGAATACAGAATGCGAGAGGCAATTTCGAAGTTCTGCCAAGGATGTATTGATAGAGAAGCAGGAAAACATGCATGTTTCGAACATCCTAGGAGTATACAGGCTGCACTTAACGCTGTAAAGCATCACCAGTATATCTCTGAAGCAGTTGATGGCAAAAAGCATTCTAGAAGATCTAAAGATGATGTGTCAATTAATGCAGTAAATACATCAGCTGAAGCCAGGGTGGAACAATTGCTGAACAAAGCTATGGAACAGCTTAGCAGTAAAATTCAGCAATTGACTACAACCAATAAAGAAACTGAATCTAGGACAGGAAGAGGGCTATCATGTTTCTTTTGCAAACAAAGGGGCCACATTAAGAAATACTGTCCAGGATTTAAAGAATGGTTGAAGAAAAAAGGGCTATCTAACACTACGGAACAACAACGAAATCCAGCAAATCGTGATTTAAACAAGAAAGGGCTGAATGGAATGGCCAACCGTTCAAGCCCGCAGAAGTAACTGGTCAAAATGGTAAAGATTCTGCGACTTCTAGTCCGGAAGCTTATGTCATCTGTGAAGAACAACCAGTTACAGATCACGAAGATGTTATTAGCCTTCGTAAAGGTGACAAGACTTCTAGTCAAGGTCATCAAAGATCATCTAAACACCCTATAGTTACTGCAACAATTAAATCTGATGAAAAAGACCATACAGATGGCATGACTTCTAGTCATGTTAATGAAAGTGAAGATATTTTGAAAGATGGTAATACAGTCAAATTAAATTTAGGTATCCAAGAAACACAGAATGACGGAATTGTCAGCGTTCATCAAGTGTGAGCTGGTTCTTCTTTTGTGTTACTGACAGTTGGTGATCAAGAAGTCAAAGCAAGAATTGACTCTGGTGCTGAAATTACCATACTCTCTTCAAAAGTCTTCGCTACCTTGAGCAAAAAGCCTGCAAAAGTAAAAGATGTAGTTATGCAAATGGCAGATCAAGAAGCAGTACTAAAAGGCTTTATCACTAAACCATTAAGATTGCAACTTGGATCTCAAGTATTTCATGAAAGAGTTTATGTTGCACCTATTAGTGATGAAATGCTGCTTGGACATGATATAATGCATCATTTAGGAGTTATGATGGATATGCATTCAGACACTTTAATTGTGAATGGTGAGCAGATTCCCATGAATACAAGCTTTAGAGAGGGAAAGCTGACTATTGCAAGAGTTTCAGTGGCAAAACGTACTGTGGTTCCGCCAAATTCAGTTGTCAGGATGTCATGCAGTCTCAACACACATCTAAGTGACTATTTTATAGAACCAGATGAAAAGTTGAATTCAGTTGGTATATTGATGCCAAGGACATTGATGTCTTCAGATACGGAGCCAATTGTTTGTTTAGTCAATCCAACTGACTCTTACAAGACATTCAAGAAGGGTAAAGTGATTGCAAATGCATATGAAGTAGAACATATCCTAGATGAGCAAAGCGAAGTAGCTACATCTCTGCCTAAAGAAAATGAAGTGACTTCTAGTCATTCTAAAACAACATCGTCTAAATCTCGAAGGATTTCTAGTTCTACGAGATTAAGAGTTAGAACAGTCGCCGAACAGTTGTGTGAATCATTAGAGACTCCAAAAGAAGTAGTTCCAGATCATCTGCTAAAGTTGTATCAAGCTTCTACTGAACATCTTAATCAAGGGCAAAGTAAGAAGTTAGCTAAACTCCTTAGCGATTATGAAGATGTTTTCGCTAAAAGTGATTTCGATTTGGGAAGCTTTACTACAATAGAGCATACCATAGACACCGGAGATGCAAAACCCATAAAACAACGCATGAGGCGCACACCAGCTTGTTTCGTTGGGGAGGAAGAAGAGCATCTGAAGAAAATGGTGGATGCCGGTGTCATACAGGAGTCTGTATCAGAATGGGCGTCCTCTCCAGTTCTGATCAGAAAGCGTGACGGATCTGTAAGATGGTGTATAGATTACAGAGCCCTTAATGATGTCACGGTTAAAGATACTTTCCCATTACCATTGGTCGAAGATTGCTTAGATACATTGTCGGGAAGCATCTGGTTTTCTAAATTAGATGCAAACTCAGCGTATTGGCAAGTCAAGATAAGTGAAGAAGACCGAAAGAAAACAGCATTTCTAACAAAATACGGTTTGTTTGAGCATGTTAGAATGGGGTTTGGTCTGACCAATGCACCAGCCACATTTTCCAGAGTGATGAATCTGATATTGCGTGGATTAACTTGGAAAACGGTACTGGCATTCTTAGACGATATATTGGTGCTGGGAAGGAATTTTGAGGACCATCTGGGAAATATAGCCGAAGCCCTAGAAAGATTCCGCACACATGGTTTGAAGCTAAAGCCAAGAAAATGTGTTTTCTTCCAAAAAGAAGTAGAATTCCTTGGAAGAACAGTTAGTGGGAATAAAATGGCCATGACTTCTCGAGATATAGAAACAGTAGCCAACTGGCCATGTCCAAAGTCATCCAAAGATGTCGAAAGGTTTTTAGGCTTAGCAAATTACCATCGTACATTTGTCAAGAACTTTGCGGATATAGCACTGCCGTTATACAAACTAACAGGAAAGAATGAATTTCATTGGGGCGATAAAGAACAAGAAGCATTCAATACTTTAAAGGTAGCTTTAACATCACCACCAGTTTTAGCTTTACCAAATCAAGAAGATTCTTTTATATTAGATTCGGATGCTTCGGATTCGGCTATAGGTGCAGAATTGCTTCAGGTTCAAGATGGAGAAGAGAAAGTCATTGCTTATAGCAGCTTTTCATTGACTCCAGAACAAAAGAACTATTGCACCACCAGAAAAGAACTTTTGGGCATTGTGAGGTTCACGAGGCAGTTTAGGCATTACCTTTTAGGAAAAGTCTTCACTGTGAGAACTGATCACTCCAGTTTGACCTGGTTATTAAGATTTAAGGAACCACAGGGTCAGCTGGCTCGATGGATAGAGGAACTTTCACAGTACAACATGATTGTTAAACATCGAGCTGGATCGAAACACGGCAATGCGGACGCGCTGTCAAGAATTCCGGAAACTTTGACACCGTGTAAATCGTATATAGCTGACATAAAGCTTGCAGATTTGCCATGTGGTGGATGTCCTTACTGCATTAGGGCTGACGAGCAATGGGCCAAGTTTACTGATGATGTCGACGACTCAGTAAGATTTGGCTCAGCAGGGTATAACGACATCCAATTCAGTGAACGTTCATATGGGGGCAACTGCAGAACTGTGCGGGTCAAGTCTTGAAGATGTAGCAAGTATTAGGATCCAGGTTCATGATGAATCTGACTTGAGTACATCATGCAGAACAAGAGATGCCCAGAATTTCAAATAAATAACTTCAGTAAAAAAGGCAGTGCTATGATGAAGAGAACAGTACAGATCTTCTAGATCGTACTGAAACGAGTACGGATAGCATCGGTTGTCTAGACCATGCTGAATCCGGACTGGTGGTTGTGAAAAATGAAGTTCCAGGTGGCTTCTAGCCTTTGAGAATCTTTATAGCAACGCCAGTGTACCAAAAGGACTTCTAGTCCTTCCTCTACAGCCTACTTATTTAGGGTAAGTTAAAGCCGCGATGTGATATTAATTCACAATTAAGGAAGTAAACGAGCTTCTAGTTCTTTACTGATGCATTCACAGCATTACTCCCAAGACCGAAGCCTTCATTCATAAAGTTGGGGGGAGTGTTGTGAATGCAGGAAATGATTTAGTGGTCCTAGACCTACCGGACTGCATGCGCATGCGCGATGGTTTTCGCGGGACTGAAAAAGTACCCGGATAGTTCTAGGATTGAGTAAATTGAGTTCTGCGTTGGCTGGCGAAGTGGCAACATCGAGATCAAGCTTTGGTAAGCTCCCGGCCTGTTTTCCCTTCTTTAGGCTATGATTTAAGGAAATACAACAATGGTCACTTTCATTTGAAAAAACAAATAAATCTGTCTTATATTATAATATTGTATGTAACAATGATATCAGATGACATTTGAGCCACACCATGACAAAACCAACGTAATGCGTTTGTGACCAGCATGGATCCAGACCAGCCTGCGCATCCGCCCAGTCTGACCAGGATCCATGCTGTTCGCTATCAGTTTCTCTACTTGTTAAACGATTTGTAAGCGAACAGCATGGATCCTGATCAGACTGCGTGGATGCGCAGGCTGGTTTGGATCCATGCTGGTTGCAAACACATTATGTTGGTTTTGTCATGGCGCGGCTCATTTTATTTTCAAGATGGGAGAAATATTGGTGAGAGTTGTACGACCTTGCTTGATACATGTATAGATGATAATGCTGAGTGTAATGGTACAATCTGTGACTGTGTGGCCGGATTTCACTTTAATGGAACAATATGTGGTAAGGAGTCATCAGAATTGAAATTCTGACTTTTAATGTCCTAACTACAGTGGGAGCAGGGAGGGTAGAGGGGAGGGAGGTGGTTGCGCATATAGGTTTTCTTTTGTCCATTTTTTGTTCCTATTGTCAGACTGTCCTACTTACATGCCTTCTGACTGTAGAAATGATGGAAAAGTGAAATATTGGGGCATCTGTATCTTATGAACTCAGTTCCAGTTTTTGGAATATTCTTGTTGTTTTGGTTTTTGTAATTATCTCCCTTCCGCAATTTTCTTGTCAAAAACTGTGCAAAGAATGAAATTTAAACGTAAAATATTGATAGAAGTACGAGAAATTCAAATTTTTGTAAATCATCTACCTAATTATAAATCCACATATGTTTTTCTTCAGTGGGGACACAATTATGTGATCAATGTGACTCTTCAGTAATAAGCTGTAGTGGTGACTTACAATGTAGTTCCGACACATACAGATGTGAGTGTCCTTCCGACCAGGTCCAGATAGGGGATGATTGTTGTAAGAAATGTTTTATATTCAATTGATTTATATCGTAATATCTATTGATTTTCAGTTATTCATTCATATTAGTTTTAGAATTTTTTTGATAGGTTATATAACCCACTATCTTGTATAACCAAAGCCTTTGGGTTATATAACAAACATTTATACAAAGATCATATATTGCAAAATCATTGTTATTCTTGTGGCGCTCATTTTCTTGGCTTTGACATTATGAGGTCAATCAGAATTTAAAAATCCAATAATTTTATTTTTTCTGTTATAGATAATTTCACATCACATTTAACCTTTTGGAAAAAGAGATAAGCCACAAATTAAAGAACCCACAAAAATATTCTTCATGACAAAGCCATGAAATTCCATGCTGCTAAAATTCAGTGAATTCACAGAAACCTGTAAAAAAAGTCCTTTCACATGAAATTAAATCACAGAAGTCTTTTTTAAAATGAATTGCTATTTTTAGATGGAACACATGTTGGCGATGATTGTACAACTCATACTGACACGTGTATAGATGACTATGCTGTATGTAACGGCACTGTGTGTGTCTGTATGGCAGGATATTCATGGAATGGCACCAGATGTGGTAAGTTTTCATGCCCCAATTTTATGGGGTTGGGGATTATAGATTTGCACTTGTATGTTTGTGGCACTGTCAGCTTGACGATCTACAGACTGGAGAAACATTGAAATGTGGGGCATCCTTGTGGTCATATTTATAGTTATGTTATTCATACATGAAATTAACTGTAGAACACAAAGTTATGATTAGTGAGCTTTTGTTTGAATGTGAACAATTGCAAACTGCTTACCTTACTTTATTTATTACATAAGTAAACCATATGTACAATTTCTTACATTTAAGAAAAATGATTTATTACATTTAAGAAAAATGAAAAATGTAGTAATTTACAGAGAGTAGTTCACATTTTTAATGATCGCAATTTAAAAAAAAAATGTGATAAATTATGTACAATGTAACTTACACTACAATAGTAAACACTTTGACACATACACACCATGATCATGTTTGTTTAGCTTTTTTTTTCAGATATTCTTTAAATTGATCAATTACAATTCAATTGGTAATAAATTCTCAATCTTTTTTTAAAATGACTTTTAATTGGTATTCTTTTTCTTTTGCAAAAGTGGGCTCCAATCTATGTGATCCGTGCGACCCTGCATCATCTACGTGTGACTCTGACCTTCAATGTAGCACATGCACGTACAGATGTGAATGTCCAGATGGCTTCGTTCAAATCTCAGATATGTGCTGTATGTATATATATTGATTTCTGGTTTATGAAATTATGAGGTATATAGAGGATATTGAATGAGTGTAGATTGAATACTGAATTTATTGAACAAGTTGAATAGAGTTATATTACCAGTATACAAGCCTCTGCCGAGCATAATATTATTTTATTCAATGACGTAAATAAAATTAGTAATGTACTTACACAAAATTCATATTATGTTTATCACATACCAAAAAATAAAAACCATTTGAGTGAAAAAAAAACTTTTTTTTCATTAATGAGCCTATAGTATAATGCTAACATTTAATGCCTCTTAACGCTATGTTTATATGATGCAAATGACGTCATGTTTAAATATATGCACAGGCTTGTAATACCATTTTGATGGAGTCACAAAAGTGGCATCATTATATGATTAGATTGTATGTATAAATAATGTTATATAAATAAATGTGCAGACAAACACTGTTTAAAATTACATAATATACAGTAGAAAAATTGCACAACAGTCAGGAAAAACATTTTGTTATATCCAAAATAACACGAATACCACAAATGCCGCAATTTCTAATATCGTTACAACTGGAGTGTAAATAAATGAAATAAAGAAAATCTGAGTCAGGATCATTGAAATATATAATATAAATACAAATGCAGCTTGGCTATAACCAACATAGTTATAAGTGGAGTTTATTATTATGCCCCCGCCATAAAATGGCGGGGGCATATAGTGTTATCCCGTTCCGTTCTTCCGTCATTCTGTCATTCCGTCATCATCAGTTTCCGTTCATTATCTTCATAACGGTTGCATACATTCAACTCAAATTTTACATATGGATATGTCATGAGAAAATACAGGTCAAGTTTGGATTTGGTCATGGTTTGATGATTTTTAGCAGAGTTATGCCCCTTTTACTTTGAAAAAAATATGAAATTTTCATTTTCCATTCATTATCTCCCCAACGGTATTACACATTCAATGCAAATTTGACATATGGATACGTCAAAGAAATGCGCAGGTCAAGTTCGAATTTGGTCATGGTTTGATGATTTTTGGCAGAGTTATGCCCCTTTAACATTGAAAAAAAGGACATTTTCAGTTCCCATTCATTATCTCCCCAACAGTTGTACATATTCAACTCAAATTAAAGATATGGATATCTCATAAGAATGCATTGGTCAATTTCGAATTAAGTCATGGTTTGATGATAGCTGACAGAGTTATCCCTCTTGAACTTTGAAAAAAAAATCAGAAATTTTAAGTTTTCGTTCATTATCTCCCCAATGCTTGTACACATTCAACTCAAATTTGACATATAGATACATCTTAGGAATAAGCAGTTCAAGTTTGAATTTGGTCGTGGTTCAATGATTTTGGACAAAGTTATAAAATAAAATTTTGAATTTTCAGTTTAAGTACTCTTACTTTTGTGGAAATATTTGTAGCCATAATATTTTGGCTACAAATATGCAATATGCAATTTACAAAAGGTTAACACTGATAGTTTCAGTGCCTTGAACTTCGTATAAAAATGGTTTGTGTTAACATTGAATAGTTTTAAGGGCTTTGAACTTAAAATGAAAAAAAATAATTTGTGCAAACAAATTTGGAACTAAATATTATAACATCTGAAATTTTGGTGTATGCGGGGGCATCCGTGGCCTGACGACACATTTCTAGTTTTCTCTGAATATATTTGTATGTATAGTAAATGCTGCTGAAGGAGATCGAAAGGCCGTAAGCTACAGCAAATTCAAATCTGCGATTATTATTTCTGAGACATGTATGACTATAATGTTTAATGTATGAATACAAAAACTGATGAAAGAAAACTAGTGATTCTTGAAAATTATAAGAAGTGCTATATTGTATCTGATTATTTTATCCTTCTACGAAAAATTAGCTAAGGATATAGTTATGTTTGTTTTGAAATACAGATGGTACACGTGTAACAGAACGTTGTACAACCAGTCTTGATACATGCATTGACGATAATGCTGGGTGCAATGGTACAGTGTGTGACTGTAACGATGGCTATACCTGGAATGGAACAACATGTGGTAACCTATTATTTTTAATAACATGCATTTTACATGCAACTATTAGACAACTTAACCTTTTGCTTTCTACATTTTGTAGAGTGTAGCTTGTGAACAAATTTAACAATTTTATAATGTTTAAAGCTACTGACAGTTACGGAATAGTGATCATATATGATATATGAGAAAGTCACAAACCTTTGTTTTGTATGTAAACATAAGTAGTTTTATACGCCCGTTTGAAAAACGGATGTATTATGGGAACGCCCTGGCGGGCGGGCGGAGGTCGGGCGGGCGGGCGGCGTCCAATTTTTGTCCGGAGCATATCTCCTACATGTATGGAGGGGATTTTAATGAAACTTCATATAAATGTTCACCACTATGAGGAGCAGTGTCGTGCACATGAACCAGGTCTCTAGGTCAAAGGTCAAGGTCACACTTAGAGCTCCATTGAAAAATGCTTGTCCGGAGCAAAACTTCCACATGTATAGAGGGATTTCAATATTATTTGGCACAAATGTTTCACCATTGTGAGGCGGAGTGTCGCGTGCCAAGATTCAGGTCCTTGCGGCCAAGGTCAAGGTCACACATAGAGGTCAAAGTTCAGATAAAAATATGAAGATGTGTATATGGACCATTTAGTCATTATTTATTGAGGGATTTGGTAACACAAATGGTCATTATCAAGACTATGGCTGTGATACATATAATTTAGGTCAATATATACAAGGTCAAGGTCACTAAAGATGATGAAATATCCAGATTTTGTAAATAGAATTTAATCAAAGGGAGACAACAAAAGTTATTACTTTGTTCATAAATGACTTACACAATTACTCCCCTTGATCTTTTTTCACTTTCAATTCTAAAAATAGAATTTAATCAAAGGGCATGAAAATAATCCTCTTTCTTTGACTTGAGTATGTTCTAAAGAATGTAACATTTATTTACACATGTTTCATTCATTGGTCAAGATTCTTAACTGTGATAACTATGGTGTTCTGCAGACTTGGTATTTGTTCATAAAGATCATACAGTAATTACCTTATCAAATGTAAATACTTTCTCATAGAAATTTAATATATTTTAATTTTCAAGTAAATATCAGTTCAGCTCATTCAGAGATTAAGAATTGTAATGAAATGTATTTCCCTAGAATAAAATCTTAATCAGAATTTTCTAGTTATTAAATTACATGTACTTTTTATACGCACGTTTAAAAAAGAAGATAAAAATATGAAGATGTGTATAGGGACGATTTAATCATCATTTATTGAGGGATTGTAACACAAAATGGTCATTATAATGACTACGGATGTGACACATGTACTTTAGGTCAATATATGCAAGGTCAAGGTCACTAAAGATGGTGAAATATCCAGATTTTGTCTGGAGCATATCTCCTACATGTATGGAAGAATTTTTATAATACTTTATGGAAATGTTCACCACCATGATATGTATTGCTCCATGCATGATCCAGGTCTCCAGGTCAAAGGTCAAGGTCACACTTAGAGCTCATTGAAAAACGCTTGTCCGGAGCAAAACTTCTACATTCATAGGGGGTTTTTCAATATAACTTGGCACAAATGTTCACCATTGTGAGGCTGAGTGTCGCATGCAAAATTCAGATCCCTGCGACCAAAGTCAAGGTTACACATAGAGTCAAAGTTCAGATAAAAATTTTGAAGATGGTTATAGGGACCATTTAGTCATCATTTATTGATGGATTGTAGCACAAATGGTAACTATCATGACTACAGGTGTTACACATTTAATTTAGGTTAATATTTGCAAGGTCAAGGTCACTGGAGATGATTAAATATCCAGATGTTGTCCAGAGCAATTTTCTGTTTCTACATGCATGGAGGAATTTTAATGTTACTTTTATAGAATTGTTCACCACCATGAGACGTAGTGCCCTGCACATAAACCAAGTCTCTAGGTCAAAGGTGAAGGTCACAGTTAGAGCCTCATAGAAAAAAACTTGTCTGGAGCAAAAACTTCTAACATGCATAGAGGGATTTCAATATAATTTGGACAAATGTTCATCATTGTGAGGCTGAGTGCCGTGCATAAAATTCAGGTCCCTGCGACCAAGGTCAAAGTCACACATTCTGTGCATATCTTCCCTATTGATTTGTTTTAAGGTTCATTTAACAACACAGTGCCAAGAATAAAAACTTGCTTGCTAGATAACACTTATCCATAATGCCCCCATCTCCATCTAAAGCTTTTTCGTAAACGGGCGTATTTTGTGACTATGGCACCCTTGTTTGAAATTATATAAACACATAAACCAGAAACATTGTATTGTACATATCTTTACATAGTACATGTATTACCCTAACAGACATTTACCTTATTTCTCAGTTGGGACTGATTTATGTGACCCTTGTGACCCGTCGTCATCAACCTGTGCAGCACCGTTAGTTTGTGGTTCTACAACAGAGGTCTGTGAATGCCCTTCAAATCTAGTACAGATTGGAAATAATTGCTGTAAGTATCGCACTGTTTTCTTTATGACTGTATCAATTTAAGATATTTTACATTTGATATTTTACATTCTCCTGCTCAATAGAGAAAGCATTGGATTTGATATCCAAGGTTCACTGGTTCGAAAATTCTCCATGACAGGGGAACTAATTAACTTTAAAGTCTCAGAAGTCATGTGCAGTTATTTTTATAGTCGGTCTCTTCCAGAGAAATTGGTAATTACTGGTTAGTTATCCAGGAAAGTAATGAAACCAGCTCGATTGACCTGAAATTTGTCAAAGTTGGCATATAAAAACAAAAAAATAACTAAAACATTACATAGAATGTGCCTTATATACTTATGTAAATAACAAGCACCTTAGATTAATATAGTTTTCAGGATGATGTCTGTGATCTTAAAAAAGAAAATATTATGACCACCATAGCATGCATTGTTTTTCCTTTTTATTAGCCTGCTAAATTCAGAAGTTTATACTCGCTAGAGTGATTCCGCAAAAACACTTTCTATGCAATAAATAAATAGCTGTCTTAAATGTTTAGTACATTAAACTTGAAATGTTGTTAAATGTTGTTAATGAGCAATAAATTGTCTTTTCTTGTAGAACTCTTTCCATTTTTGGGGAGGCTATGCCGACCCAATGTTAATAACTGTCCGTCAAATCTTACTGCCGCGGTAATCAGGTCAAAAAATAGTACCTTGATTTTTTCTAAGCTGACTCATCACTCATCACAGACATTTACAATATGAAAATATTTTCATTCTTTAATTTCATATCTGCAATATGTAAAGATAATAATTCTCTGAAAAATTCTTGATTTTTGTTTAAAGCACTACTCCGTGACGTCATACTGCCGCGGTAATCAGGTTTAGGCATACGTACATCTGTAATAAATAGTCCTGGTATGAAAACCCTTCAAAATAATAACTTTATCAATATTTTTTTTAACAAAAAGCATAAATGAAAATTTATAAGTAAATGCTTTAATTTAGTGGCAAATATTCTTTATTATTTTTGATAACAATTTTCCAATTACTACGCAGCGACCAACTGTTTATGACGGGTCATTAACTAGAACGTTGCAACACCGTATTCTCAATATCATGCATGTTCTTTTGTTCTTATAAACCATTAATAGACCTTAATATTTTTTAACGACAAATAATTGTAAACTGTCGCTTACATCAGAGACATGGATCATGCTTGCGTGATAACTAAGGAAAACTAACTTATTAGTACACCCCAGGAGGCTGTACGCGGAAAACGCTCATAAACCGCTATATCATATAGCTGTTAGTAAATATTTTGCATACATTTAACTAAAAATTCACTGATGGTGATGAACATATAGTTTGAAAACATTATATTCTTGAACCATTATCGCCGAAAAAAAACTATTTAACTACAAAACCCCTATATATATAAGGACCCTCCGACAAAATTCCAGCACAATATTACATTTTACATTAGCAAAATAAAAAAAGCAATACTTATATTTTCATCTTACATAATTCATTAATCAAACTTTTAACATAAAGGTATCTTTGGCAATTGACAGATCCCTACTCTGACCTTTTATTTGTATAGGAATAAATTTAAACATGTGCTCTTTTGTTTAGGAATATTTTGTAGTCAAAGTCTTATATATTCACTAATCTCATAATTAGAATTAGACAGGTCAGGGATTTATACAACCAGTTGTTTAGTTAACTATGCTCATTTTAATCCCAATAGAAACATTCAAATATTTGGGGTAAAAAACATGACCAAAGTACCTAGTAGTCGTTTACCCGGTGGTGATCCCATTAAACTGATTATAGATTCGAATTGATTAGAAAACACAAATAGAAACATGTGTTTCCGTACAACAAAAATCGGAAGTAAAGTGAACAGTTAATTGACAGAAATATGTGGTCAAATATGTTTTAACAAGGAAATAATTATTTCAGAGAAAGACGCAAAGATCAGTATGACCCCGTATTGTGTAATTAGAAAGTTTATTCAATTCTAGGGCATACATCATACATTGTCATAATTTGATAGTCCACGTGTAATAAAATTCAAATTTTCAATACAGATTATGAGATACATAAAAAATATTATAGAATAAGAAGCTTTAATTAAAAAAAAAAAAAAAAACGCATACATATACAAATTACTTACAGTCGAGCATCGGGAAGTCATTAACATATCTTACGTAACTTTCATTTGAAAACGATATTTGCGCGCGCTGAAGTGATTAATGTTTATTTGAAAAAAAAAAAGAACTTTTATGTTTGTGTTCTAAAAATAATCGGCGGCTAAGAGGAATTTCTTATTCATTTTACAACACTTGAAAAATTACTAGAGAAAATGTGTTGTTGTTTTTATGCTCCCCGAAAAATTTCGGGGGAGCATATAGTCGGCGCCTTGTCCGTCTGTCCGTCCGTCCGTCTGTCCGTCCGTCCGTCTGTCCGTCCGTTGTCTTGTCCGAAGCATAACTTGAAAACCCTTAGAGATAATTTGTTGAAACTTCATACAGTCGTAGAGGGCATCGAGGGGGAGTGCAGTGTCAAAGAACCATAACTCTATTTTGCCCGGTTTTTGAATTATCTCCCCTTATAGAAAAATCTTGTCCGGGGCATAACTCTAAAACTATAAGAGATATCAACATGAAACTTTGTAGGTGAATAGATCTCAATGGGTAGATGTGCAGTGCATAAGAACAATAACTCTTTTTATCCTAATTTTGGAGTTATTGCCCTTTGTTAATTTTAATACTTTGAACTTTGTCCTGAAACATAACTTGAAAACCCTTGGAGATAATTTGTTGAAACTTCATACAGTGGTAGAGGGCATCGAGGGGGAGTGCAGTGTCAAAGAACCATAACTCTATTTTGCCCGGTTTTTGAATTATCTCCCCTTATAGAAAAATCTTGTCCGGGGCATAACTCTAAAACTATAAGAGATATCAACATGAAACTTTGTAGGTGAATAGATCTCAATGGGTAGATGTGCAGTGCATAAGAACAATAACTCTTTTTATCCTAATTTTGGAGTTATTGCCCTTTGTTAATTTTAATACTTTGAACTTTGTCCGGAACATAACTTGAAAACCCTTGGAGATAATTTGTTGAAACTTCATACAGTGGTAGAGGGCATCGAGGGGGAGTGCAGTGTCAAAGAACCATAACTCTCTTTTGCCCGGTTTTTGAATTATCTCCCCTTATAGAAAAATCTTGTCCGGGGCATAACTCTAAAACTATAAGAGATATCAACATGAAACTTTGTAGGTGAATAGATCTCAATGGGTAGATGTGCAGTGCATAAGAACAATAACTTTTATTTATCCTAATTTTGGAGTTATTGCCCTTTGTTAATTTTAATACTTTGAACTTTGTCCGGAACATAACTTGAAAACCCTTGGAGATAATTTGTTGAAACTTCATACAGTGGTAGAGGGCATCGAGGGGGAGTGCAGTGTCAAAGAACCATAACTCTCTTTTGCCCGGTTTTTGAATTATCTCCCCTTATAGAAAAATCTTGTCCGGGGCATAACTCTAAAACTATAAGAGATATCAACATGAAACTTTGTAGGTGAATAGATCTCATTGCGTAGATGTGCAGTGCATAAGAACAATAACTCTTTTTGTCCTAATTTTGGAGTTATTGCCCTTTGTTTATTTTAATACTTTGAACTTGAACTTTGTCCAGAACATAACTTGAAAACCCTTGGAGATAATTTGTTGAAACGTCATACAGTGGTAGAGGGCATTGAGGGGGAGTGCAGTGTCAAAGAACCATAACTCTATTTTGCCTGGTTTTTGAATTATCTCCCCTTATAGAAAAATCTTGTCCGGGGCATAACTCTAAAACTATAAGAGATAGCAACATGAAACATTGTAGGTAGATGGATCTCATTGAGTAGAGGTGCAGTGCAAAAGAACCATAACTCTGTTAAGCCTTATATTTGAATAATCTCCCCTTTTAGAAAAATCTTGTCCAGGACATAGCTGTAAAACTATAAGAGATATCAACATGAAACTTTGTAGGTAGATAAATCTCAATGGGTAGATGTGCAGTGCACAAGAATCATAACTCTACCTTGCCTAATTCTGGAGTTATTGCCCTTTGTTTATTTTTACTTTTTGAATTGTCCAGGACATAACTCGGAAATCATAAGAGATATCATCAAGAAAGTTTGTAGGTTGATAGATCACATTGATTAGAAGTGCAGTGCAAAGAACTGTAACTCTGCCTTGCCTAATTTTGGAATTATTGCACTTTGAACTTTTTCCACGGACATAACTCTGAAACTACAAGAGGTGTACTTTCCTGTGTCCAAAACCTATTCGGGGAGCATCACCCGGCTCAAACCGGGCTCTTGTTTTTGTTTTGTTTTCAACAAAAGTGTGTGTGTTTTAAGTTTATTTATACTCGGCGCCGGAATAACCATATGTTCGAGATTATAGCATCTGGGACGTCTTTTTCAAGTAGATTCTTCCTGGAAGCCCATTCTTCGTTCTTTGGTGGTAAAGGAGACGACAATACCGTCAAGGCATCAACTTTCTGACTGACGACAACAAAAACGGCATCTATTAGCGCCAAACCTCCAGAGTAAGTCACGACAGGTCAACCAATCACCTCTGGTACTTATGATGACTTGACTATGACCTTCCGTGTGCCTTCTCCGCGACGTGCACGCCTCTGGAGGGATTTGGAGAAGTTTCAACAAAAACTTCCTAAACACGCCATTTATAACACCATTCATAGCACTGACGGCTTCGATGTTCTCATCTATTTGCGGGAAATGGTCGACAGGGAAAACCCTACGTAATAACCGTACACCCTGTTAACCACAGATTTTCCGCAGTATATATTTCAAGCTAGTGAGGTTTAAAAATACAATTAACTACCATAAGTTGGTTGAGTGTTGGCGGTAAAAAAAGAAGATATAACTTCCTGATCAATTTTCACTAAGGTTGATTCAGTTTTGAATAAGCTTTGCAGATATGCATTTTTTCAAGAAATATTTAGCTTTAATATTATCCGACGCCGTCAGTAATGAAATGGGAATAATTTTCTGAAACGTGATTTTATTCGAGATTTGCTTCTGGAGAAGGCAACCTTCTGTCCGTAGAGCATGAATATTAATACTCATCACAAGACAGTATCTTATTGATCTCAATTATGGTACATCTAAACGTGTATAATTTTTATGTTCAATAAAAATGTTGCATCACTTGCAGTTGTTATTATCATTCAATAATATTAAAATGACATAAAGTATATTTATGATGAACAATCCTAGAATATTTTGATAAGGAACCGTCAGTTGTAAAATGTTATTGTTATCTGATAATGAACAGTCGTCATACTTGCTGGTATGTCATTTATTATTGACAGTTTAGGTTTTTCAAAATTTGCATGATTAACAGTCCGAATGTAGACCTCAATGAAATGTTCTGGAATATTAACAAAATGAATAGTCAACCACATTAACCATATATATGAATGGTTGAACACAACAGTAAGGATAAATAGCGCAATGTGCATATCTTTTTATTTTGGTAGCATATTTTAAGCAAAAAGAAAAGAAACTATAAGTCTGAAACATTCTCTCATAGCCTCCCCATCAGTACATTCAGTGCTTTGATTCTTGTTGTAAATGTATGGTATGATATAAGAAATAGTACACATTTTGCTCAGTGCTCTTGGCATAATGATTATCTCCAAGACAGCTGTAAACATAAAACAGATTTCGCTATAAACAAAATATTAATGTAATCTTAAGAAAATTGTTATTTCGGTGATGGCTTCCCATAAATCATTAAGGTGTTGTAAAAGACTTTCAGCATTAGACATTGTTGTTTTTCATTTTTTTGCTAACCAACGAAGATTGTGAATTCTTTGCAGACGGAACACTTGTTACAGAAAGTTGTACAACATCTACGGACACATGTATTGATGATTACGCTGCCTGTAACGGAACTATTTGCAACTGTATCGCCGGATATCATTGGAATGGCTCTATATGTAGTAAGTTTGATATATAGAGAATAATGAATGTTTGTAGGTTCAATACTGAATTTATTGAATGAGTATACTGAGATGATTAACAATATACATTACAGTACCGGGATATGTGTTTCCAGTATAGATGAGAAAATGTATATAATATGTTTAATAATAAAAAAAATATTTGCAAGAATGAATGTAATGGAAAAGAAACAATTTGATAAACTATCTGAAATTTATTATGTATGAAATGTACATGAATAAACACCCCTGATTATCATGGACTAATAGACTTACTCTGGAATTAAGAATATTTTGGGGTTTCTCAGCTAATCTGTAGGTACAAACAAACTTTTACAGTTACATGCAGCTTCGAAACTAAGCGGAACAGGTTGACTAATCTATTGTGACGGAAAGTGCACCGTGAAGCTGTAACAGTAAAAGTTTGTTTGTACTGAAGGATTAGCTGAGAAAACCCCACATTTGCCGAGTTACGGATAACATCTATTGATAAGGAAAATATAAACACCTTGTAATGTATGATAAATGAAAAATATGGTCATGATAATTAATAATTTTTCAGCTGGCGAAAACTTATGTGATCCTTGTGACCCCTCAAATCCAACATGCGCATCAGGTTCAGTTTGCAGCTCAAGTACGTACAGATGTACATGTCCGCCTAATCAAGTACAGATCGGCGATGAATGTTGTAAGTACTGATACTGAAGATAAAACAAAGTTATTGTAATATCTCATTCTGTAGACATTTTTATTATTAGTTAAACAAATTTTAACAGGTTATATGACCTGATATAAATGGTTGTTTTCATATATAACCCGAGCCGCTATGTGAGGGTTATATTGCAAATTTATATACGGCCATATTAAAGCTGTTAAAAATCTTTATAATGCATTTATAAAACAGCAAACTTCCTTGTTTGTTTCTTTCTTCTGCCAGATGGCATATCAAGCAATATTAAATTAGATATGGAAATAATTCTGAGTATTCCGATCTAAAGACATGTAACAAGTACATTGAGGTAAGATATTTATCCTCTGTCATAATTTATGGTAATTTACTCAAAAGCATCAGCTGTGAGATATAATATTATTGCCAGTCATAGGGTCCTGTTCTTCAGTGAGGAGCACAAGAATAAAATTATATTGTATTATTCAAAGTCATATTGTACTTTTATCTACAGATGGTACAATGGTTGGCGATCCATGCACAACACCGGACACATGTATACAAGATAATGCTGGTTGTAACGGCACCATCTGCGACTGTCTCCCTGGATTTTCTTATAATGGCACAGTGTGTGGTTAGTAGTGCTAATAGAATTAATGATGTTATTTAAAAAAGATTTTAAATTTTGTATATATTTATATCTAGAAATCTATATATGTGATCATGATATTAAACTTATTCAACTATTGGCATATAATGGTATATTGACATATATACTGACATACCATAGAGGCTGGTCAACCTGTACAATGTCAAAATGAGGGTTGACTGCAAAACTGCTTTATATTATAAAAGTTACTGCAGTTTTGCAGTCAACCATGCAGTCTGACTAGTCTCTTTATTGTTGGTTGCTAAATTTTAGCTGTTGTTTTATTGACATTCCTAACATCATCATATAAATCTATATCCAATGAAATATTTATATAGACTTTATAAATGGTAAAAGTATATTAATCTTATGGTCAATTCAAGAAAGAGTTGTGACTTGTCACATAGGATGTGTCTGTTATTTACCACACATGGGTATTGTACGTAAACAGAATTAATTTCTGAACAGAATATTATGCTGCTGTTTTAAAATATCGTTTAGCAATGATTTTCAGCATGTGCATGCACCATTCATTTATAAATAAATATACAAATATATTTCTTTCATACAGGTATTTTGGCATTATTCTTTTTCAAAATTTAGACAATAGTTTTGCAAACTACAGGCAGCAGATATACAGCTTTATATGACCATGTACAGTTCTAAAGTCCAATTTGATAAAGTTCACATTGAAAGATTGAATGTAATGTTATATTGAAAGATCAAAAATGATATATTGAAAGACCAAAAATGAGATATTGAAAGATTAAAAATGATATATTGAAAGATCAAAAATGGTATTAATGAAAGATCAAAATCTGTCACGCAATATTCTTGAAAAAAGCAAAACCTTTTCATAAATAGCATATTAAATTTTTACCAATCGAAGGATTTGTGTCACCATTTCCTGTATATTGCTATACTGTCTGAGGTTAATCGTTCTGTTTCCAGTGTTCTTGAATAAATAATATTAACTTGACTATAAGATTGCAAAAAATGTATTAATTCTTGTTTCAAAGGAGATTTTTTCAGATGTTTATTTTTATCTTTTTTCATAAATCATTTCTGGGATGCCTTCGTGATGGTCACCTGATTTCCAGGACAGTCCCGGATGTCCAAGACATTATGGCATGCATGCATATTTATTGAAAAATTAGGTAGTCTGCAATGTTTAATTTGTTGATGTAGTGTATAATAAAAAGTACATTTCTTTATCTTTTTAAGTTGGAACTGGGCTTTGTGACCCTTGTGATACATCAGTATTAAATTGTGAGGACCCTCTGGAGTGTAGTTCTACCACATACAGATGTGAATGTCCCTCTGGTACAGTACAGATAGATGGCGCCTGCTGTAAGTACATTCTATTAGTGTGTCAATAGTAGTTCTAGAACTACTGTAACCTAACAAATAATTACGATCAATTAATATTCACTTTATTTACTGTAGGCATTGATGCGCGATTAAAAGTTTGCATGAATTAGTCTGCAGGACTTTACGAATGAATTGGTAAAAGAAATGTTTGTTTACATATCTTGTCTAGACGCTCATAAAAAATTACCGGACTGAATATTTCAATTAAAACGCAAGTTATAAGTTTATTGCTTATTTATTTTTAAGTCCCTAATATAGTCAAAATAAATCTTAATTATTGAATATCACGGTCAAGCAATACTCAGTAAAAACCTTCTCATTTGGGAAATTGTAGATTTTTTTCTTTGGAAATTTGAAAAACTCTATAAATCAAAATGTAGGGTATATTTAAAGAGTGTAACGTTTTGATTATATATAACTTTTATTATTTTTTGAAAAACTTTGGGTATATTTTAAAAGTGTATATTTTAATTATATAATTATTATTATAATTAGATGGAACACTTATTGGAGAGACTTGTACAAGTAGTTACGATGTATGTATCGATGATAATGCTGGATGTAATGGGACAATATGCAACTGTTTGCCAGGGTATTTCTTTAACGGCACTATATGTGGTAAGTATACTGAAATGTTTAGTCTGTTGTCCAGGTCCTTGATGCCAGTTGATGGTACATGTTTTTATCATTTATCACAGAAGGAATATTTCTATGCTCCATTACTACAGACTTTTGTGAATAAGTATGCAAAACAAGGTATCACAACAAGGTATCACACCTCTCGAAGGTCTAGGTCACACCAGGGAAGTGTAAAACCTGTGTCTGAAGCGACTAACTTCTACATACATTGAGGGATTTTAATATAACTTGGGACAAATATTTTCCATAGTGTGGTGGAGTGTCATGCTAAAATTCAGATGTCTATGGCAAAGGTCAAGGTCACACTTAAGGGGCAAAGGGCAAATAACAAAATTAATCATTCATTTGCGAGTATAACTTCTATATACATTGATGGATTTTAATATAATTTAGCACAGGTGTTCTCCATGTTTAATAACTCTCACAGAATGAAGGTCAAGGTCACAAAAGGACAAAGGTCAAATAAAAAATATCAAAATTTTTTGTTAGCTCTGTATCCTGTTTCTGCTTTGGAATATTATGCTTAGTGATCAGAGGATATTTAAATTGGTGAGGTTGACTTAGTCACCACTTTTCACTTTTGGCGATTTTCACTGATGACAATGACTTTCTGTTTTATCAGTTGGGACAGAATGGTGCGATCCATGTGATGACTCAACAGCGGCTTGTTCATCCGCTTTTACTTGCAGTTCCACTTCATACAGATGTGAATGTCCATCTACACACGTGCTTGTTGGGGATACTTGTGGTACATTTATCTATTACTACTATTTAAACGAACTTTTTTTTTTAAATGTCTAGCTTTTTTCTTAATTTGTACTTGTAAAACTATATTTCTTTAATAATTTTTAAATGACACTCGTAACAAGTTAGCGAGACAATAAATGATATATTTATTAAAATTATTTTTTACCTCCCTTGTAAATGCTAAGTAGATAAACTCTGTAACAGTACGTTAACATGGTACTTGGACTATGATTTGTTTAAACAAGATTATCGGATATAAAATTCTTGATAATCTCTGTTAAATAATTTCAAGTATTTTAATGATGGTATATTTTGTAAACAAATATTTATTTTCTTCCATTATGCATGTGTTATAGACATTACTGTTATTTTGTATCCATAGTTGGAACGCAAGTTGGTGAACCATGTTCATCTCTGCTTGATACATGTAAAGATAATAATGCCGCGTGCAATGGAACAGTGTGCGATTGTGTGGATGGTTGGGTATGGAACGGAACAATTTGCGGTAAGCTATTTTCGTGCATTTGTAAGAATTTCACTACTAGTAATATTGCAGGTATGATTTGACCACAGTTATGTATTTTTGATACCTCATGTGAATTTTTTTTTTTTTTTTATCTTTATACCAGGGATATATTTTTTTATATTCATTTATATGTAGTATCTAACTGTAGATGAATTTACTTTGGTGGAAGAACAAACTATTTTTAAATTAGGTTACTACAGTGTCAAGGCTTAAAGGAAATGTACGGTTGATTTACAGTAAAACCTTTGCTCTACAGAGCTAGAATAAAGAGGAAATCTTTACTTGTGGAAGAAATAATATGGTTGTTGTAAAGAGATGATTGTTGTAAAGAGGTGATTGCTCTTCAGAGGGTCACTCTGCAGAGGTAATATTGTATTTACTATGAAAAAATAGAAGTAAACTATTCACAGACCAAGATTTATTCTTTTATACCTGTAGTTGGACCAAACTTATGTGACCCGTGTGATCCCGGTGTATCTTCCTGTAATAACGGTTTGGTGTGTAGCTCGACAACGTACCAATGTGAATGTCCTCCAGATGAGGTTCAAATCTCCGACTCGTGTTGTAAGTTTGTTTTTATTTTCTTCGCATCATTTAGTCAGTAGTTTGCATGGATCTGTTGTACATAATATTATATGGATGTCAGCTTTAAAGTTAAAAGAAAATTAGAATGAGGTTCATAAATGCTCAGTTGGAATCTACCTATGCGACCAGTGCAAGATCAGTTTTCACGTCCAAGCTGCCTGATCATGGTCTTCACTAGTCGCTTGCTATCCAGTCATTGCATATTTTGGTATGAGTTAAGTATCATTGAGAACAATATTTCATTCCTTTCTAAAGCTTCATGTCTCCAGCTGAATGTAAAATTTTTTTTTTAAAAATAATAAAGAAGAAAAATATATTTGATGATTAAGGAATGGAAAGACAAACTAATGTCATTGTATAAGAAATTGTGCAGATAGTTTGCTGCAAATGTTATGAATAGGCACATAACTATTTTTTATTTATTTATTTATAAAATTTTGTTAAATTGAAGAAAAAGAATGGTTTTACATTTTAGATGGCACACATATTGGTGAATCATGTACTACATCTGTTCCCACCTGTGTTGATGATAATGCGGAATGCAATGGTACCGTGTGCAACTGTATTGAAGGATTCACTCATAATGGATCCATATGTGGTAATGTTTATTTGTGTGACCATATATTTTGATATTTTGATTACTTATTTTAGTCCAGTGGCAATATAGACTTGCTTATCTGTGTAATCTGAAAAGGTTCTTGTCTCAATACTTGCCTTAGACATCTGTACAGTACGCTCAGCGCGGCTTTTTCAAAACCCGCATGACCCCGCGGGTGAGGCTTACCGCGGACGAAAATTTGCTCAGATATTGTCCGCGTGACCCCGCGGACAGAAAATTTTCACCACCGCGGACATAAATCGGCGGCTGAAACCGTTTCTCCCGCGGAATGCAGTGGTAAATTGTGGAGGAACGCGGTGGTCAAACACCGGTCAACGCGGTGGAAACCTTATATTTTAAAAATTAATTACTGTACATGTATTTAAACATCAGTATACGTACGTACATGTACTGTAACATGTACTGTACATATACATGTAACTATATGTAAAATTTGTTTGTTTTCTCTTTTTTTTGTAATAAAAGTACATGTACAAATGCAGTGTTTTTCTTGTTCTTCTTCTTGTTATTGTGTTAGGTAATGTATAATATGTATTCGACATCAAGATAAATCATTGTCGTCGCAACTTCATGGTAGTGATAAACTTGAAGTCAAATAGTGAAAAATTCGGCATATGACATTTATGAAAAAGATACTACAACAATTTATATGACAGCTTTTGTTTCTTATTTAAAAACTTTGAAAACGTAACCCTCAACAATTTTATTCAGGCAATTTTCCAGGACGTCTCTTTCAATTGTCAGATGCGTTTTACTGTTTCTGTTTCTGCATGTTGATCATAAAGTCTTATATTTTATTTGGAACATTAAAAGAAAGCGTTTATTTCACCAAAATATACATTAAATGATATTCTTGATTTATCTAATTACAGGTGTGAGCGTAATGTATATGTTTTGAAGTTTGTATCAACTGTTGAAGTTTATTTTCATTTTTAGCTCGACTATTCGAAGAATATGAGAGCTATTGTAGTCGCCCCGGCGTCGGCGTCCGCGTCCGCGTCGGCGTCTGCGTTGGTTAAAGTTTTTTGTAAAGTCAAATATCTCAATTATTACTTGAGATATTCAATTGAAACTTACAATACTTATTTATAGTAACAAGGTACATCAGATTGACAAGTTGGATAACTCTGCCTACAATATTGACAGAATTATGCCCCTTTTTAACTTGGAAATTTTGGTTAAAGTTTTTTGTAAAGTCAAATATCTCAATTATTGCTTGAAATATTCAATTGAAACTTACAATACTTATTTATAGTAACAATGTACATCAGATTGACAAGTTGGATAACTCTGCCTACCATATTGACAGAATTATGCCCCTTTTAAACTTAGAAATTTTGGTTAAAGTTTTTTGTAAAGTCAAATATCTCAATTATTACTTGAGATATTCAATTGAAACTTACAATACTTATTTATAGTAACAAGGTACATCAGATTGACAAGTTGGATAACTCTGCCTACCATATTGACAGAATTATGCCCCTTTTTAACTTAGGAATTTTGGTTAAAGTATTTTGTAAAGTCAAATATCTCAATTATTGCTTGAGATATTGAATTGAAACTTACAATACTTATTTATAGTAACAATGTACATCAGATTGACAAGTTGGATAACTCTGCCTACCATATTGATAGAATTATGCCCCTTTAGAACTTAGAAATTTTGGTTAAAGTTTTTTTGTAAAGTCAAATATCTCAATTATTGCTTGAGATATTCAATTGAAATTTAAAATAGTTATTTATAGTAACAATGTACATCAGTTTGCAAAATTGCATAACTCTGTCTGCAATATTTGCAGAATTATTTGCCCCTTTTAAACTTAGAAATTTTGGTTAAAGGTTAAAGGTCTTCAAAGATATTTACTTGAAACTTTACACATGCACTTAGGGTCATAATTGGAGGGTCATAATTGTATGTCACTGACCAAGTTCCATAACTCTATCTTGCATTAAGGCTGATTCATATCCCCTTTTCTACTTAGTCTCTTGGTTAATGTTAACATGCAAGTTTTACATATCTCAATAACTATTAAAGATATTTATTTAAAACTTCACATATGCATTTAGGGTCATAATTGTAGGTCACTGACAAAGATCCATAATTCTATCTTGCATTTAGGCTGATTTTTCTCCCCTTTTTCAACTTAGAAAGTCATGGTAAAGTTTTGCTTGTAAGCTGTTATCTCAATAACTACTTAAGGGTTTGTGCCTCTTTTGGGACAATTTTATGCATTCATAATAATAAAGCAGTGATTTACTTGATAAAACATCTTAATAACAAGCTTTTGTTCCCTTTCTGTCAAATTTATGTATTCATAGGTAATTAGTATGATTATACTCAATAAAAAACCCTTGTGACATTACCTTCCGAATAGTCAAGCCAATTCTGTATAATTAGACTCTCTCTAAGGCCTATAACATGAATTTATAAAAAAAATTAGCCCTTTTGTGAACTTAAAAAATTTAACATTATCAAGGCTCTTTTACTATCAAGCACTTAGAATAGTCGAGCGTGCTGTCCTACAGACAGCTCTTGTTGTTTTAGTAGTTTGTTTGCTTGTTCTTTTTTATTTTTTTATAGATTTTTTTGCAGAATTTTGTTAAACTTGACGTTATACTTTTGTTATTTTATTATGAACAGTATGCATGTACATACATGTATATAAGGCAAACGAGCACATGGCAGTTTCTTTCTAAGAACTTCCATCGACGGATTTTCAAGTTAAAAATATTTCATTTTAATTTTATTTTAAGATATTATTGTTCATAGGAATAATAGTATTTGTAGACAACATGTAGTTTTAAGTACATACAATTGAACATAATTGTCTTTGATTTCTTGTATTCATTATATTAAGTTTTCATTGAAATTAATTCCGAGGATAATAATGTAATTTTATAATTTGTAAAAGGCAGCCTAATCACTATTTTTTTAATGGATGCGGAATTTGTTTTTAACGCGTTTGATGCTTATTATATATATATAAGTATATTATTATATATAAGTATCATACATCAAGAGCGCTGGAATAATAAACAAGCTTTTCGTTAGTTTAACAGCAATTATAATACTTATAGAACCACAAGAAATGAACAAGTAAAGATGGCAGTGATAAATGACGATTTCAGTTGTAAAAATATTGGTATGTGGACGAATAGTTTTGTGGACGTTTATAACAAAAATATTAAAAACAACAACAAAAACAAGTACAGCTGTAATTATTTTTATTTCAAATTCCGTTCAAATAATTTAACGTATAATAACATTTAAGGAGACGATTGTGGTCAATTTTCGAGTCATTGTGTAAAAAAGATGACGTTAAAAAATAATAAAACGTCTATTATTTTTGGAGGTTAATTTAAACTGACCAACTGACCATGGCGTTCCCCCGCGGGAAAAGGGTGACTGATTTTATCGATAAATGAAGAATTTTGTCCGCGGTGGAAACAACTGAACACCGGGGATCGCGGGGAAATTAGGCTTCTCATCGCGGACGAGCCCCCGCGTTTGTCCGCGGTAAAAAAAGTGAGCGTACTGTATAGAGAAACTTTGAAAAAATGGCCTTTTTTAAGAATTAAAAGTACCTATATTTTCATTGAAAAAAAATAACAGAAACGATGTAAGGAATTGCATATTATTATGTATTGTACTCAACAATAAAAAGAAAAACATAATCCAGAAGTGAAAACAAGAATTCATTTAAGTATGTGATATGCCCTTGAAATGACCTCAAATACGTAGAAAAGTCTGATTCAGGGGCAGATAACTCAAAAACGAGAAGGGTGACCCCAATTTTTTTTTTGCTTAAAATGTAACTGTTATCATATTCTAACAACATGCCAAGTTTAAAGAAATTCTATTTAACAGTTTTAAATTTGCCTATATGTCTATATGAAAGTTCCTGAAAACGTCTTTAATGTACATATCTTGTTTATGCCTTAGTTAAGTCTATAGATCTTGGATACATGTAATTGATAAAATGAGAAAATTATGTCGCAATAGTTCTTTAAAGCTTACATTAACAAAGAACATAATCTATTTAGATAGGAAAAATATAGAATCAATTTTATTTGATATTCATGTACATTACAGTTACTTGGATGCTATTGTTTTTGTCCTTTTTCAGATGCTAAACATTTTAAAGAACTTTTCTCATTGGCTTATCAAGATAACATGTATGTATATGCATACCAAATCTTTAATAGGTACATGTATCATATGAAAGTTATTACATCAACAATTTACAGAACAGTGTAACAGCATGACCTTGTTTTGAACCCAGGACCTTGGAATATTGTGTCTCAGTTCTACCGACTGAGCTATCCAACGGCTTAGACATCTTCTCCCCTAAATAGTGAACAATTCTGAACCTTGACATATATATTTACTTTACTTAATATACCTGATTTCTTCACAGTTGGAGACAGTCTATGTGATCCCTGTGACCCTGCCATTACTACATGTGCCTCTTCACTAGTATGTAGTTCAGATACTTACAGATGTGAATGTCCTGTAGGATTTGTACAAATCGGGGATGCCTGCTGTAAGTATACTTTCATATTCATTCTTTGAAATAGTGTTATTCATTTTGTATGTTAAAAGGTACCAGCCCACACACAAAATAAAACGTTGCAGTGGTGTAAGAAGAAGAATAAAGTGCCTAAAAGCTGATATTTCAACTGGGACATAATATAACCATTTCAGCAAATATGATCTAGATAAGATGTCATATGTCGGTGATACTGGTAACCTAACATGTTTACCATCTGGCTATTTGTCCACCAATTCAATATACGCAATTGGAGATGTTTTTATTAGTGCCGCTTGATAGACAGTTTAGATTTTAATGTGTAATGTAAAAAAACATCTATTAAAGCTATATGCATTTCATATTGTTAGATATTGAATTTTCAGAACAGTACTTAATGTATTGCAGTAGAACCCTGCCTTACAACCACCCTGTTTTGCACTTAAATTCGTCTGACCATGAGTCTTTCAAATTTTTTAACAAAAAAATCTATATTTTCAATTAAGATGGAACACGTGTTGGCCAGGAATGTACAAATACTGTCAACACGTGTATTGACGATTATGCGGAATGTAATGGCACTGTATGTACATGTATTAATGGTTATAATTGGAATGGTTCAATATGTGGTAAGTCATAATTTATGCATAGGTGTTATTATATGACTAACAATTTCACCATGTGGCGATAATTATTGACAGCTAGTAGATTAAGTAACATTAACCACGCCTCAAGGTGTCATCATCTAAGCATCAACTCTAGGTGACATCATTTACCTTGACTCTAGGTGCCATTATTTACCTTGACTGTAGGTGACATAATTGACCTAGACTCTATGTGACATCATTAACCCTGATTCTAGGTGACATCATTTACTTTGACTATAGTTGACATCATTGACCTAGACTTGATGTGACATCATTGACCTATACTCTAGGGGACATCATTCCATTTGACTCTAGCTGACATCAATGACCTTGACTCTTAGTGACATCATTGGCCTTTACTCTATGTGACATTATTTGATTTGACTCTAGGTGACATCATTGACCTTTACTCTAGGTGACATCATTGACCTTTACTCTATGTGACATTATTTAATTTGACTCTAGGTGACATCATTGACCTTTACTCTAGGTGACATCATTTACCTTTACTCTATGTGACATTATTAGTCCCCTACCGGTTTAACCGGAGGGGACTTTAGGTTTACCCTCCGTCCGTCTGTCCGTCTGTCTGTCTGTCCGTCTGTCTGTCAGTCCGTCAGTCCACAAAACTGGATCCCGCGATAACGCAAAAAGTACTAAAAATATTTTTATGAAACTTGATATATGGATAGATGGCAGTATGGAGATTATGTACGTCTTTTTTTTTCTTCCTATGTTGAAAATTCTGGTTGCTATGGCAACAAATAGTCTGAATATATGGCAAATTTAACACATAAACTGGATCCAGTGATAACTCAAAAAGTACTGAAAATATTTTTATGAAACTTGAAATATAGGTAGATGGCAGTCTGGAGATTATGCACATCCATTTACTTTCTTCCTATGTTGAAAATTCTGGTTGCTATGGCAACAAATAGTCTGAAAATATGGCAAATTTAACACATAAACTGGATCCAGTGATAACTCAAAAAGTACTGAAAATATTTTTATGAAACTTGAAATATGGGTAGATGGCAGTCTGGAGATTATGCACATCCTTTTCTTTTCTTCCTATAGTGAAAATTCTGGTTGCTATGGCAACAAATAGCCTGAATTTCAAGATTTCCGATCAAAATTTTTCAGCTTTTTCACAATAAATTCTTTATTTCTTAAGGTGTTTACTTCAAACTTTAAATATAAGTTTCTGGTCATCAACCACATCATATGTGACAAGGTTTACAACTCTAGCACAAAAATTATCAGTATTACCTCCCTTGAACTTAGAATTTTTATGAAAAAAAATGTTGTCTTTTTTAAATAACTTCTTTATTTCCTAATGTATCTTCTTCAAACTTCATATATATGTTTCTTATTATCACTCATCATTTTTGAGAAGGTTAAATACTCTAGCAAGACTATTTCCAGAATTATGTCCCCCTTGAATTTTTTGGTATTTTTCACTCCAACTTCTTCATTCCTCGTAGGGTTTACTTTAAAATCCCACATCGTAATAATATGACAAGGTTGTATAAACAAAATTTCCTTACTAGGCAGGGAAACTTAACACATTACTGTGATAAAGACAAACTAAGAACTCAAAAGATTTAAGTTCATTGATGTCATTCATTTGTTGGTAAAATTGAATGGCCAATGGCCCATCAGAATGCTGCTGGGGTTCTAACTGGTAGAGGACTTATGGATTGCTTGCAATACTATGATAATTGCTTGTTTAATTTGACTTTTGGTGACATGATTGACCTTGACTTCAGGTGACATAATTTACCTTGACTCTAGATGACATAATTTACCTTGACTCTAGATGACATCATTGACTGCGTCTCTAGATTGCATCTTTAACCTTGACTCTAGGTGACATCATTAACCTTGACTCTAGGTGACATCATTGACCTTGACTCTAGATGACATTATAAACCTTGACTGTAGGTGACATTATTAACCTTGACTCTAGGTGACATAATTAACCTTGACTCTAGGTGACATAATTAACCTTGACTCTAGGTGACATCATTAACATTAGCTTAAGATTACATCATTAACCTGGACTCTAGATGACATTGACCTTGACTCTAGGTGACATCATTAACCTTGACTCTTGTGACATCATTAACATTGACTCTAGATTTACATCATAAACCTTGACTCTAGATGACATTGACCTTGACTCTAGGTGACTTCATCAACCTTGACTCTAGATTACATCATTAACCTTGACTCTAGGTGACATCAATAACCTTGTCTCCAAGTGACATCATTAACCTTGTCTCCAAGTGACATCATTGACCTTGACTCTAGGTGACATCATTGACCTTGACTCTAGGTGACATCATTAACCTTGTCGTCAAGTGACATCATTGACCTTGACTCTATGTGACATTATTGACCTTGACTCTAGGTGACATCATTGACCTTGACTCTATGTGACATCAATGACCTTGACTCCAGGTGACATGATTAACCTTGACTCTAGGTGACATCATTAACCTTGTCTCCAAGTGACATCATTGACCTTGACTCTATGTGACATCATTGACCTTGACTCTAGGTGACCTCATTGACATTGACTCTAGGTGACATCATTGACCTTTACTCTAGGTGACATCATTGGCCTTTACTCTAGGTGACATCATTGACCTTTACTCTAGGTGACATCATTGACCTTGACTCTAGGTGACCTCATTGACATTGACTCTAGTGACATCATTAACATTGACTCTAGATTACATCATTAACCTTGACTCTAGGTGACATCATTAACCTTGTCTCCAAGTGACATCATTAACTATGTCTCCAAGTGACATCATTGACCTTGACTCTATGTGACATCATTGACCTTGACTCTAGGTGACATCATTGACCTTGACTCTAGGTGACCTCATTGACATTGACTCTAGGTGACATCATTGACCTTGACTCTAGGTGACATTATTAACCTTGACCCTGTGATGTCAGTTACCTTGACTCAAGGTAATTTCATTGACTTGAGCCAACTGCATCATAATTACCAAATGAAGAATTTTCCTTTGGTCATATAATAAAACAGGCATTTTATGAAGATTTCTGTGAATGTCTAACTTTATTGAGCTGGGTAATGTGAAATTCACCTTGGCCTTGTACGATGCAATCTCTATGGAGCCACTAACTGTAGAGCCACGCTTGAATCTTTATTTGTTACAGTAACATATTAACTTGAGCAACCAAATGATATGACATTGTGTCACAATGATATTTTGATGTCATTTAATACAAAAAGAATGCCTTTTACATGACATTACTGAGGCCTGCATGGAAGATCAGGAACTAAATGTGTTAGCTCATTAAATAAAGGATTTACTTACTCACTTACTTACTTACTTACTATTTATTTTCATAATTGTGTTGGCTATGTATGATAAAAAGTAAATATATCAGATGAATTTTCACTTTCATTTTGAGGTACATACATGTAATACTAAAAGGGTTCGATCAGATAGATCCAAGTACCAAAGTCATGAGGAGCATTCTTTTAATCCAGAGTTGTATCATATGATATGGTTGGAATGGAAAGATGCCGTATAGTGAAATTACTTGTTATTTGATTACAGGAGGGCCAAATTTATGTGACCACTGTGATCCTAATACACCATCATGTGGTGCCGGTCTTGTATGTAGCGATACCACTTACAGATGTGAATGCCCTGCAGATCAAGTGCAGATTGCAGATATGTGTTGTAGGTTGAACACTACTAAAATTATTCCTTTGTTTTTTAATTTTCAAAAAGAAAATTATAAGAGAAATAAACTTTTACAAAACTTTTTTTAGATTTTTCTTAAAGCTCAATCCTGACAAAACCATTCATAGCACCTGATTGGACCCTAAAACATCAGCTGGCAACAATATTGTAATAATTTAATAACACTATAGTGCCTAACTTTCTATATTTAGTTCTGATGAAATTAGATATATGTTCAAATTGTTTGTCTGTCATAATAGAACTATGTTTATAATTTCAGATGGGACTCATGTTGGCGATTCATGCACGACAAGTTTGAACACGTGCATTGATGATAACGCTGGATGCAACGGGACAAAATGTGACTGTTTACCTGGGTTTACTTTCAACGGAACTATTTGCAGTAAATATTAGAAGAACCTTTAATTTAAACTGATAAGTTTAAAAGTCCTGAATGAAGCATAAATTGGCCAAATCATAGGTTGAAAAGTCATATTTTGGCTGATTTGGAATCAGTTGCCTATACAGCTGTGGCAAACACAATTAATCATGACCTCAGTAGGGCTTGAACCCGTGATCCCTGGGTTGAAATGAAAACCCCTTGGCAACTATGCCACTTCACCCCTTGAAAAATGCTTATGTTAGATTTTATTATGCTAATGTTTATGCTACATTATATTACACTAGATTCATTTATGCTAATGTTTAATTGCCTTTATAAATGATTTTTGTATGAGATGATCTTAATTTACAGGTGGGCCAGATTTATGTGACCCCTGTGACCCCAGCAGCAACACATGTTCAGGGTTATTGGTATGTAGTACCACCACATACAGGTGTGAATGTCCTCCCGGGGAGGTTCAAATTGGGAATAACTGTTGTAAGTTTTAAAATAGTACTTCCTCATTTTCTTAACGGAAATATTGAAATTTCACAATGTAAAATGTACCAATGGACACGTTACATTTTTAAAAGATTTCAAAAATATTCTAAGTATAAAATGCTTGTTACTACAACTGATATCACTAAATATATTATTTTGTTAAAACTTTTTTGTTTTGTTTTGAAGCAGATATATTGTATATATGACCCCTGTTTCTCATATTTAGGTGCAAAAAATGATACAACTGTGATAATTTAGTCAGTCAGCTTACAATTTTTACTTATCGTCACCTTGGTGCAGTAACAAGTTACAGCACTATAGTAACATTAAAATGAGCCGTTTCATGACAAAACCAACATAATGGGTTTGCGACCAGCATGGTTCAAGACCAGCCTGCTCATCCGCGCAGTCTGATCAGGATCCATGCTTTTCGCTTACAAACCCTATAACAAGTAGAGAAACTGATAGCGAACAGCATGGATCCTGATCAGACTGCACGGATGCGCAGGCTGGTCTGGATCCATGCTGGTTGCAAACCCCCTATGTTGGTTTTGTCTTGACACGGCTCATATTGTTTAGTTGCCTTAGAATTATAAATATTGTATGTGTTCATTTAATGTCCCATTTGATGTTGGTCCAGACCAATATGAATTTGTGTGTAAAATTTCAGATCATTTGCCCCAGAATAGTTGTGAAAATGACTTTTCAACCAAATTGGGCTTAGAATTGCACAAGATACAATTTTCAATTTATTTCTTGGTAAATTTCTTTATTAAATTATCTTTTGCATTTTATTCCTGTTTGAAGTACCCCAGCTGATCTATAAAAGAAATTAAAATTTTATGTTTAAGATGTTTAGACCTCAGTGGAGTTATTTTAATATCGTCATGCCTTACATCCTATATTTAAATAAATAAACAATATTCTGTATTTTGCAGACGGAACCAATATTGGCGACTATTGTACAAGTTCACTGTCAACGTGTATAGATGATAATGCTGAATGTAACGGTACAGTGTGTACATGTAAAGAGAACTATGTCTGGAATGGTACATTCTGCCGTAAGCTATATTTTCTTCACATATTTCATTGGTAAAGATATGATTTATGCAAGAAATGCTTTCTATATATCATTTACTAACACATTCTGAAAAGGTACATCATTTCATTAGGTGTATACAAACATATATGAGCCGCTTCAACGATTTAAACCCAAAACATAATCCCTTTTGGGCAAAAAACAGGGGACCAAAACCCCCTGCTTTTTCCCGGCAATTATAAAAGGACCCCATGCTGTTTCCCTTAAAAAACCCTATTAGAATTTAGCAAAACTGTAGCGAACAGATGGACCCTGATAAAGGACTGGGGCCGGTTTGCGGGGGTCACAACGAAAAACTTTTTTGTCATAGCCGGTTTAAATATTATTTTAAATATATATTTTAAAAACAAGAATTTTTTTTACAGTTGGACTAAATTTGTGCACCCCATGTGACCCGGGGACAATTCATGCAGGGGGGTACTGTTTGAAAATCCCAGCTATTTATAGAGGGTAAAGGGCCCAACAAATCAATTTTATTTACAGTGATGCTTGCTGAAAAGTGCATTGGGGTTATTTTTATAAAAATAAAAGGACATTACATGCATATGGCTGCCATAAAGCACTTCATCATTTATATCTGTTTGATATGGTGGCTGATTTATGCCATAATGTATTTTCACCCTCCTTCTGTCATTTTTCGCTTTTTTGCTTCGAAAATCCCAAAAAGTGAAAACATGAAGAGACGACAAAGTCCAACTTTTGTGTTTTTGCACATTAGCATTTTAAGATGAAGAAGCAAAAATACGAAATGGTGTAAATCAGCCACCATAGTAAAATGATTATTTTTTTTACTGAATGTCAGTGGTTCAATGGTTTAACTCAGGTGGTCGCTCATGCCTGAAATCACAAGATACCTGCGTCTCCCTTCTCCAGTAAAGCTGGAAAGTTGCCATATGACAATATTGGTGTTGGTCCAATGTTAAACCAAACTAACTAAAAAAAAATAGATAACTGTCATGCAATTTTATGTATTGATTAATTTCTTGTGCATTTTTGAAAAAAAATTTAGTGATTTGAGTTATTTCATTGCTCTTGTATATTCCATATCACATATTTAATAAGTAAGCCATTTGACACACAGAAAATTCTACAAATATCATGCAGAATATATATAAAATGATCAGTTGATAAAATAGTTTGGCAGTCTTTTTTTATATTTTTAGCAGTTTTCATGATTGTTTTTTTTTCTTGACATTTTTCATCCAGTAAATATTGGTCAATGACCATTATATTACATGTGGTGGAAAATGAACAGCGGGTTCCCGATTTTGCCTCTGAGGCCGGCTGTCCACTTCATTCAACTGATTCCGCACTCTTTTCCTGCCTCCAGTTGCCGTATCGGCACCTGTTTTTCCTTTTCCTCCTGGCATGATTTTAAAAAAACTTAAAAAACTTTTTTCGACTTGTGGCAGTGGCAAAAACCCCCCAATTTTATGTTTTTTTCCCTCCTTAGCCCAGGAAAAAACTCCGTACCGTCCCTTTTTACCGGGGGTAAAAAAATCGGGTTCTCGGATTTTTAAAGTTTTTAAAAAAAGATATTGAATAAAAAATTTTTGAAATTCTCTACATGAAAAGTTTATTCTCCCTAAATTTGACAGCAAAAATATCATTTTAAAAGTAATTGTCCTTTATTTTACTTTTGTCATTGATATAATTTTTTTGGTATTTTTACAGATGGAAAATTTAATTGGAGAAAACTCCCCCAGGGTATTTGGGATACTTTCCCTTTGGGAATAAAAACGCATTTTGAAATTTGGGTTCTTTGCGCTTGTATGCTTCTTTCACATTTAAGGGCAAAATTTGGGTATATTGGAAAGGAAAATTTTTTTGATCACTTTATTTTAAGAGTTATAAAAAATTAAAATCTTTAAAAAATTTTGCATCTAAGTACAAAGGGTTTTTGTTAAAAATTTGTTTTAAAATTGTAATTTTAGGTTATACACCCAAAAAAAGGTTTTTTAAAATCCATTTTGGACCCCCAAAGACTTTTTTTTAAAAATGAAAGATTTTTGTATAATCCGTTGTTTTGTTTTGACTAAGTGAGTTCAGTACTAAAAGAGTAATATTAAATCTTAATTTGCCACAAACAATAAAATTTAAAGTTTTTTCCCCAAAAGTTTTGGGTGTTCGGGTCTGACCAGGCTTTATATTTTTGGCTTTTTAAAAAAGTTAGGGTTTGTTTAACTTAAAATTCATAGACAGCAGGGGCCCAACCCCCCCGCCCCCCCAACTTGATCAAAAATTAAAAATACGGGGAATAAATTTTAGTCGGATTTTAAATTTCCCACATTGCTCTGAAACCCCGAAAAAATTTTGAGGACAATTTCAATATAGTGGGGGAGTATAACACAATTCAGAACTGTTTGCTATTAAGGGGAGAAAATGTGCAGCCAGATAGTTCAGTCGGTAGAGCGGCAGATCGGTATTCTAAGGGCCCTGGTTCGAATCCCGGTCAGGCTGAAAATGTTGTAACCTAAAATTTGTTTTTTTTAAAATTTGGGCTTTAAACTTGTATGCTCTTACAAGATAAGAGACATATGGTTCCAATATAAAATTATTGTTGAAATGAAAATGATAAGAGTGACGAAATTGATGTATTCTTTGATGAAATTGTAATGGCAGATTGAGGCCCAAAATGGTGGTAAGATTTAGCATTTATTTAAGAAATAGATTTTACATTGACTGAATTTTATTTGTTTGAAATAGTCGGACCAAATTTAGACGACCCATGTGATGCCGATTCTTGTGGTGCAGGTCTATCTTGTGGCTCCACCAGTCAGAGATGCGAGTGCTCAGACCCACCGGTCCAGATCGACCATGTCTGCTGTAAGTCAAGTATTATATAATCCATAAAGTCTGATAAATAAAAATATGATAACACTAGCTCTGAAGAATGTATAAAGCAAACATATTGAGCATTCATTTCGAGTATTCATAGGGTACAAATTATTTTGAGATGTTTTCATAGTTTTGATACTGAATCTTATTGTACGTGGTTACCAAAATTGTGGTACATGAAAAGACTGATTATGATATTTTTTGTTTGTCTATTTAAAACAAGTAATAGAGACTGATACCATAATATTCATTGATGACATTGAATTTTAAAGGCCCATTTATAATGCCCCAGAAATGTCTTGATTTTCATTTCTCAAAGGCTTTTAATTTTTTGTGAACTTTTATAGTTTTCAAAATCTTTCTCATTTGCCAGTTACCTTAACCCTCTATTTATTCTGTTGCTTTTTTGCAATTAGTACAGTTAGTGTGATTAAGCATTTTGTATAGAAGTCAAAATACTACTTTGTTTTCATTTTGTTATTTTTCTGACAAATAAGTTCACATTTAGCACTACTTTCTTCAGATAACAAGCATCTAACATGCTCTAAAGACGTTATTTTAAACATTATAAAACTCATGCTTGCCCTTTCTAAAGAAGTTAAAATTTATTCTTTTCTGAGGCAAAGTGTGCCTTTTAAATAAAAAAAATTTTTTTTTTTGATAATGTTGACTTGTTTTGTATTGTTGTATAGATGGAACACACCATGGTGACAGTTGTACATCAAGTACAGACACATGCATCGATGATAATGCGGGATGTTCCAGTGGAACTTGTTCTTGTAATACAGGCTTTACATGGAATGGAACTATATGTGGTAAACTATTTAAAAACTATTTGAATTTGCATGTCCAGTTTAGTGAGTAAATATGGTACCTGTGATTTTAGCTGTTAAAAGTTTGGATAGAATTTTGTTACTGCATTTAAAGAGGCTTCTGGGAATAGTGTTACAAAGGCATTATGAAGTTAGATTAAAACAAGCACAAATTATTTTCTTAAATTTTTGCGAAAGAAATCTTAATGGAAGCAAATTTGATTATTAATTTATGTTTGGTTGGGTTTAATGTGGCACCAACACAGTAAAAGTCATTTGGCAACTTTTCAGATTTTTTTGTTAAGGAAGACCTCAGGTGCCCCTTTCATGCATTATTTCATCACCAAAGGGCACCTGAGTAGAACCACCAATGTTTAGTAAGCTAGCTGGATTTAACAAGTTTAAACATTATGAATAATGAATAACTTGCATGTCTTATGAAAATTTCCATAAGTAAATGTGTTTTAAAAAAAAACTTGGTTAATGGAAATGTTTTATATTGTAGTTGGTCAGGAATTGGATGAACCTTGTGATGATTCGGCATCATCCTGTGCTGCAAATGGACTCGTGTGTGGCCCAACATTCAGGTGTGAATGCCCTGGGGATGAAGTACAAATCAACAATATGTGTTGTAAGTTAAAAAAATTGTGATTTGTAAGCGCATGGTTTTGTTGTTTATTTGTTTGTTGCGTCACACCGACACATTATAGACCATATGGCGATGTTCCAGCTTTACTGGTGAAGGAAGAACTCAGGTGCTCTTCTGTGCATTATTTCAGGCACAAATGGGCACCTCAGTAGAACCCCCGATGTTCCGTAAGGTAGCTGGATAGCTTCCTTACATGAAAGAATCCAAAGTCCTTGTTGTGATTCGAACCCACAGCGGTGAGGGGCAAGTGGTTTGAAGTCAACAACCTTAACCACTCGGCCACTGATGCCCTGGTTTTGTTGGATATGATTGTCCAGCTAATAGGTGACCTTTTATGATGACATGTTGTCTTTTGTTTGTCATGCATCTTTATTTGTTATTTCTTAAAAAAAAATTGTGCTATTTTGAAATTGAAATCCCTTTAAACTTAAAATGAACTGTTCCACATTCAAAGCAGGGCAAATCCACTACAAAAATTCAGCAAGTTACGGGTTAATAGTTAAGTATATTTTATAGTTGTAGCTAGGGTAAAGTTACAAAATTCTGTTTTTCTTCAAGGAACTGTTTTGTCTCTTAACTAAAGCATGGCTTCCGTTATGAATTTATTAGGTTCAATGTTATTAAGAAAATCTAATAATGATTTATATTTTAGTCTCTCTTGTATGTGGCTCTTGTGAAGTCAATGCTGATTGTTTAGGGGACAATGTTGTATGCTTGGATGACTCTGTTCTTGGTGAAATATGCAAATGTGATACTGGCTACTATTTAGATAACTGTGGCATTTGCCAATCAAGTAAGATCCTTTAAGTTTTTCTTTTTTAAATTACTGATGGTCTAAGATATTAATGTACATGTATAATGATTGATGTACACTAAAGAATTGTGGTGTTTAATGTTATGCCCCCCCTCATATATCAGTCTCTTCCCCCACTCATCTGTTGGTCTATGCTCCCACTCATCTTCCAATCTATGCTCCCATGCATGTGTCAGTCAATGTTTCCACTCATCTGTCAATCTATGTTCCCACTCATCTGTTGATCTATCCCCCACTCATCTGTCAGTTCATTCTCCCATTCACCTGTCAGTCCTTACTCCCACTCATCTGTTGGTCTATGCCCCCACTCATATCCCAGTCTATGCTCCCACTCATCTTCCAGTCTATGCTCCCATGCATGTGTCGGTCTATGCTCTCACTCATCTGTTGGTCTATGCCCCCATTCATCTGCCAGTCTATGCTCCCACTCATCTGTTGATCTATCCCCCCACTCATCTGTCAGTCTATACTCCCATTCACCTGTCAGTCCTTACTCCCACTCATCTGTTAGTCTATGCTCCCACTCATACCCCAGTCTATGCTCCCACTCATCTTCCAGTCTATGCTCCCATGCATGTGTCAGTCTATGCTCCCACTCATATCCCAGTCTATGCTCCCACTCATATCCCAGTCTATGCTCCCGTGCATGTGTCGGTCTATGCTCCCACTCATATCCCAGTCTATGCTCCCACTCATCTTCCAGTCTATGCTCCCATGCATGTTTCGGTCTATGCTCCCACTCATCTGTCGGTCTATGCCCCCATTGATCTGCCAGTCTATGCTCCCACTCATCTGTTGATCTATCCCCCACTCATCTGTCAGTCTATACTCCCATTCACCTGTCAGTCCTTACTCCCACTCATCTGTTGGTCTATGCTCCCAGTCATATCCTAGTATATGCTCCCACTCATCTTCCAGTCTATGCTCCCACTCATCTGTCGATCTATGCCCCAATTCAACTGCCAGTCTATGCTCCCACTCATCTGTTGATCTATCCCCCACTCATCTGTCAGTCCTTACTCCCACTCATCTATCAGTCTATGCTTCCACTCATCTGACAGTCCAAGCTACAACTGATCTATTCATGAAAGCTACAACTGATCTATTCGTGAAAGCTACAACTGATCTATTCGTCCAAACTACAACTGATCTATTTGTCCAGGCTCCCACTTATCTGTAAGTCTATGTTTCCACTCATCTATCAGTCCAATGTTCAACTGGTCTATCAATCTATGTGTGCACTCTTCTGTCACTTCAGATCCCACTGGTATATTAGTATATGCTCCTACTCATCTGTCAGTCTATGTTTGCACTCATCTCTTGGTCTCATCAATTTATCAGTTTTTTACCGTTTGAACAGTTGCAAAGAAATCTTGTTTTTCATAATTTTAGAAAGTACAAATCTTGGTTGGTAAAAGAGAATGAAAAACTATCAATGTTATATTGAATTTCAGAAATTTCAAACCATGGTTCATGTGACAGTGATGATCAATGCCAATCTGGTATATGTGTTTGTGGTATATGTCAAGCTACAGATAATGAAGACTGTTGTAATGGTAAGCCAGTGTGTAAGGTCAAGGTCACTGTGGCTTGTGGACACAGTGGCCTTGACCTTTGACTTATACACCTCAAAGTTATTGGGAAGTTAATGATGGTTTTTATCTTCATTAAGCATCAATTCTTAATTTATGCTACATTGAAAACCTTCCGTCTATTCATTTTTGTATAGGCAGTTTTTTATACTTACTGTTTTCTAAAATAATATCATACAAAAGTATTTTAATTGATATGAAATTTCCAAATTTCTGATATATCAAGTTTCTCATTTCAGAAATAAATGTAGGACAAAACCCCAACCGAAGAAAAAACCATCATATAAGTTTTACATAGGCAGACATAATGTAGATAATATTCTTGCCAACTAAACACATGTTGAAATTTTTCTAGACAAAGTAGACAAAATCCCAACAAAATATTCATGGGGGATAATAACCCACCTGTTGATAATAAAGCTATTATATCCACTCTTGCAGTAACATTCGCTGCAGGCTGTATTTAAGTTTTTGTGTGCAAGTTGGTATCTCCAAAACTACTGAAGGCAATACACACTTGATTTTTGTTATTTTCTAATATGATGGGCACATGCCCTATAACTTTGAGTTATATTTATCAGAGTTATACCCCTAGTCTCACTGTAAAGCACTGAGAATAGTCTAGTCTAGTCTTATGGACATTTTTTTCCCCATTAAAATCTCTAAAAGTTTTTTACTGCATGAGAAATGATTGATCCATATCATGTATATTCCTACATGTTAAAGAAACTATAGAGATATTAAACTGTTTATCTCATCATTATGCCACCCATATCTTTCAAAGAAGTGGGGTGGGGGGGGGTATATTGATTTACACTGTGTCTGTTGGTCTGTGCTCTCTAGACCATATCTGGCCAATAACAAACCTACAGTTTAAATTACTGCTGTGGAGATTGGTCATGGCTAATAGTTGACCCATATTCATTTTTGGGGTCAATTAGAGTCAAAGGTCAATTAGAGTCAAAGGTCAAGGTATCAATGGCCTTGACGCAAGAACCTTGCCCGACCAATAACTAGAGAACGCCTTGGCCTACAGCCTTCATATTTGTTGTGAAAGATGATCTTGGCATGTAGATTAACCCTATTTATTTAAGGGTAATGACTAATTGATTTCCATGAAGTGGTGGATGGTAAGGGTAGAGGGGCAAACGTATTTCAGAAACATTTTTAGCTCACCTTGCACAAAGTGCAGGTGAGCTTTTAGGATGGCCAACCAAATGGCGTCCGTCGTCTGTCGTCCGTCCACATTTTAAATATTCTAAGGACATCTTCTATGATACCGCAAGGCCAATGTTAATGAAACTTGGCAGGAATACTCTTTGTAAAAAGCTCTATCAAGATTGTTCAAAGAATTCCATTTCATGCAGAACTCTGGTTGCCATGGCAACCGAAAGAAAAATCTTTAAATATCTTCTTTTGAAGAACCGTAAGAGCTAGAGCTTAGATATTTGACATGAAACATCTTCTAATGAGTGTCTACCAAGTTTGTTCAAATAAAAGCCCTAGGGTCAAAATTGGCCCCGCCCCAGGGGGTCATTGATTTTCCCTATATGCATATAGTAAAAACTTAAAAAATCTTCTTTTAAAGAACCCAAAGAGCTAGAGCTAAGATATTTGGCATGAAACATCTTCTAGTGAGTGTCTACCAAGTTTGTTCAAATAAAAGCCCTGGGGTCAAAATTGGCCCCGGCCCAGGGGGTCATTGATTTTCCCTATATGCATATAGTAAAAACTTAAAAAATCTTCTTTTAAAGAACTGTAAAAGCTAGAGCTTAGATATTTGGCATGAAACATGTTCTAATGGGTGTCTACCAAGTATGTTCAAATAAAAGCCCTGGGGTCAAAACTGGCCCCGCCCCGGGGGTCATTGATTTTCCTTATATGTGTATAGCAAAAACTTAAAAATCTTCTTTGAAAAAACCCAAATAGCTTGAGTTTAGATATTATACATGAAACATCTTTAAGTAAATATCTACAAAGTTTGTTCAAATAAAAGCCCGGGGGTCAAAACTGGCCCTGCCCCAGGGGTGTCATTGTTTTTAACTATATGTGTATAGTAAAAACTTAAAAAATCTTCTTTTAAAAAACCCAATGAGCTAGAACTTAGATGTTTAGCATGAAACATCTTCTTATGGGTGTCTACCAAGTCTGTTCAAATAAAAGCCCTTGGGTAAAAATTGGCCCGGGGGGGGGAGGGTGCTATATACAGGTGAGCGACCTCAGGGCCATCATGGCCCTCTTGTTTGTTAATACTGTGCATTATTTATTCTTGTTTTTAATTTTTATCATTACAGACTGTGATGAATTTACAGCAGACGTTATTTTTGTAACGGACAACTCGGGTTCAGTGGGAAACACCAATTATCAGCAATTGAAAGCCTTCGTCATATCTCTTGCAAATGCTTTTGTCATATCACCAACTGAAACTCGCATTGGCGTCGTTGATTATTCTAGATTTATCACTGAAGCAAACACTTTTAATATGAATGTGTACACTTCGAATCTCGCCTTTTCAACCCAAGTATTAGGGCATGAGTAAGTGTAATGTGTTACCTTTGTAAATAGTCTTATCAACAACGAAAAAAATAAAAAGGAATTACCAGTGAGATATTTAGTGTTTCTGATTATCTCTACTTGTGAAAATATATTCAATATGAACAACAATTATTATCTAACTTGTTTAAGCTGATTTTTTTTTTGAAATTTTGAAGACACCAACTGTGGAAAAAAGAAATCTGTGTTTGTCTAAAGTCAGCGTCCCTAATGGTTAAAAGGCACTTTTCGTACTGTTAAGTTACATGACCCCAAAAGATGATTAATTTGGATAAAAATAAAATTGAAAAGTAAAGTAATGACAACATATCCAATTCCTTGCATGATTAAAAGAAAAAAAAAAAAGAAAAAGAATTGGTTGATGCCTTGTAAGACGTTAAAACTGTACTCTGTTGAAAGAAATATCTGAAAAAAATGGTGCAAAGTTGCCGTGTTGAAAGAAATGTCAGAAAAAAGTAGTTTTATGTTAAAAGAACTCCACTGAGATTGAAAACCTCAAAAACATTAATTTATATTCCTTACATAGATCAACTTGGGCACTTTAAAAGAAAGAGATTCACAAGAGATCATATAGAAATATACTCAGAAATTAAAAGAAAATTAAATTTTGTACTATTTTTAGCCCCATTTGTGTGAAAAGCACAATGCAAGGCTTTTCATTATTGCCAATAATGGTTCATTTTCATGATTAAAATAATTATTCTGGAAAAATGGTGAGAACTAACAATCTGAAATTTTGAACACAAGTTATTAGGGTAGACCTACATCAAATGGAGCATTAATCTCAAGAAATTATTTCCACTCCTGAAATGTGAAAAAAAAAATTGGTGGAGTCAGTTAAACAAAGGTACATGTGGGTCAATGGATATTATTGTTCTTTGGTATATTAGTAAGAGGAAACAGTGACACAAGGTGATTAACCCATGCCAAGCTAAATATCTTAAATGGACTTGTCCATCATACAATCTGGACCCTACCATTCATCATTAAAAGGGAAAATGACAAAAAATTTACCAACTGAATAGCAGAAATACAGATCATGATCAGACAGCACGAATTTGCCAGCTAATCTTGATCTGTATTGGTTATATCGAAACATTCAGTTTGCACTAGCAGGCTTGGTGTTAAACACCTTCCAAAAATTACACCTAACCAATTAAGGTACTTTGAATTTGGAACAATTGAATTATCAGGGATTTAATTTTCAAAATACATGTACATAAATTTACCTACGGTACCAACTGTATAGAGCTTGTTCAGACAGCATAGAAATGCAGACTGGCTGAGTTTGCTCTATACTGGTGGCAAATGTTTATAGGTTAAAGTAATAAAGGGTTAAGTACTAAAATTGAAGAAAATGGGTCAGAAAAGGCGGCCCAACATTCACCATACTATAACCCGCGTTTGCACCTGTGCAACCAAGCCCAAAATGTAATGATGTGGCAAATGTTGAAACAGAATTTTATAATTTTCAAATTGTAAATTTGATACATGTATAATTATGACATTACATTTTTTTTTTCAAAGTTACCTTGGCGGTTGGACAAGAACAGATAAAGCCTTAGTAAGAGCTAAACAGTATCTGGACTCCGGTGCAAATAGAGCTGGTGTACCGAATGTTGTTGTAGTGTTAACCGATGGTAATACTAACGATGGAGGAGAATCATTGCTTCCCACAGCTGCAGCGAATTTGAAAAATGTACCTGACACAACGGTAATATGCTCTAATTTGCTAGTTTTAACGTATAGAGGATATTGAAGGAGTGTAGGTTTAATACTAAATTTATTGAACAAGTTGTATAAAATCATATATTATGTGAGCCTCTGGTGAGCATTTAATACTGTTTTATTCAACAAGGTCAATAAATTTAACATTGAATTTACACGAATATAATATTCTTTTTATCACTTATATAAAATAAGAACGGTAAACTGTTAAAAAGAGTTATTTTTCATTGGCGCTCCTATAGTGTAATGCTAACATAAGCAAGCGTTAATGCTATCAAAGTGTTATTACACTAGTGTAATGTCGTTTTTATGCCCCCGCCATATAAAGGCTGGGGCATATTGTGTTACCCTGTTCCATCATTTTGTCGTTCTGTCATTCTGTGATCATCGGTTTCTGTTCATAATCTTAGTAACTGTTGCACACATTCAACTCAAATTTGGCATATGGATGTCATGAGAAAATACAGGGCAAGTTTGAATTTGGTCATGGTTCCATGATTTTTGGCAGAGTAATGCCCCTTTAACTTTGAAAATGATATGAAATTTTCAGTTTCCGTTCATTATCTCCCCAACGGTATTACACATTGAACTCAAACTTGACATATGGATATGTAATGAGAAAATACAGGTCAAGTTCAAAGTTGGTCGTGGTTTGATGGTTTTTGGCAGAGTAATGCCCCTTTTACTTTGAAAATAATATGAAATTTTCAGTTTCCGTTCATTATCTCCCCAACAGTATTATACATTCAACTCAAACTTGACATATGGATATGTAATAAGAAAATACAGGCCAAGCTCGAAGTTGGTCATGGTTCGATTATTTTTGGAAGAGTTATGCCCCTTTTACTTTGAAAATAATATGAAATTTTCATTTTCTGTTCATTATCTCCCCAACGGTATGACACATTCAAATCAAACTTGACATATGGATATGTCATGAGAAAATACAGGTAAAGTTTAAATTTGGTCATGGTTTGATGATTTTTGGCAGAGTTATGCCCCTTTTACTTTGAAAATAATATGACATTTTCAGTTTCAGTTCATTATCTCCCTATCAGTGTTACATATTCAACTAAATTTGACATATAGATATGTCTAAGGAACGCGCAGGTCAAGTTCGAATTTTGCCATGGTTCGATGATTTTTGGCAGAGTAATGCCCCTTTTACTTTGAAAATAATATGAAATTTTCAGTTTCAGTTCATTATCTCCCCAACAGTATTACACATTGAACTCAAACTTGACATGTGGATATGTAATGAGAAAATACAGATCAAGTTCGAAGTTGATCATGGTTTGATGGTTTTTGGCAGAGTAATGCCCCTTTTACTTTGAAAATGATATGAAATTTTCAGTTTCCATTCATTATCTCCACAACGGTATTACACATTCAACTCAAACTTGACATATGGATATGTAATAAGAAAATACAGGTCAAGCTCGAAGTTGGTCATGGTTCCATTATTTTTGGTAGAGTTATGCCCCTTTTACTTTGAAAATAATATGAAATTTTCATTTTCTGTTCATTATCTCCCCAACGGTATGACACATTCAAATCAAACTTGACATATGGATATGTCATGAGAAAATACAGGTAAAGTTTAAATTTGGTCATGGTTTGATGATTTTTGGCAGAGTTATGCCCCTTTTACTTTGAAAATAATATGAAATTTTCAGTTTCAGTTAATTATCTCCCTATCAGTGTTACATTTTCAACTAAATTTGACATATAGATATGTCTAAGGAACGCGCAGGTCAAGTTCGAATTTTGTCATGGTTCGATGATTTTTGGCAGAGTTATGTCCCTTTCACTTTGAAAATAATATGAAATTTTCAGTTTCAGTTCATTATCTCCCTATCAGTGTTACATATTCAACTAAATTTGACATATAGATATGTCTAAGGAACGCGCAGGTCAAGTTCGAATTTTGCCATGGTTTGATGATTTTTGGCAGAGTTATGTCCCTTTCACTTTGAAAATAATATGAAATTTTCAGTTTCCGTTCATTATCTCCTCTAGTGTATTACACATTCAACTCAAATTTGAGATATGGGTACATCAAAGAAATACGCAGGTCAACTTCAAATTGTGTCATGGTTCAATGATTTCGAAGTTTATCATGGTTTGATGGTTTTTGGCAGAGTTATGCCCCTTTTACTTTGAAAAAAAAAGGAAATTTTCAGTTCCCATTCATTATCTCCCCAATAGTTGTGCATATTCAACTCAAATTAAAGATATGGATATGTCATAAGAATGCATTGGTAAATTTCCAATTTGGTCATGGTTTGATGATAGCTGACAGAGTTTTCCTCTTGAACCTTGAAATAAAATCAGAAATTTTAAGTTTCAGTTCATTATCTCCCCAATGGTTGTAAACATTCAACTAAAATTTGACATTCAGATACATCTAAAGAATAAGCAGTTCAAGTTTGAATTTGGTCGTGGTTCAATGATTTTGGACAAAGTTGTCTCCCTTGAATGTTGGAAAAATTTTGAATTTTCAGTTTCAGCACTCATACTTATGTGGAAATGTATGTAGCCATTAATTTGGCTAGAAATATGCAATATGCAATTTACAAAAGGTTAATACTGAAAAGTTTCTGTGCCTTGAACTTTGTTTAAAAATGGTTTGTGTTAACATTGAATAGTGTTAAGGGCTTTGAACTTAAAAATGAAAAACACAATTTGTGCAAACAAATTTGGAACTAAATATTATAACATCTGAAATTTTGGCTGCATGCGGGGGCATCCATGGCATGACTACACATTTCTAGTTGTTAAATGGCTTTATTACACTCCTGCACCGCTGTTTATGTGATAAAAGAGATTTATTACATGAGCTGTCATCGACAGAGACAATATCAATGAATCGTTGATATTTTACTGTCGATCAATAATCGATTCCAGTTTAAAAAATCAATTATGTTGATTAGCTATTTAAATGTACAAAATTATGAAATATCACTAAAAAACATATACAAAAGCAGGTAGCTATGTCTATCACAAAGCTGTTGTTACATAATGAACACATTTCATAGCAGTTTATTGATATATCTGTGTATTGCTGATATTTATCACCAGATATTGATGTATCATCAATATGCTTTGCTCAGTTCTATTTCGTTGAAAACAGAAGTTGTATCTTATGTAGGGTTTGGCAACATACAGGAGAAAAAGAACAAGAGGGCCATCATGAGTCGCTCACCAGAAACAACTGCTTTTCAGTGTTTCCTAATATTAAATTTAAGCATAGAATATGTTTAAACAATAATTTAAAGAAATGCCATGACCTGGGGCATTTAAGCTTTAGCTGAAACGGGGCTCATCAAGTTAATATGAGCAAACTTGATAAAAAACTACCTAAGAATGCTACAAAGTTTGGTGATCATCTATCAATTATTTCAGTAGGAAATGATGTTCGAAGATTTTTTCTATGTTTAGCTTTACTGGCCCCTAAAAGGGGCCAATAAAATTAATATAAGCAAACTTGATAAAACATTACCCAAGAATGCTACAGACAAAGTTTGGTGATCATCCATCCATTAGTTCTGTAGAAATAGTCATTTAAAGGAATTTCTATTTTTAGCTTTTGCAGCCCCTAAAAGGGGCCAATCAAATTAATACGAGCTTACTTGATAAAAGACTACCTAAGAATTCTACAGACAAAGTTTGGTGATCATCCATCAATTAAGTCTATAGAATTAGACATTTAAAGGTATTTCTAGTGAGCTAAAAACATACATGTATATAGTTGGTATGTGTGCTCTGATTTTAGGTTTATGCAGTAGGCATTGGCAGTGGCATTTCACTTACCGAACTTCAACTCATAGCTTCTGATAATAACAATGTTTTTGAAGCCACTTCCTTCGATACATTAGACGAAATCACTGAGCAGATATTGGCAGCTATTTGTGGTATGAATTTGTGTCATTATTTTAATTGTTCTAGTGTTATTATTTAACTTCCCATATCACAAGTAAGGCAAGCATTTATGATCACCTTGTATTGTTGGTTCATTATAAATGTGATCCTGTTTTGCCTTTAATTATCTGCCTATTTTTAACTTAAGGTTCAGTGTTGAAAAAAAAAACTTGATGAGATTGCATTTTTTCATAAAGCCCTTTTAGTAACATTAACAAGATTGCATTTGAGAAAAATGCTATAGAACAATTAATAGTAGTGTAGGAACAGATTTTTTTTGTTTCTATACAATTGAAGATGGTCATAATGCATAGATCCCTGACCTATCTAATTATTATTATCAGATTAGTGGTTAAATCTATTGTTAATCCGATAAAAGATCAGAGTAGGAAATATCAATGCACTTGAGTCTAGTGAATTTGGTGGTGGAAAACCTATGGCCCCCTGGGCGGGGCTAATTTTGACACTAGAGGCAAAATTTGAATAACTTTGGTAGAGAACCTATAGATGATATCATTTAAAAATATTAAGCCTTTAAGCCTTGTACCTTCAGACAATAAGATTTTTTTATTTTTTACTATATGTATATATTGAAAATCAATGACCCCCGAGGCGGGGGCAATTTTGACCACAGGGATTTAATTTGAACAATCTTACTAGAGGTTCACTACACAATGTTTCATGCAAAATATCTAACCTCTAGCATTTGTCAATTGCTAGAAGAAATTTTTTTAAAGTTCTTACTGTAAGTTTTTACTATATACAGTAAAAACCCTCAATTAAGACCACCATCGGGACTGGACCAAAGTGGTCTTAATTGCGGGGTGGTCTTAATTGTGAGTATTCTTATTGCTTACATAGTTACATACTTTACGACCATGTTCTATTTTAGTCATTTTGTGTGAATAAACAATATGTATCTTAACCTGCAAATATTAAAGTATGTTATAATGTTACATCTGATGGGAAGAAAACATTTCTGAAGCAATTTAATATCAAATTCTATTTGATCTGATTTCAATATTAATTATTATATGATGTACATAATACACCCATCAAATTCATAGCAAAATCAATGTGCTTAAAGCAACATTAAACCACTCTAAAATCTACTTTCTCACCTTATTTGATACAATATCCCAATAATAAAAGGTGTTTTTGACACCTTTTGAAATGAAGTGTCATGCCTAAGAGTATTTAAGCAGAAACAACATAACAACTAATTAAAGATCTAGATAAGTGTTGACTTTAAATCTGTGGTCTCAATAGTGGGGTCAAATAAAGAACAAAATAGAGAATTGGGACTGAATCTGGTGGTCTTAAAAGTGGATAAGCGAGGTGGTCTTAATTCTGAATCATGAAACCATTGACATAAAGAACAGAAAATTCCGTTCTTCTAAAAAATGGTCTTAATAGCGGGGTGGTCTTAATTCCGGGGTGGTCTTAAGGAGGGATTCTACTGTACATATAAGGAAAACCAATGACCCCCGGGACTTGGCCGATTTTGACCCCAGGGCTATAATTTGAACAATCTGGGTAGAGGTCTACCACACAATGCCTTATGCAAAATATCTAAGCTCTAGGCCTTTTTGGTCTTCATTAGAAGGTATTTTAAGTTTTTACTATATGTACATATAGTGACGATCAATGACCCCCGGGCTGGGGCCGCTTTTTACCCCAGGGCTATAATTTGAACAATTTTGGTAGAGGTCTTTCAGACAATGCCTTATGCAAAATATCTAAGCTCTAGGCCTTTTTGGTCTTTACAAGAAGATTTTTTAAATTTATTCTTATAATTCCTTTTGATTGCCATGGCAACCAGATTTCTGCATGGAATGAAATTCTTTGAATAACGAAGCCCTTCAGCCAAGGATCAATCCTGCCAAGTTTAGTTGAAATTGGACTAGTAGTTTTTCACAAGAAGATTTTTTAAGTAACACACAAACATACATACACACAGGTGAATAGCTATATGCCACCGCATCATAAAAAATGTGCTGGTGGATGTTGGTCTGCACTGGTAGCATGAGAGGAATAAGTTGCAGCCATCCAGCTAAAAGTTAAAGGAACTCCACTGAGGTCCAAAAGAATGAAAACATAAAAATTTAATTCTATTCATACATACTCGGGTACTAAAATCATAAAGATATGCAAAAGATTTTTAAGAAATATACTTAGAATAAATTAATATTTCAGCCCAATTTGAGTGAAAAGTGTTGTAATGCTTTTCAGTTTTGAATCATTTTTCACATTTAAAATAATAATTTTGAAAAAAAAAAAAAAGAGTAAGCCAACAATCTGAAACTTTGCACGCAAGTTATTGGTCTGGACCTACATCAAATAGAAAATTAATCTCAAAAAATTATTTGCAGTCCTGTCATGTCAAAATAACCTCAGTTGAGTCCCTTTAAATGTTGTTAATAGAATTTCAATGTCACTATATTTTTGTGTATATAAATAAGTTATTGGTAACTTTAAGAGGTTTATTGCTTGCTGTTGCTCAATTTTGTGTCATTTTAAGTACCAAATTCAATTTTAACTCATATTCTGAACTTAATGATATTGAAGCAGCATGAATCCAGATTCATGCTAGTTTTCATATTTTTCAAACGGAACTGACAATCGACTTAAACTACTTAAAGAGGTCAAAATTTGCAAAAATTGACATTACTGCGTTAGTCAAGCAGTGATGAAAACTGCAAAATCAGTCATTAATCGCACAAAACATGTAAATTATTCCTAGAATATTATTACTTTTCCTAAAAGCCAAGTATATTTTTCTAAAGTTTGATTTTCTTAAATTTTTTGGCTCATCTGGAGGCATGAAGCTTTAAGCTTGAATGGAGTGATTGGTTTCAAACTAAAATTAAATTTGAATCACATCCCTTTGAGGGAAATATTACTTTCCTTGGGGATAATGAATGGCTGCCAGTGGATACTGCCAATTTGAGAAGTGGTTCATTACCCCCACAGCAATGAGGAGGGGTATTTTAGCAATTCAAGAGTAGCCAATAACACCATCACCCTGCAAAATCGTATTACTACAATATAAGAAATACCTAAACAGTCAAAAGAAATACTTAAAATCAACATGTTTTATTCCTTTACAAAACTAGAACTGCCACTATCATGGCGTGAATACCCCCGCATACCACTTTGTCAGAATCAACAGTGGCCATTTAGAACTCAGAAACTCAAAAAAGGACAACCTCCCTTCCAAATCTGAGGTTACTAAGCCAGTGCATTGCCAAGTTATGTATTCTACATGCTTCAAATGTGAAAAATGTCAAAATCAATACACTCTGGACAGGCATTCTGAAGCAATTGAGGGGAAAAGCTTTATTTTTGACAAGGTCCCTGTGACCTTGACCTTTGACCCAGTGACCTCAAAATCAATACAGATCATTTACTAATCATGACTTACCTCCCATGCCAAATATGAAGACTGTGGGTCATAGGAAAACCTTAAGTTATTGGGCGGAAAAAGCTTTTTTTGATGTCAAGGCCCCTGTGACCTTGACCTTTGACCTGGTGACTGCTCAAAATCAATAGGGGTCATCTACTAATCACGACTAACCTCCATGCCAAATATGAAGACTGTGGGTCATAGGAATCTTAAGTTATTGGGCGGGAAAAGCTTTTTGATGTGTCAAGGCCCTTGTGACCTTGACCTTTGACCTGGTGACCTCAAAATCGATAGGGGTCATCTACTTATCATGACTTACCTCCATGCTTAATATGAAGACTGTGGGTCAAAGGAATCTTAAGTTATTGAGTTGACAAGCTTTTTGAAGTCAAGGCCCCTGTGAACTTGACCTTTGACCTGGTGACCTCAAAATCGATGGGGGTCATCTACTAATCATGACTAACCTCCATGCCAAATATGAAGACTGTGGGTCAAAGGAATCTTAAGTTATTGGACGGACAAGCATTTTGAAGTCAAGGCCCCTGTGACCTTGACCTGGTGACCTCAAAATCAATAGGGGTCATCTACTAATCACGACTAACCTCCATGCCAAATATGAAGACTGTGGGTCAAAAGAATCTTTAGTTATTTGGCGGACAAGAAAAAACCGCCGGACGGCCGGATGGACAATCTGATTCCAGTATACCCCCTTTACAACTTTGTTGTGCGGGGGTATAATTAATGCTCAATAAAGAAACAAGTAGATCAAGGTAGTTAACTACATTTTAGTACAATATTGAATAAAGAGACACAAAAAAGTTATGTGCCTTAGAATGATATAAGAAGAATAACCTTTGAAATATTCTCAATGTGGGCAATATTAGATGAAAACACATTTAATGTTTTGGTATATACAGAATTTATTTTTGTTTGATTCTGTAGGAAGCTATAAGCTTATAGACATACTTTCGAAACCGTTCCTGGACAAAACCAGTACAGAGATATGAGTGTAAAGTTTCTTGGATTTGCCTCCCCCCTGGCAGGGTTTGAACCCATGCCACTAGCGATCATTAGATTACTAGTCTGGCGCGTTACCCACTTGGTCATGCCCCCACTGAATGTTTTGTAGGTGTTTTACATGGATGGATACATTGAGGTAAAATAATAATGTACCATTACCCACTGAGGGATCTTACCTTCACCTCAGTGCAGAAACAGGTTAACTCCTAATGAGTTTTAATAGGAATTAACCCATTTCTGCACTAAGTTGACAATATATTTGTATATAAGTGGTCTTTTTTTTTATTACAGATGAAGCTTAAGAAATTACCATGGACATTTCGTAGAATGAACAGGAATCTGGAAGCAGTAGAGAGAGATAATCTGTTATACTTCTATCCAGATTTAATATGACTTCTACCATTTCTTTTTTTCATTTTCTTTTTTTCTTCTCCAAATAAAATCAAGTACATTTCTGGCATGTATTTCGTAAAGAATTACAGAATAATTTTAAAGATTATCTTTTGTCATGAACAATTGTACTAGTCAAACTTTTTGTTGAAAAATAAAATTTTATCTGCATTAACTAATCTTGCTTCTTTTATCTTTATCCATCTATTGTGTAATTAAATGGTGAATACAAGAAGTTAAATTTTGGGTTACAAGGCACACTAAAACTGTAAAGATCAGTTGGCCACTGTCCAGCTTTACTGGTGGAGGAATATATTTTGTTTAGATGCCCCTTCACCGTTCAATTCAATGCACAATATGGGTACCACCTAAGAACCACATACTTTCCATAAGCTAGTTTGAAAGTTTTTCTCATTTGAAAGATTAAGAGCTCTCTGGCAGGATTCACACCCATAGCAGTGGAGGGTAACTAAGTGATTAGAAGTGACATTGACAACTCCGCTACTGACACCGCAGGCTATCTGATAATTGTGGAGTCAGTCTCACTTACCAGAACAGTCTAATTAACCAAAGACAACACAAGACTACCCCATGACAACTTTTTTTTTACAGAAAAGGATAAATTTATTGTGTTAATTGATTAAAAAGAAGTTAAAAGTTATATTGATTGTTGACTTGTATATTTCTGTTCAGTGAGTATCTAAGGGGAGTAACTAGGCACACAAACAATAGCACAAGTAAATTGGAATTGTGTCTTCCTGAAGTATTTGTGACACAAGCTAACTTGATAGTCGGTATATTCCGACGATTTTAATGTCTCATATATATTGGTAGAGAAAGAACACCTAGGTCAGAACCACCAACCTTCATTTAACTGAACCGATACATAAACTTGAGGCTTTCTGTAGTGTACGAGAAAAGCCAATGGAAAATTGTTTTTAGATAACCTTCTATTAGAAGCAGCTTTCTTAATCAGTCACAATAATAAAACCAAATTTATTGTTTTCTTTATTTTTGTTAATCATTTTTGTGACAATTTCATTTGTTTTAAAAATCTAACAAAATATCATTCACCATGGTAGGTATGGTGGATACAACTTTCAGGATGGTATTATTATGTACAACATTTCCAGTGGTTCAGTACAACACAAATGTGGTACATAAACAGTCACTATGGTAAGTATGACATTCACTGTAGTATCGTACTACGTATAACTGTCACTGTGGTATGTACATATTTCACTGTGGTACGTACAACAATCACTGTGGTACATACAACTTCCACTGTGGTACGTCAAAATACACTGTGGTATCATACAACTTTCACTGTGGTACCATACTTAACATACAACTTTCACTGTGGTACGTCACCTTTCACTGTGGTACATAACAACTTTCAGGGACGTAGGTAAAAATTCTTTGTGGTACCATATTATGTACAACTTTCACTGTAATACATACAACTTTCACTGTGGTACCATACTTAACATACAACTTTCACTGTGGTTAATTAATTCACGGTGATTAGTACAACATTCACTGTGGTACACTCATATGCCTAACATGGAAATTGACCACATATTCAGAATTTGTCCTCTGTACACTGATGGCAAATGGTTCACTAGGATGGAATGTGAAGGCCACAAGACGACGTGCTGTAGGTGGTGGATTCTTTCCTAATACGCCAGCGTATATTTTGAACTTAAGAAGTGCCGAGTCTCTTGCGTAGAACCTGAAATTTACAATGTGTAACATCCATGTTATAGAAACAATTATTAATAAAATATTATGACAAAACCAACATAGTTTGTTTGCGACCAGCATGGATCCAGACCAGCCTGAGCATCTGCACAGTCTGATCAGAATCCATGCTGTTCGTTATCAATTTCTCTACTTGTAATAGGGACGCGCAGGCTGGTCTGGATCCATGCTGGTCGCAAATGCACTATGGTGGATTTGTCATGACACGGCTCAAATTTAATACAGAACATTACAGCAAGAGCTTTTAGAGGAGCAGTATGCTAGGCACAATATATATAATTATATGATATCCTTTAACCTGCTGGAACCAAAAGTTTTAAGCCTTTGCCACCAATATATAGCCAGGCCAGCCTGCACATCTGTGCAGTCTGACCAGGTTTTATACTGTTTTTTGGCTCAATTTCTGAAATTTGCTCATAAAACTCCTTAACATTTGATTTCATATCAGGGCAAATGCCTTTAAGAAATAAAACGCCTGGTTTTAAAAGAAAATATTTAAAAATCTTTCGGTCATACCTAATAGGATGGTCTCCGCAAGGTTTTGGTCTCTCCATCACTGATACCCATTTGTCATCATAGCTAAACAAGGCCAGGTCAAGATACGGGCTACTGCTGTATGACTGGGCACTGATCGGTAACTGTGCTAGTAAACGCTTTACAGCCTCTACAATATTAAATAATATAAATTTCAATTTAAAATTTCAATGTTAAATGAAATAAATTAATTTCAATTCAATTTAAAATTCAATCTAAAATGACTGAACACTTATACTTAAATAGTAGGTTACTATGCTTACAATCTTTTTACAGTTTATAAAATGTTAAAACATCTAAAATTTATCCAAGATTAGGCAATGATGTGAAAAGTTCTGTGTCAGTTATCATTTTGTGACAGTAACTAAATGGTGGTTTTGCCAGCTCTGATACATTTAAATGAATACTGAAATATATTTTAAGGACCAATGCCATCCAAACTTAATGCAATGATACATGTTTTAAATCTTAAATTTGAATATGTAAATCATTGGACCTTAACATTATGATGATTAAAGTCTAAAATGATATATAATGTACAGGTACTATTAAATCACATAGAAAACACACAAGCACAGAGTAAATTTGATTTGTAACATATAATTGTTTTACCTCAATAGCAAAATACGGAGATATTATTTTGATCTGACACAATCTCAGCTTTAGCATTTAAAGAAATTGAAAGGTTTTATATTCAGGTACATTAAAATCTTAGACAACTAGCCAAAAACAGCAGCTTAAAACACACTAACCTGTATTTCCCCCAAACTTGGCATTAATAATTGTCTGTTTAAACCGCTGCTGAATTTGTCTAGCATATATATTACTGGATGACGAACACGTAAACTGCGCCTCCGTATGAAGTGTTGCATTGCGGAACATATCGCAGAAATTCTCAAAAAGTTCCAGTAAATCCTCTGATGTATTTTCATTTACAGCAATCACTTCTGTACTTGCCATATTATACACAACAAAAAAAGACGGCTGAGAATTTGGGTCCGATATTTTCAGAGTCACCACATCTTCACTAGCATATTTTATAAGGAGATGATTTTCATCGAGAAGTTGCATTTTCCACATTTTAAGTGCGGCAAATTGTTCAAAGTATTGGTAAAACTTGCGAAGCTCGTACATAGACCCGCTACATTTAGCTTTTGTATAAAGAAACACAAGTAGACGATGTTTTAAACTGTTCATTGTTTTCTCCATGTACTGAGTCTGTGACGACCGACCTGAAATATAAATAAGGCAGCTAAAAATATTAAAATAAATAACATGTAATTTAAAATGTGTCCATAACTGCAAGCAAAGAAAAGTCTGCATTTGGTAAATTGGCTTGAATCATGTTTACTGCAGGAAAGCTGCAGGACCTGCATGTGGTCTTAAATTAAGAGTGGTGGAATTAGACAAATTGCTAAACAGTTTAAGATGCAACACTGTTAGCCATAAGGAGGATCCATTCAGACTTTTATTTTATAGAAAGAAAAAAAAACACCAAAAAACCTTTAATGTATTTTAGCTAGATTGTGAAAAATGCATCACTTATGACTTAGCATGTCTGTATTAAAAGTTCGCCATATTTGAAAACAATATTCACAAATACTCTATACAGTAGGCCAACATATTCCAACTCAGAAATCTTCCAGTTAGACACTGTTACCACTTGATAAATTTTAAAACTTTTTGCCTATATCTTATACTGTAATACACATTTCCTCATAAAACTTTACACAACAGTTCAATACATTTAGTTCTGGATGTAAGTATGAATTAAAGATATGCATAAATTAAAATACCTGCAGAATCATGGAACATATCAAAGTAAAGGCCGTCATCTTCATGGCAGAATCGTCCAATACTTCGAACATCTATAAACTCTCCATTAGGTGTGACATGAAATATATGTATAGTTTGCTGCAGCACTGATAGAACAGCCAATGTGTTTTTATATAAATACAAGCCTTGATTATGTGACAGAAATATTTTATCGTATTTAAAACTCCGAGAGTCGCATAAATGCCCGGTTTCAAGTTCCACAATATGCAGGCAATAGTCTTCCAAAGGTGAGCGAGGGGTTGCGTTGACTGCTTCGTTATTCCTATGAGTCTCGAAAAACAATGGGTGTGGCTCTTCTGGTACATTTTGCGCCGAACCAACTATCACAAACTTACCATCGTCAGTAAAAAGGCTGCACTCGCGATTCAAATGTCCACCGTTTGTAGCTACTAATGCTGTACATTTCAATTTAAAAAACTTTTCAAAAAGTTTTCCTCTGATTTCCATTGTATGCGGGTCAGAGGTGGCGGCTGCAATGTCACCTTTAAGATTTTTCATTATTGTCTCGGCTGCAGACGAGCCTTCAAACGTATAAATTTCAATTGAAGTCTGATCTGAAGAAAACGCAACAAAATATCGCCCATCTGATGAAAACTTTCTAAGAAAACATGGTGGCTTTTCAACATTCACTACAGTGAAGTTTGGAAATATGTTAGTGTAAAATACCCTTGCTCTGTGAAAATGAGACCCTGGTCTACCAGCATGTGTTTCTCTTTGCCTCAACCTGTAAACTGCATTTTGACTATGAATTTTACGAGGTTTAAGATAATATTCCAAAGGCAGTGAATTATCAATTTCTCCTTTCTTCATATTGTCTTTGATTTTTCCTGTTCTTCACTTAATTATAGGGTAGTTTCTGAAAAAGAAATAAATATATGAAACAAAAGAGTTATTATGGCATCTGAGGTCCAAATCTAGAAAACTTCATGGGCATGATAAGTTACATATCTAAACTGTGGGCATTGTAGTTTACCAATACCTATGCTCTAGGCATTGCAGTTCTCAACATTAAGAATGAAATAAGTTTTCCCATGTAAGTCTAATAAAAGAAGAATTTGTAACAGAGTTACCAACGTCGCCGCCTCGGGAAGTTTTATATGAAGCACAAAATTGTCCTATTTCAAAAGATTGAGGTATGGATCTCAGGACTTTCAGTCCACAATTATGATCAATGCTAGATCTGCAAATGCAACAATAAATTTATTAAAGAAATAAAATGAAACACAGAATTAACAAGGGTGCCATAGTCACAAATCAGCCCGTTTACGAAAGCTTTAGATGGAGATGGGGGCATTATGGATAAGTGTTATCTAGCAAGCAAGTTTTTATTCTTGGCACTGTGTTGTTAAATGAACCTTAAAACAAATCAGTAGGGAAGATATGCACAGGATGTGTGACCTTGACCTTGGTCGCAGGGACCTGAATTGTATGCACGGCACTCAGCCTCACAATGATGAACATTTGCGCCAAATTATATTGAAATCCCTCTATGCATGTAGAAGTTTTGCTCCAGACAAGCGTTTTTCTATGAGCTCTAACTGTGACCTTCACCTTTGACCTAGAGACTTGGTTCATGTGCAGGACACTACGTCTCATGGTGGTGAACAATTCTACAAAGTAACATTAAAATTCCTCCATGCATGTAGAAAATATGCTCCGGACAACATCTGGATATTTAATCTTCTCCAGTGACCTTGACCTTGCAAATATTAACCTAAATTAAATGTGTCACACCTGTAGTCATGATAGTTACCATTTGTGCTACAATCCATCAATAAATGATGACTAAATGGTCCCTATTCACATCTTCAAATTTTTATCTGAACCTTGACCTCTATGTGTAACTTTGACTTTGGTCGCAGGGATCTGAATTTTGCGTGCGACACTCAGCCTCACAATGGTGAACATTTGTGCCAAGTTATATTGAAATCCCCCTATGAATGTAGAAGTTTTGCTCCGGACAAGCGTTTTTCAATGAGCTCTAAGTGTGACCTTGACCTTTGACCTGGAGACCTGGATCATGCATGGAGCAATACATATCATGGTGGTGAACATTTCCATAAAGTATTATAAAAATTCTTCCATACATGTAGGAGATATGCTCCAGACAAAATCTGGATATTTCACCATCTTTAGTGACCTTGACCTTGCATATATTGACCTAAAGTACATGTGTCACAGCCGTAGTCATGATAATGACCATTTGTGTTACAATCCCTCAATAAATGATGAATAAATCGTCCCTATACACATCTTCATATTTTTATCTAAACTTTGACCTCTATGTGTGACCTTGACCTTGGCTGCAGGGACCTGAATTTTGTGCGTGACACTCCGCCTCACAATGGTGAACATTTGTGCCAAGTTATATTGAAATCCCCCTATGAATGTAGAAGTTTTGCTCCGGACAAGCGTTTTTCAATGAGCTCTAAGTGTGACCTTGACCTTTGACCTGGAGACCTGGATCATGCATGGAGCAATACATATCATGGTGGTGAACATTTCCATAAAGTATTATAAAAATTCTTCCATACATGTAGGAGATATGCTCCAGACAAAATCTGGATATTTCACCATCTTTAGTGACCTTGACCTTGCATATATTGACCTAAAGTACATGTGTCACAGCCGTAGTCATGATAATGACCATTTGTGTTACAATCCCTCAATAAATGATGATTAAATCGTCCCTATACACATCTTCATATTTTTATCTGAACTTTGACCTCTATGTGTGACCTTGACCTTGGCTGCAGGGACCTGAATTTTGTGCGCGACACTCCGCCTCACAATGGTGAACATTTTGTGCCAAGTTATATTGAAATCCCTCTATGCATGTGGAAGTTTTGCTCCGGACAAGCGTTTTTCAATGAGCTCTAAGTGTGACCTTGACCTTTGACCTAGCGACCTAGTTCATGTGCGTGACATGGCTTCTCATAATGGTGAACATTTCTATGAAATTTCATTAAAATCCCTCCATGCGTGTAGGAGATATGCTCGGACAAAATCTGGATATTTCATCATCTTTAGTGACCTTGACCTTGTATATATTGACCTAAATTATATGTATCACAGCCATAGTCTTGATAATGACCATTTGTGTTACAATCCCTCAATAAATGATGACTAAATGGTCCATATACACATCTTCATATTTTTATCTGAACTTTGACCTCTATGTGTGACCTTGACCTTGGCCGCAAGGACCTGAATCTTGCGCGCGACACTCCGCCTCACAATGGTTGAACATTTGTGCCAAGTAATATTGAAATCTCTCTATACATGTGGAAGTTTTGCTCCGGACAAGCATTTTTCAATGAGCTCTAAGTGTGACCTTGACCTTTGACCTAGAGACCTGGTTCATGTGCGCGACACTGCTCCTCATAGTGGTGAACATTTCTATGAAGTTTCATTAAAATCCCTCCATACATGTAGGAGATATGCTCCGGACAAAATTGGACGCCGCCCGCCCATACGCCCGACCGCCCGCCCGCCAGGGGCGTTCCCATAATATGTCCCGCTTTTCAAATGTGCGTATAAAAATGATCATGTTAAGCTTTGACCTCTAAGTATGACCTTGACCTTGGAAGTAGGGGTGCAGGTTTTGTGTATGACATATTGTCTTATTATTGTAACTTTTTGAGCCAAGTATTTTCAAAATCCCTTGAACTATGAAGGAGTTATGGATCGGACACAAAAATATACCCTATAACAGACTATATTAATCTTTGACCTCTAATTGTGACCTTGGAGGTAGGGACCCCATGTTTTGCGCCTGACATAGCGTCTTATTACTGTGATTATTTGTGCAAAGTATTTTTAAAATCCTTTGATCTATGAAAAAATTATGGACTGGACACAAAATATACCCTATAACAGACTATGTAAATCTTTGACCTCTACATGTGACCTTGACCTTGGAGGTATGGACACATGTGTTAAGCACGACATATCATCTTATCATTGTGACTATTTGTGCCAAGTATTTTCAAAAAATCTTGATCTATGGAGAAGTTATGGACGGGACACAAAATATACCATTAATGCATATAACAGACTCTGTTAACCTTTGACCTCTAAGTGTGACCTTGACCTTGGCGGTAGGGGTGCAGGTGTTGAACTTGACATATCGTCTTTTTATGTGATTATTTGTGCCTAATTGTTTCAAAATCCCGAAGAAGTTCTAGATAGGACACAAAATATACCCTAAAACAGACTATTTTAACTTTTGACCTCTAAGTGTGACCTTGAATTGGAGGTAGGGGTGCAGGTGTTGTGCATGACACATTGTCTTATTATGTGACTATTTGTGCCTAATTATTTCAAAATCCCGAAGAAGTTCTAGATCGGACACAAAATATACCCTAAAACAGAATATGTTAACTTTTGACCTCTAAGTGTGACCTTGAACTTGGAGGTAGGGGTGCAGGTGTTGTGCATGACACATTGTCTTATTATAGTGACTATTTGTGCCAAGTATTTTCAAAATCCTTTGATGTATGAAAAAGTTATGGACTGGACACAAAATATACCCTATAATAGACTATGTTAATCTTTGACCTCAAAGTGTGACCTTGACCTTGGAGGTATGTGACAGGTTGTAACGCATGACACATCGTCTCATTAGTGTAAACAATTGTGGCAAGTATTTACAAAATCCCTACAAAGATAAGAAAGTTATGGACCAGACACGACATATACCCTCACATAGACAATGTTGACCTTGAATGACATTATGAGCAAGTACGACCTTGACCCTGGAGGTAGGGGTCTGGTTATTGACACATCGTCTTATTATAACAAACATTTGTGCCAAGTTATTTCAGATTCCTTTGATAAATGACAAAGTTATGGACCGGACACGAAAGTGTGACGCACGAGAGGACACTTGTTGGGTAATTCTATTCATTCCGTCAGTATTGTTGGGTACTTTTGTTCTCTTATTGGGTACTTTTAAACAAAAGAAGTACCCAATAAACGAATTCCTACGAATGGACATTTATTGGGTACTTCTTTTGTTTAAAAGTATCCAATAAGAGAACAAAAGTACCCAACAATAGGAATGAATAGAATTACCCAACAAGTGTCCTCTCGTGCGCTGGAGGTTCCAAACAAGTGTCCTCTTGTGCGCCCGGATGGACGGACAGACAGACAGAGCCTATTTCTAAATCCCTCTTTTTTTCTTCGAAAAGGCGGGGGACAATAACTGACACCTGGAATGGGCTTTTAACTTTTGTGAAGTACCACATTGTTTAGTCCAATATATAAGACGTTACAGGCTTGTTATAGTTTTTGTCGGTCAAGCCTGACGTCTAATAGTTATTGCTCATAAACACATAGCATCATAAAAAATTCAAAAAATGTCTATTATCTTGCCTTTCAAGCTTTATTCAAAAGCTTATCTTCTTTTCTTTCAATTTCATGCTCAATCATAAATAAAAACTCTCAAACAATGTACTTATCAATTTAAAATAAAATATAAACATCAATCAATTTTTGTCTATCAGCCATACTGGTTAAGTAAGGTGCTTTACAGATTTATTCATGGAAAAATATATTCGAACATGGGCAATTATTTCGTTAAAAAAATAGTCTGTTAGAATCTTCTGACTCAGTTAAACGCTTGCATTTAAATAAGCCAATCAGATTTCGCGCACTGTATGGCGGCCATTTGTTTATCGGCTGTATAAGGAATTTTATTGTACATGAAAGGATTTAATCATGATTTTTTCAGATGTGACAGTTTAATTATTTTGTCCAAATGTATTCATTTTTTAGTTTTGTTCATAAATAGGTCAAAATTAATGTAATTATAGGACTACACATTGTGATGCTACATGCCAAATATCTAAGCTCTGGCCATTGAAGTTTTGAAGAAGAATTTTTAGACATGTTTATTATGTAAATTAAATGTCTCCTGGAAGGGTCCAATTTTGATCCCCAGGAGCATGCTTTAAATATTTCTGTAATTTAAGGACCACAAGATGATGTTAGCCTGGAACCCTGTTGTATCGATCTATTTACCCATAAATCACAACTGCAGTTAAAAAATTTAAATCTCCCTGAATCTTTGTTTTGTATCATTTATTTTTTATTCTTTTGTCATAGTATTTACATGACAAACATCACTGATATATAGTTTTTAGCTTTGGAATATACGGATATTTACAGACATGTCAAACAGGTTGAAGAATTAGGTCACGCCATTATATTGATGCATTGTGAGAATCGCTCAGTTAGTCAAAGTTTGGGAAGCCTGAACCATGTTTATGTTAGATTTTTCAGTCAATTAGAATCAAAGATGTCTGTTTTAAAATGTCAGCATAAATTTAGGAACTTTCAACAGACAGTTAATGTACTTTTAATAAGAACACACTATTTATAAGTCTATTTATAATCTACAAGCAGGCGCGTAGCTGCCTATACGCGAGTACGCAGCTGAATCCACATTATTTTGACCAAAAAAAATTTTTTTAGTAAAAAAAATGTGGTTTGAAATTCAGCCGCGTTCGCCAGATCTGATAATTACCACACTGAATACTTTATAAATCATATAGCCTAAATCGTACACCTGCATACCGTAGTATTTTTTTGTAAAGTTGTCGGCCTTTGCAGCTCTTCAAAGTCGGAAGTTTGCACGCGCCGTATTTTCGAAATGTAAACAAATGTTTACATCGAGTTCTTAAAGAAGTCATCAGCAGAATCAGCGATAGAAAAAAGGTAATTATAACTAAAATGTTACTATGTATGCCTAGTGTTTATTTGTTTCGGTCTGTTTGTTAAACTTGCTGTGAAATGTAGACTAGTTGAAATAAACGAAACTCCATTTTTATGCTAAAATAAATGGATTTTCGTTGGTCAAGAAAGCTCCACGGAGGCCCCAAAACGCACCAAATTGCACCATTTATTTCAAAATTTTCAGGGGGGGGGGGGCATGCCCCCTGACCCACCTAGATTATTTTGAATCCACATTCTTTATAGGCTAGCTACGCGCCTGCAAGGTCTGATAGTACCTAAAACATGTTTTTGATCATTTTTACGCACAAAACAAATGCGAAAGATTTTCGTGATTTGTATGTAAATGTAAGCAATCAGTAGCTAGTGCATTTTGCAAAAAAATCGAAAAATTTGTAAATAGATCGATACAATGAATAGCACGATACAATGGGGTTCCACTATACATGCCCAATATTTTTCTGAAGGAATTTTAAAGATTTGTATGGAAATAGCATCTAGACATATAATTACAAGTTGGAAATAAATTATAACAGTGTTGTTCAAACCATTTGACAGATCATACTTAGTAATCTTTAAATTACTTTATGAAAATATATGACGACTTCAAATGAAAACACTTCAACACTGTTCAAAATGAAAGGATAGCAAGAGATAGCATTAGCTTCTTTACTGTACACTGTCACAAAAAAACAAGATCCATGCCTGTTTACTTATCTTTAGCTAACATATCTTACTTCGTGCAATCAACGCCTGGCAATGTCAAAAATTTCATAAATCTGTTTATTTTCTTATTTTCAGATTGGGTGTTGTTGTTGTTCACCGGCTTGACGAACGCTCTAACACGAATACGCTATTTAAATATTGTTGTAGTCTCATACACCCATTACCTCCCTTGGCAGAATTGTACTGAGTAGGGGAGATCACTGCGTAAAAAATTTCCCTCTGTGTTCCCACAGTTACTTCCCTTTTACGGATTTTTTTCAAATGTTAATGTTAATTTTTGAAAAATAATTTATTATAGTACTGACTGGCTTATTTTCTTTCCCGTCCATTCAGTAGGTGCTCATTGTTGCGAGGCACAGTACATCGGCAGAAGATTTACAGAAGTTGGACGGTGAAAAGGGGATAAACCGAATTTTTGAACCCTAAATGAACACGATAATGGCCCCCAACAAAGTTCATTGGGCGGCAATGTACAAGGAGATTCCACTAGGTACGCAGGTTCAATTTTACGTTTGAAAGCCAAGTCCTTTTAGCTGAAAAACAAACAGCCCTTTTTATCTTATTCCTGCCTCCTGGTCTACCTTAAACCTCCTTCCATTGTTTGTGGACAATGTCCACATGTTTCACGAAGGCAATGAGTCTAATTGACTTCCCAGGCATTTATGGCACAAACCACAATTCTTCTTTACAGCCTGATGCAAGTGATACAGCCGTCAGGAATAAAAGGGTTACACAATATTATAGTAATGTTACGTCTCATTTACATACTTTTTGGCTGAAAATTCATTTTGTGTAGACCTACACCTTACGTTTTGATAATTTATAAAGTAGGCCTAATATATTAAACAATATAAGATTTTGTCCCGAATTCACATACAAATGTAGATTTTCAGTAATGAAATTTATACAATGGCGCAATAGATGCACAAAACAACAATGTTGTTGTTTGTATATTGTACTTCTTATCTCTAACGGAATCAGAAAATATTATTGCGTAATGTCGTCTGCTTAATTTGTCTTGCCTCGAGGTCTGTGTTGTCGTTGTCAAGGTGATCCCCCGCTGTTTCAGCCACTGTGACTATCAAGGCACCTGATACCCCGCTGTTTTGATCAGTCCTCTTAATTTCGCGCTTATGTCTTCAATAATGGATTAATTTCTTTCACTGTACGCTGTTGTAATATCACGAAACTGTTAAGGAATATATCTTATTATTTAAATATTTCGTTTACCCTACACACGTCTTTAATTACGAGTATGCGTACCCGCTGGTCTTGACCTTCACTGGTCGCATGGACAAAATATGTTGCCACCAGTATGCTAAGTGTTTATTGCTTACGTGTCAGCATGTTTGTGATTTGCAAGCTTCATATAACTTCTAAATTCCATTTGTTTTCTCGCTTAGGACACACGCATTCTTTTATTTGAGACCCAAATACCTCTTTCCATGAAGTCAAATAGATGGTTACGTGATAATCGCCGTATGACCACATCTGCGGATGCTTCTAAATCATAAATCTGAAATGTCGTTTCAAAATGTTTGCATGTTATGTTATTGTAAATGAAATAAACTTTAATTTCTTAAAATTGCTCCCACTTTGTTTGTAAGAAATATATAAATTTTGTAAAACAAAGTTTTGCCCAACTATGTTTATATCTGTTATTTATATGGCATTACTAATGTAAAGCAGAATGAATAAATAAATAAATATATATATATATAAATAAATAAATAATATGTATGGGTATGCATCATAATATTGTTTTCATATTTACTTTCATCAAACTTTTTAGCATGGCTTTACGTAAATCGTAACTTTTTCTCTCGCCCACATGCTATGTAACTAAATTATTTACCTGTACTCGAAGATATTTTTCTCTTCGACCTAAGATATAGTTGTTTTGTAAATGCAAATGTTAGTAGCATTCTTAAAATGGAATGTGATAAATGAAGGTATCAATTATTTATCGCTTAGAAGCAGTCTTGGTTTTCTTTGTAGCAAAATCTCTGTGTAAAAAAAACAACAGCCGCCTTACTCATGCATAATGGATGATAATGAATAGAGTCCGCGTTCAAAAATGCACTTTATTATCTTTATTGTGTTTAATATGGCAAAGATATTTGTTTCCTATTTCATCGGTCGCGGATTAAATTTCATTAATGTTAAAAGAGCATGAGGAGTCCGGAACAGGTTCCAGACACCGACACTGGTTAGTTTAGAAAGCGGACGTGAAACGGGTGGAATCTGCGCTACAAATGAAATGACTTGCCATAAAACAAATAAATGTTGATAATTAAAATACATTTAAACAATATACAAATGTACTCATTATTCTCATTTTTTACGTGTTATGAAAAAAAAACAAAAACTATGATTGACGCAAATCGCGTCATGTCTCGCTTGAATAATTAAGTTTTAAGACCCCCTTCGCGCCTGGCATTCGACGTAACTTAATAAGGATAGTAAATATTGTTATTAGTGCGTTCGGTACTTTGATTAGTGTATATTGAACTATGCTGCAAAATATGATAAATGAATGCATTCTGAGGAATTTCTCATATAGATTTGCAAGGTGTTTCAGAAAATATGCTCATAATTATGCCAACAGACACTGCATCATGCAGATGTGCGGAATTCATACTATCATACAATAATTGTCTTGTCTGACGTGGCATATCCTAGCTATTTATTTTCATGTCTTCATTAAAAGAAACGCATCACCGATTTTCTTTTACCAAAATATTACGGAAAGAGCCGAAAAGATATGATTTGTTTAATTCGTGGTATTATCTGCATCAGAAAAGGTAAAGATGTTAGATCGAACATTAACCGGTTGATGGCACATCGTTTGATAAAACATTAGCAATAAATAAGCGGTATAAGTTTAAAAAGCATGTTTGGAAGTGCCTTATCTTGCAAGCTATTTTGAATCTAATCATGTTACCCTATAAAAACAGTAAGATAGTCTGGTATTTTGTACGATGAAATGCGCGAAATCACATAGGAAATAAATCGTGGAAAGTTTTTCATTGTCTTTTCGTTGCTTTTATTTCCTGATGCATTTTGTATTTTTGTACTGACTGTATGGTGATGTTATACCTTTACTAGCGGAGAAATACATCAGCTGCCCTTGAATTGTTTCAGGTACGATCGGGTCCATAAGTAGAATTACTTAGTGAACTACTATTGCAATAAAGTTTGACATTCCGGAAGAAATTCCAACCAATTAGACAAATTCAGCAAGAATGTCCTAGATTTCAATAAACAAATGTTTGCAATAAGCATATTGTTTCTTTACAGATCCTGTAACACAATTTTTTTTCATGTTTTTATATCATAAATATGATGCTCAAATTAAGATTTATCAATTTTGTAGGTTCCAAAAAGCATTAATTGTACAGATATAACCGAATTTATCATTTCATGTAAATAAAGGGAGGTAACAAATAATTATTTTCTATTAAAGTCTAAGTTAAAGTTTTCAATATATTTTAATAATTACTTATAATATATGATATTATTAGATCTAACTGTTACTTTTGATATGACTTTTTTCATTTTCATGATTATTTGAAGGTTTTTCATGAAAATAAAATTCTGCATTAGTTGTGTAATATTTGATGCTTTGATGTATTGTCTAAATAATTTACATTCGTCATTATATATAAAGAGAGTGATTTTTATTATTATAGCCGCGGATCATCCCAAAAATTAAAGACGGGAAAACAATATTTGAATACAAAACAGGAACGGGAATACTTCCATTAGGGTCATCTGTTTAGAAAAATATAACAAACTTAATTTGATGCATGCGGATTGTCCGCATACTTGTAAACTTTTATCAGCTTTTATTCCTTCGTTCGTCGTTCATTCATTAATTCAGCCGTTCCTTCCTACCCTTTTTCAGTTATTTATTTATATTTTCTTTTTCATTTTGTATTAATCAATCAGTTGTTTTGCTTTAGGTATCGCTGGCTGTTGAAAATGAAAAATGAAAGTGGGGGATGTCGAATAGAACTATTTCACATAAATATATAGCTATTACTACATTTTTTGTATTACTTTAATTAATATCCGTTTCATTTCTAAGCATTTGAAAATACATTTTACATGATAATTTTTACATTATAAGTCTAAACAGGTGTGTAGTGAAATTTCATACCCCCAAATTACAGATAAATCTTGCAATAATAAATAAGTTAGTTCCGAGATATTTGTTACTTTTTTATCTCTTTTTTTCCCTTCTCTTTTTTACCTGGGTGAAAACTGAAAAGTATACATTTCGTGAGGTAGAAGAAATGGTATAGTATTTATAAATAGAATCCGCATTATCTTCTAGACCAATATATATAATGTAAAACACAGGAATCTGCGAGTAAGTGCTGATGATATTATCAGATTATATGCTTCAAGGCACAACAGATTTTTCATAGCGTGAACTTTGTGCATATTCATTGTGTATTGCGCAATCTATTGATCAATAATTACAAATCGCTAAGCATCTGTTATCAAGGAAATTAGTAACATTTGGTTGTTTCGTTCTTTTTGTAGGCTCGTGGGGTTAATCAAGTTCATCTCTCGTCAATTATATTGTGGACAGATTTTAACCGATAAGCCACCCTGGAAAATACATTGTTTTTAACGCAAACATATCTGTTACTACATGTATATAAATATACATGATGTTTTTTTTTTAATAATTACATTTGTAAATTCAAACATATTTGTTATAACATAAACATGGGTTTCTAACATTCATTTGTAAATGCAAATTCCTATTTTTACTACACAAACATTGTTTTCTATACTACATTTTTAAATGAATTAATTGTTACTATATATATGCATGGTCTTTTTAAAGTGCATGAACATTTGTAAATGAAAAATATACTGCATAAACTTGGTTTCTATAGAATTATTCGTGAAAAATAAATGAAGACGTAAAATTCGGTTGATATGAATGGTCCGCGACAATGAATTATTAATTTTGTACAACACCAACTTAATTGTTGCAAATGGCAAAACGTTTCTAAATGTAAAATACAGTTGAACTCATCGGATGTATTTATTGCTCGTAATATTTAAATGCAAGTAGGATACTCAATTTTATGGAGAAAAATCAACACATAAACACAATAAAATACCA